CGAATCTGAACCTGTAGCTCTGGTGACGTCAAGCTGAACCTGTAGATTAGGCAAAGACGAATCTGAACCTGTAGCTCTGGTAACGTCAAGCTGAACCTGTAGATTAGGCAAAGACAAAGCTGAATCTGTAGCTCTGGTAACGTCAAGCTGAACCTGTAGATTAGGCAAAGACAAAGCTGAACCTGTAGCTCTGGTATTGTCAAGCTGAACTTGTAGCTCGGGTAATGATAATGCTGATTTTGTTCCTGAGGTAATGATGAAGATGAAACCAAGTACACAGTGTGATTATAAGGTCCTGATCATGAATTTTTCTCTTGAAAACATTTATCAATCCACATTTGAAAGTATGAATTACTTGGCACAGGTATTGACTTAAATGGCACACAAGATGTTGGTAGTGCCACTTTTAAGTAAACAGTCACACACACATTAAGCTGCATCAATATAAAGAATTCCACACAGGAGAGTACATGTAGTAAAGTACCACATCCAAATAGTAAACCGTCTTATAGACTAAATAACTTTACCTGACTCTTTACAAACTTGTGTGTATTTTATGAAGTGTACAAACAGCCAATAACATAACACTCACCAAAGTTATTGAGTGATGCCAAATTTCATACAAAGTCCTTATTTATACTTTGTCAAGTACCACCGACTGTTATTGAATCAAGCCAAGTTCCAAATGAGCTTCTTGTTTGTATTTTTCAAAGTACCACAATATGATAAATTTACTGAAAGGATTCTAGATCGTGTTATTTCAACAGTATTAATTGCCATCCAGCACAGAGGCAGTAAGTACTTCCCACATCAAGGTGACCAGTACTGGGTGTTTAGTGATTATCACAGTCTAAGACTGGTTACATTGCTATAAATGATGCACACTAACTAAAGGTTATCAAAACAGAACCTTTAAAACACTTTGTCATTGGACTCCATGTAAAATACAGTCAATGCTATTTATATATATCTATCCAATGTTCCTGAGCCTCGTATCATTTCTCACATCTCGGATCTGATTCTACGCACCGAGCTACAACATTGTATAGGTATTCTTGTATGACTACTTTAAACGATTTACGTGGTCCTGAAAGGAGTGTGTATTTTTAAATTGATTTTTATCTGTCTTAGAATTGAAGATTTGACGATACTTTACAATTTTTTTAAATAAAATAAATGGAGTATCATGTTTTGTTAATAAATGTAAATTGTTTTGTAACCTTAATTTAAATTGATTATCCAGCTGTTCATGGGAACATCCAGACACTTCAAAAGCATTTACAGGAGGTATAAAGATATGTGTTATTGCTTTGAAGAGTAAACCATTATTTTATATATAGTGTATCAAATGTCAATAATTTCTGCTGGCTCTGACTATTATGTACTTGTAAAACAGACATGTATTAATTCATCTGGACCAACCAGTGTGGGAGAGGGTATAGAGTAATCCTGTAACTTAGTAAACCAGAAGGGCAATTGGTATGAGATTAACGTTTATTTAGACAGATCAATGAGGAGAGGGTTTATAGTAATCCTTTATCTGTGTAAACCAGTAGGGCAATGGGTATTAGTAAACCTTTATCTGGACAGATCAGTAGGATAGAGGGTTTATAGTAATCCTCTATCTGTGTAAACCAGTAGGGCAATGGGTATTGGTAAACCTTTATCTGGACAGATCAGTAGGGGAGAGGGTTTATAGTAATCCTTTATCTGTGTAAACCAGTAGGGCAATGGGTGTTGGGTAAACCTTTATCTGGCAAGAGCAGTGGGAGAGGGTGTATGGTAATCCTTTATCTGGACAGACTAGTAAAGGAGAGGGTATGGCAGAGACCAGTGGGGGAGATGGTATGGCAGACCAGTTTGGGAGAGGGTATGACAGACCAGTGGGGAAGAGGGTATGACAGAGACCAGTGGGGGAGAGGGTATGGCAGACCAGTTTGGGAGAGGGTATGACAGACCAGTGGGGAAGAGGGTATGGCAGAGACCAGTGGGGGAGATGGTATGGCAGACCAGTTTTGGAGAGGGCATGACAGACCAGTGGGGGAGAGGGTATGGCAGAGACCAGTGGGGGAGATGGTATGGCAGACCAGTTTGGGAGAGGGTATGACAGACCAGTGGGGGAGAGGGTATGACAGAGACCAGTGGGGGAGAGGGTATGGCAGAGACCAGTGGAGGAGAGGGTATGACAGACCAGTGGGGGAGAGGGTATGACAGAGACCAGTAGGGAGAGGGTATGACAGACCAGTTTTGGAGAGGGTATGGCAGAGACCAGTGGGGGAGAGGGTATGACAGACCAGTGGGGGAGAGGGTATGACACAGACCAGTTTTGGAGAGGGTATGACAGACCAGTGGGGGAGAGGATGAAGGGTAATCCTTTCTTGACAGACTGGTCAGATTGGATGGTAAGGGAGTAAAAGATTGACATAATAAATGGAATCATATGAAACTTATATAATAATTAACTTGACCTATTTCTGTGTTGGAATGTTGAAGTCGTGAGGACTGGTTGTTATGATGGCAGTGGCTTAAAGCATTGATACAGTATTAATACACAGAAGGTTAAATGTTCCATGAAATGTGCCTGACCAACAATCTTTGTGATCACTCCTGAAGTCTGGTGGCATACATGTGATAACACAGGTTTCATGAATACATGTTTTGTCAATCTTACCCATATAAACTTTGTACCTACATATGTCTATATTCATGATAAAGACAGTTAAGGTACTGAGGGGTCTGTTCTCAGGCCTGATACATAATCATTGATGTGTAGATAACAGAAGATCTGCCATACTGAAATTTCATCATGATAATTGCTAAATTCATGAAGAAATTAATATCTTGTTTAGTTTTAATTTTACAAACTTGTATTTCACAAAGAAGTTGGTTTTGCCCATGTACAGGTGTAAATTCAATGTTCTCATTAAAAGTTTATTGCCTGAAAAAGAAGACTTATATTTATCAACCATTTTTTTTCTTTTATTTATTAGAAAATGTAGAAAAATACTACTATAACATGTTGGTTTTCAGCCAGTTATTATTTAACAACAACTGTGTGATACTGACCAGTCACGTGTTTGTATGTATGATACTGACCAGTCACTTGTTTGTTTGTGTGATACTGACCAGTCACTTGTTTGTTTGTATGATACTGACCAGTCATTTGTTTGTGTGATACTGACCAGTCACTTGTTTGTTTGTGTGATACAGACTAATCACTTGTTTGTATGTGTGATACTGACCAGTCACTTGTTTGTTTGTGTGATACTGACCAGTCATTTGTTTGTTTGTGTGATACTGACCAGTCACTTGTTTGTTTGTGTGATACTGACCAGTCACTTGTTTGTTTGTATGATACTGACCAGTCACTTGTTTGTGTGATACTGACCAGTCACTTGTTTGTTTGTGTGATACTGACCAGTCACTTGTTTGTTTGTGTGATACTGACCAGTCACTTGTTTGTGTGATACTGACCAGTCACTTGTTTGTTTGTGTGATACTGACCAGTCACTTGTTTGTATGTGTGATACTGACCAGTCACTTGTTTGTACGTGTGATACTGACCAGTCACTTGTTTGTTTGTGTGATCCTGACCAGTCACATGTTTGTTTGTGTGATACTGACCAGTCACTTGTTTGTTTGTGTGATACTGATCAGTCACTTGTTTGTTTGTGTGATACTGACCAGTCACTTGTTTGTTTGTATGATACTGACCAGTCACTTGTTTGTGTGATACTGACCAGTCACTTGTTTGTTTGTGTGATACTGACCAGTCACTTGTTTGTTTGTATGATACTGACCAGTCATTTGTTTGTGTGATACTGACCAATCACTTGTTTGTTTGTGTGATACTGACTAATCACTTGTTTGTATGTGTGATACTGACCAGTCACTTGTTTGTTTGTGTGATACTGACCAGTCATTTGTTTGTTTGTGTGATACTGACCAGTCACTTGTTTGTTTGTGTGATACTGACCAGTCACTTGTTTGTTTGTATGATACTGACCAGTCACTTGTTTGTGTGATACTGACCAGTCACTTGTTTGTTTGTGTGATACTGACCAGTCACTTGTTTGTTTGTGTGATACTGACCAGTCACTTGTTTGTGTGATACTGACCAGTCACTTGTTTGTTTGTGTGATACTGACCAGTCACTTGTTTGTATGTATGATACTGACCAGTCACTTGTTTGTGTGATACTGACCAGTCACTTGTTTGTTTGTGTGATACTGACCAGTCACTTGTTTGTATGTGTGATACTGACCTGTCACTTGTTTGTGTGTGTGATACTGACCAGTCACTTGTTTGTTTGTGTGATACTGACCAGTCATTTGTTTGTTTGTGTGATACTGACCAGTCACATGTTTGTTTGTGTGATACTGACCAGTCACTTGTTTGTATATGTGATACTGACCAGTCACTTGTTTGTGTGATACTGACCAGTCACTTGTTTGATTGTGTGATACTGACCAGTCACTTGTTTGTATGTGTGATACTGACCTGTCACTTGTTTGTGTGTGTGATACTGACCAGTCACTTGTTTGTTTGTGTGATACTGACCAGTCACTTGTTTGTACGTGTGATACTGACCAGTCACTTGTTTGTTTGTGTGATACTGACCAGTCACATGTTTGTGTGATACTGACCAGTCACTTGTTTGTTTGTGTGATACTGACCAATCACTTGTTTGTTTGCGTGATACTGACCAGTCACTTGTTTGTATGCGTGATACTGACCAGTCACTTGTTTGTTTGTGTGATACTGACCAGTCACTTGTTTGTTTGTGTGATACTGAAAAGTCACTTGTTTGTTTGTGTGATACTGACCAATCACTTGTTTGTTTGTGTGATACTGACCAGTCACTTGTTTGTTTGTGTGATACTGACCAGTCACTTGTTTGTATGTGTGATACTGACCAGTCACTTGTTTGTATGTGTGATACTGACCAGTCACATGTTTGTTTGTGTGATACTGACCAGTCACTCCTTTGTATGTTGCAGCTGATACTACAGGTCCTGATCATTCTGACCGGTAACTACAACTTCTTCAACTTGCTCACTATTATCCTCTGCTTTTCTCTACTGGACGACGAGCACTTTGGATATAAAACAGGTAATATATATATTGTAAAATGATGCAGCCTGGAAAATTAAGTTTGCAAATCATCTTTAACATATTCATATACCAGATACATATACTACAAGTGAAGTAATAGAATATATGAGTGTTTTACAATAGAATTATCTGATTCAATTTTACAGGAAGAAAATCATCATGGCTTGGCAGAATGATAAACTTTTTAGCTTCAGTACTTGTCTATGGCTTCATTGGCTACCAGATGTTGCATCAGTTTTCACTCAAAGTCAATTGGAGTCCTAGCTTCTCGGTGTCTTCTAGTATAGGTAAGTGTGAAGACTTCTACTGAATGGATGGTGATACCAAGACAATTCATAATTTCACTTCTTCATTTCATGTGTTTATTGTTTGTGATAAATAGATTTTCACAGATATTGAAAAAGATAAGCTGTGAGATACTTAAGAAATGTTAAAAGATATAAAACTGAAAATAATCAATTGTAATGGTCATTTCTTTCTATTATATATGTCCAGGCTTCTGGTTCATTAGCAAACACAGTACAGAAATGAAACACCAACACTTGTCTATTCCATCTGGAACAAAATACCTTATAATGTAACAGAGATGGTCCTTCTGAGAGAAACCAATTTCCTAGCAACTGTAAACATTCTGATTTCAGCATTTTCACAGCCACAGTTTACAGCGTGGTTAGACTGGATAGTTCCCTTGACCATGACCCTTGGGGCTGTTTCGCTGAGCTATGAGATCGTCATAGCCATTGTAAGGTAATATATATAAGATTAAATAACTGGACGAGTTTCGTGCTGATAATTTGCATGTCATGAGGCTTTGCAACACAAGTGTTATGTATTTATAGAGACAGAATTTATCAATATTAGGGTACAAGATGTTACCTTGGTAGTTCATGGGAATGAAGTTCACATTGGAATATGAATTTTTTCCGTCAAAAAGATTAGATTTTATGGCTTATAAAAGAAGAAAATGAAAGAAAATAGGGAATTAAAAGCTTCAAAATTTCATTTTTAAAAAGATATATTGACAATATAAGAATCCAAAAGTTTCTCACCATTTTATGAAAATTGATATTATAGAAAACACTCACAAAAGATAGATCATATTTCTATGATATTTTGTACTGTCAGGTAATAGTGATGTATCACCAATACATTGTCATGACTATCATTCTGAAGCTTCTTTTATGTTGAGGCAGATTATTACTGACATTGAGAACTTGACCAGATATTATATATAGTCATGTGGAAAGAACAAAGATGACTATCTTGGTGACATTCACAACCTTACCGTTTTAAGTCTAGGGTTTTCGGTTTGTTGGTGATATATCAGAAATATGACAGATTAAACTTCAGTAATATTCTAACTACAAGTCAGTAGTCACATGGTGTTGTCTTCACCGTAAATTCTGTCAAGAAGATAAAGACATCCTAATCGCCATTTGAAATAAACATACAGCAAACTTCAATTATTCTCCCATTTTTTGTAAACTCTGAAGCCTTTCCACAATGTATGCTGTGTTATCAGTCGACATTATCACACAGTTATCACTATTACTTGCAGGAAAATTTCCTGAATTTCATGTATGTACACTAGAACTTTGTGAAAATGATCCATTCAGAGAAACATTTTTAGTTTTATCCATATACCTTGACCTACATCCTATCCCAAATCTGTCGACAACTTGAAAGTGGGCTGAACTTTCTTGTTATTCATGGTTAAAAGGAACAATATGATTGGTTAAACGTAAATGAAGGGATAATTTCAAAGTAAAATTTCAGATGTCATTTCTTGTTGAAATTCTCTTGTAATCTTGATTTTACATCTTTTTAAGCCTCAAATAATTTTAGAATGGATATAATTTGCTTATTTTATGCATGTATAGAGATAAGATCAAGAATTTTGTCATTTTAGCATTCAACTTTGTCTCATGTTAAAACAAAAATTCATCATCTTATCTCTATATATGCATAAAAACATGCCAACTACCCCATAAATAGAATAAGATGAAAATGTCTACTTATTATAGGTCTGTGATGGGAAATGATTACTTGTGTTATGATGGAGAATAATCACGTTTAATGACGGAGACTAATTACTTGTTTTATGATGGAGAAAAATTGACTGTTGTAGGAGTATGATGGAGAAGAAAGCTCTGCACTGGAGGTTATTATCTGTTGCCCAGTGTGTGCTGTTTGGAGCTATATCTGCAGGAATGCTTGGCATCAGTCTGGTCAGGAAGTTATCTCCCTTCTTATGACTTGTTAAATAGATATATATATATATATATAGCTCATAAGATTAGATTTTGATTAGGGAATTAGCTTATCAAACAATTTATCATTAACAAGAATTATTCTGTTAGTATTAAATCAATCACAAGTTGTAGGCTGAGTGGTTACAGATGTTGATTAAAAAAATGGCTTTATGATTATTTATATGACTATGATTTGCCTAGATACAGGAAGAGCCAGCAGCATGTGCTGTCAGTATGCTTTAATTATGGCTATTTCTTATGTAATTATTGGCTAACTGTATCGGGATTGATTTCATTTTGAATTCTTTTCTCTGTGAAATGTCTGTTGTGTTTCAATTCAAGTCTTTGTTTCTTGTCCTGTTTTAACTACATTTCTTCCATACATTTTGTATGAGAACAACTTTTATCACAGCACTCTCTTGTTATCAGTGTAATAACACCCATTACATAAATTTTGTGGTTTCCACACTTGTAATAACACCTTGAAGATCTGTGAAAGACTGAAGGTTGTCATTGTTTTGAATGTGACGTTTCAACTTCATGACATCACCTGAATTGTGATGTCACCAAAGATAGAGGTATGGAGTGACAATATCACCAATTTAGATTTGACATCAGACTAATGAAATTATATTTACATGAGTTCTTATAAGACTCTTTCATATGACGGGGTGTTGGATAAGGTTATTCAATCCAGAGGGGCCACAGAACGTCGTAAAAGCCTCAGGTTTTACCACATTTAGTGACTTTGAGGGTGAAATATCCCATCCTTTACCTGGACATATAAAGGAGCATTTTTCTCTCATTTCTCATTCAAAAATATTTGGAAAAAAATAGCTTCAGACATGGTCAACGTACTACAAGGGATGCCATATTACATCAAAATCATATTTTTTATTCTGTAATTAATTGAAAATTAATTCTCAATACCTTAATTTGGCAAACAAAGTTTGCCCAAGAAAATTCAAATGAAATGTAAACAGTCACTACAAATAACTATTTGTACACCAATGTGTATACATTGTATGAGGCGATGACATTAATTGGGAAGGGACACGTAACATTACTACGCATGTGTATCTGTATTGCATGGATGGGTGTATGATACAAAAACAGCGAAACTGGGTGTATTGCCCTGGACACACTAGTATTACACAGGCAGAAAGAGAGATTACACATACAGTTAATATTTAAGTTATATGATAAACAGAATCTCGTACTCGTTTCATTTCATAAGAGATTTATGAAACTTGTCACAAATTTTTTTTATTTTCCTTTGCTTCGTTTAGATAAATTTCATGGAAATTCTTGTAATATCCTCAATGTGTTCGACCCCTTAATTTATTACACCAGCCAATCCTGAACAATTTACAATCAAGTTTATCTTAGTGTTTACATTGTGATGAGTGGTGTATTGTGATGTTGTGACTCTATCTTTCACTGTAACACCTACATTGTATGTTTTCAGTTTTTCTGCACTGTTGATAAGTCCTTGTTCAGAAATAACCCTACACATTACCATTTTATCTCCATTGGTTCAAAGATTATTACTACATAGACTAACACATCTTCTCTGTAACTGAATCAATCACTTATCGAAGGATCCATTGTTGTTACAGTATAAACTAACTCGGCTTAAATCTAAGAAGTTTTATTGGGAAAGTTTAATCTATTCTTGTGTTAAACTTTACACTATCCCACATTTTCTTTTTTCTAAATTAAAGAAAAGGCTAATTTATAACCTTAGTAAATTATGTTCTGATGTGATATGGTAAGAATTATTTTCGTTTTCACATTCATTTTTAATACGTGACCTGTCATTTTGAGATCTTAGCAATATCACATCATTCTAAAGATATGACATTACACATGTTTTCAAATCTTATTGGATGTTAAAGAATTAATGGAGAAATTTGTTTTGCCCTTAGGTTCCACATACAGTGGTCAGTAAGCCAGCACAGCAGTACATCCCTAGGGCTTTTTTTACCTATAGGTCCAAACTCCAGCCCTACCATCTCACCAACTCTTATGGGCTTTTCAGAAGGTACCCACTAGCTCTAGTCATCTACAATGGCAGCATCTGAAGGAAGATAATGCTCATCTGATGACAACTTTACCGAGCTTATCTTTGTTTTAGTGTGCTAAAACTGCAGTTCCTTCCAGGATAATTTATTTACTAAAGAGATAACACATTGTTAATGTTCATGGTCAAAATTTTTAGAAAATTCACAAAGAAAATTTCCAATACCAGTTTTAATTCCTTCAGATCCAGCCATCATATACAAATATATACTCTACAGTTTGCTTGTGTGTTACTTACGGTTCTAGCATGCTTCTTCTGTTTGTTGCTGTGTCTGCTATTCCTTGTGTGTTAATTGTGAAATTACATGTTGCCATGCTTTCACTATAAGCTTTTGTGTAAATATTACTAAGAGTCTATATCATGTCTTTGCAAAGTTCATTTTCAAAAAACAGAATGTGCATGGCACCCAACAAATAAGAAATGATAAAAATTAACTTGACAAAAGATTGTCCATAGCCATGGCTTCTAAAATAGTAAAGTGCGGTCGTCTACTTTTAAAGTGTAATACAGACTACTGTGAAGATTGGATAATTCACTGCCCCAATATCATTACAGGGAGAAAATTAAAGATTTTATAAGTAAAACAGTAGCTTCATAAATAATCATCTATAGCCTAGATATCTTCAAGTAACAAGATGCCCCTAGCAAATTTAAAGTTAAAGTTTAAAATTTGAAAACCCAATTCAGATAAATCCTTAATCAACATCTTGTAGCCACTAGCTATTTTGTTGTGTTCTGTTTTTAATAGTGTACATAATTATATTGTCACACAATGTTGCTTCCAGACAGAATGATAATTTTACATACAATATTTGATGAATGAACACAGTGTTTGACAAATTTTATCCATGCTTTTCTAACATTTGACCTTGACCTTTGAACTAAGGACTTCAGTATATTTAACCTTTGACCTGATGGGTGTGACATGGTATATCGTTGCAGGTTCCCTTATCCTACCTGTCCAACTCCTCCTACTATAGTGTCCCCACCATCTTCAGGAATGCGCACGAAAAGTTTGAGCCCTTCCAGATGACTAGCTCTTACGGATTGTTTAGGGTGTAAGGAATTGTGTTGTAACTGTTTTCTGCTTCTGTGAATCACTTGTACTTTGTGCAGTAGATTTGAGAATGAGGAAGTTGAAACTTCCACTATCACATGACCTACCAACACCTTCCATCCAATAAGGTTTTGATAGTACAACTATTGACAATTAAAACTATACTGTACTAAACTATTAATAATGTGTTACAGTACAAAGTGATTCACAGAAACAATGGTTCTTAACCAGTAGTCCTTTTAACCTTACTACTTAGGGATGGGTTTATCTTCAATGACTTCCTACAAACATCAGAGGTATTGTTGTTTTATCCTGTCACCACCTGTTTGTTCCTTAACTCCTCATTGACTTAGTTAATACTTACTAATTTTCTATATCCAACACTGAAATAACAAAGGGAAAGTCGTATATCACATTGGTATCCATTTTTTAAAAAATGCCTTTAGTACATTTCTCATTATATTTGTTTGGTTGATGATTGTGTGAATTTGATACCTATTAAACTATCTATGCTACCTGTTAATTATTAGTATTAATTGTACCTTAACTAATGTGGCACTTTTTTCTGAACCAAGTGCTAATTTCTTTACCAAGTTTAAAACAACCTATTTGTATGTCAATAACATATTGTAAAATACATTTTATTTTGTACAATATGAACATTTTAATGAGTAAAGGTATTAATAAGCATCAAAGATGCTTTTATTAAGTTGGGAAAAAGCCTGTGTTGATTGAGACCTTACTTTGTGCCATGTATAATGTTCTTACAACAACTTATTTTCAAAAATTGTTTATGAGATGTTATACTTTGTAAATATTCCTCCCTTAAATTTTTTTTGAGGTTTACTACTTTCCTTCCATTGTATTGAGGTTAATATTGTACCAGGTCATCGATTTGTCAGAGTACAGACATATTTTGTCAGGGAACAGATATAAAGGCTAATATTTTGTCAGGGAACAGACATACAGGTCAATATTATATCAGGGAACAGACATACAGGTCAGTATTTTATCAGGGAACAGACATACAGGTCAGTATTTTATCAGGGAACAGACATACAGGTCAGTATTTTATCAAGGAACAGACATACAGGTCAATATTATATCAGGGAACAGACATACAGGTCAGTATTTTATCAAGGAACAGACATACAGGTCAATATTGTATCAGGGTTAGGACATATAAATAATTGTTTTGTCAAGGATTTGTATCACAGGTTGCAGGGTATTTCTCATTACCTGTTCCAATAACAAGAACCGTATTATTATTGCATGACTTCAGTCGCTTTTCTGTGAAGATTCTTGTATTTACTTTTTATCTGTACTTGGTGTATGTTATATTAACGCTGTATATGAGACCTATTATAATAAGTGTCCACAACAAATGCATGTACAGTTTTACTTTTCAGGATGACTGGTGTTGGAGGTCGGCCTGAGGTCATAGTTGAAGGCAGTGACAGCCTAGAAGGAGACTGGAAGGAATACGAGTTTATGTACAAACCTGGGAATCTGTCACGTATACCTCCTGTTGTTGGTGAGTACAGATCTGACCGTCTTGTGATGTTGACAGCAGAGTGTGTATCTGAAGTTCAAAGCTCTGAATGTCTGAACCTCTAAAATCGTCACTATTATAAATTTCTTCAGCCCCTCATCAGCCCCGTTTGGATTGGCAAATGTGGTTTGCAGCCTTAGGAAGCTATCAACACAACACATGGTTTGTCAATATGGCTTACAGACTCCTTCAAGGTCAACCAGAGGTCATACAGCTACTCCACCACAATCCATTTCCAGAGGAACCACCAAAATACATCAGGGCTACTCTCTATCATTACCACTTCTCACAGAATAATGGGTAGGTGTCTTATGATAATTTTACTGTTGTATCACACTTTCAATGATAGAACAGTTTCCAAAGTCTTCTCGCCTCATTTACACAGCAGAGTACAATATGGTTAGAATGGTATGGTATTTTTTGTTGTATTAATTAATTAATTATGTTCTATGAAATAAATGAAATATAGATAAGAACAACAGGCAAAGTTACACAAAATTAAACAGTTGACAGTACAACGATACCTACATAATTTCATCATGAAAACATTCTCATATGGTATTGATGATTTTTAAAACATTAGGAGCTGAAAATGTTTACCCATATATTTATTGTACAGGCAGGACTGGTGGGTAAGAGAGAAGAAGAATGAGTACTTCCCTCCAGTGGAAAAGGATAACCCTTCCTTAGTACAGTATCTCAAACATGCAAAAATCATACCAGAGGAAGACACCAAGGTAAGTCAGAATTACCTCCCTTGTCCTGTATTGTTTAAGTGTTCACATTTTATTTTAAACAATACTCGATATTTCTCAGGCTACCTGGTACATAAAATTCTGTTAAGCTTTTTATTATGGGGAATTAGAAAACAAGCAGTTAGCTCATATCATTTCAACATAATGCTTCTAGAATGTGTAATTTTAGAGACCACCTGACTTCTTTACTGATATTAGCTCTGCTCCACATTGCATTAAAGTAATGAATACATCATGTGTTTTCTGTTGTAAAGTGTATCCATGTTTGCTTATAGCCGATAGAAATGGCAAGCCATGCTAATTTTGTGTTTAAGTAATTTGTGATGTTGACAACTTTTGTACATGTATACTACCATCATTGTCTAGAGATATATATTAAGGAGACATGCAAGGGAACTGCAAAAACATGAACTCTTAACATATCTTAGTGTCACCAAAAAACAAAAAAGGATTACATTGAGGTTTTGATATTAGTTGCAATTGTAGATCTCACTTAAGAGAACCTAATATTTCTTATTTGGATTTTTGTAGGGCAAACAGGACCAGAAAAAGAGACAAATTCTGCCATCCTTCACTCAAAGATTTGTGACTTTTGTCAGAATGCTTGTTGGGCAAACAGATGGATTTACATTTATTTTGTCAATAGTGCTGGCTTCATTTATCATCAATATATACAGCAAGTACTTCTGGTAGTTATATACTCAGTGTGACATCAGGAAGATCATTGCTCAACATCTCTAACTGATAGGAAGAACAGCCCACTGTACAACTGTGGTGGTCCAACAGCTCTTCTGTTACTAATTGTAAATTGAATGTGAACTATTTCAAATTTCAAATCAGATATAGAAGTAAAAGTGAAAGGCCAAAGAAAAAATTATTTTGTTAAAGGTTTCATAAAGTTTCGACTTTATAAGATAGTAGAAAAATGCAAAAGTAGTTGAAATAAAGTTCAGAGAGAAAATAATGACACAATTTAGTATTTCTGCAAAATAAATGCCTTCTGGTTTAAGCTTGATCAGATGGAGAAAATTGAAGTAAATCACTATATCACAATACAACAAACTTTTAAAGTCAACTGAAGAAAACAGATTTCAACTTGGAATGTGTCTCCTCACTGATAAAGTTACTTCCCCTTCTTCCATTTACTGAGAGAGTTCATCATCAAGCTCTACATCATTTTCTGTTTATTTCTGGTTTGGGATATTATCCTTGTTTTTGAGATATTGCTTGATTTGTCTGTTGGTTAGTCTCTTTGTTATTGATATTTTGATGGAATACTCTGGTACTTGTAAAGCTATATGTTCATGCTGCTGAAATAATTCCATTGGGTTGAATTTCATATGAGATATCAAATTATTGATATTTAATACTAGTCTGTACCAAAGAAAATATCTTCTTTATTGATTTGATTTTTACTCTAAAGTACAACATTCCTGTCTTTTGTGACACTGATTTGCTTTTGTTCAACATGTATTTGAACTTGGTTCAACCAGATCTGTTTCACTCACGTTTCTCTCCAAAATCTATTTCCTTCAATTGGACCACTTAATTCACCATGATCTTCTGTAGAAATTTTGCTGTTATGGACCTGGACCATGAAGTATTCTGAACTTTTGTCTTTATCATTTTTAGTTTCAAGTTATTTTGTTTAAATATTTGGGAGTGATTACAATATCAATTAGATAAACAGTGGTTTTATCACATTTTTCCACAACAAAACAATTTGTGCAATTTTATTCCATTTTATGTACTTGTCTATTATTACCGGTAAACTATGGTATGTTATTTTTATAAACTACTATTCAATTTAAATTATGAAAGATAATGTTTACTATGTGATGACTACTTTGGTCCAGGGTTTGATGCTAAATTAAAGTAAGAGATAGGTATTGTCAGTCTTATTATTTAATATATAACAATCAGTCATATGATATATCTGACATGACAAATATATTTTTAATAGATTAACACTCATTTCCTGTCATTATTTTGTAATATCATAATTAACTGCTATACTATAAATCAAATGCTTGGATGATGTTTAATCTTAAGTCTTTCTGTCTCCTAATGTTGTGAGCATTTTTCAAGATCCAAACAGCATTTACTTTGTTTAGATTAAAGACTATTTCTTGCTTGCCTAGTTTAAGTTGTTGAAAAATTATTTTATATTCATGTTTTCCAAACTGTTTCAAGTTTTGTATGTGTATCATTTTCATTAAGAAATGATAGAACATGGCTTTTTCAGGGATTCATTGCTTTATACTTTTTTTTTATACTAAATTGAATTCTTTTTGTGTAGACACAAAACTTGTGTTATATAGTATACCCTATATACAAAATGAACTGGATTAAATGCTGCTCTGGTCTCAATAATTCATCAAGTTATGCATACTGTAACACCCTGAAGAACATAGAGTGAAAATATTATTGATGAGAAATGGTAAAATTATCAGAGATAAGTCCGAGGTAATCAACGATATGTATGCGTGTTGTAATCAGTGATATATACTGGTTATCAGTGATATATACTGGGTTATCAGTAAAATATACTAGATTATCAGTAATATATACTGGGTAATCAGTGATATATACTGGGTTATCAGTGATATATACTGGGTAATCAGTGATATATACTGGGTAATCAGTGATATATACTGGGTTATCAGTGATATATACTGGGTAATCAGTGATATATACTGGGTTATCAGTGATATGTACTTGGTAATCAGTGATATATACTGGGTTATCAGTGATATGTACTTGGTAATCAGTGAGATATTCTGGGTAATCAGTGATATATACTGGGTAATCAGTGATATGTACTGGGTAATTAGTGATATATACTGGGTTATCAGTGATATATACTGGGTTATCAGTAATATATACTAGGTTATCAGTAATATATACTGGGTAATCAGTGATATGTACTGGGTAATCAGTAATATATACTGGGTTATCAGTGATATATACTGGGTAATCAGTGATATGTACTGGGTAATCAGTGATATGTACTTGGTAATCAGTGAGATATTCTGGGTAATCAGTAATATTTACTGGGTTATCAGTGATATGTACTGGGTAATCAGTGACATGTACTGGGTAATCAGTGATATGTACTGGGTTATCAGTAATATATACTGGGTTATTTATGCCATTACAGCCATTAATTACACATATAGGCTGTTCTATCTTTAGAAAACTATTTGTTATGTTGACTATTTGATGTCTTATTTTTTTTACTGAGCTTTTTCTGCTCAAGTGCTGCATAATTTATGATACCAAAGTGTGGAATCCTGTTTTCTATTTTTACATATTAGGCTGATCATGTCCTTGATAGTAGAGCTGTGTGAAATTGAAGATTTTGATTATAGTTCTCCTTTGTGTTGGAAATTCACTAGTGGGGTATTAGTCTCTCCCATTTTGTACCAGGATATTTGAATTCCATTGGCAATATAGAGATATTTTTTTCTTGTGAATGAAACATTTGTTTCTACTTTATACATTATTACGGCAGCCAATATATGTCCTCCGGTATACTTTACAACATTTGTATAAATCTTTAAGCTTGTTTATTTAATATTCGGTTGACTCTAATTACCTCTATATGGAAAGCTTTTTCTAGTCAGAATATAGTGCCACTTTATACAAACTGGGATAGTTTGAACTAAGAGAGTTTATACAAAATGTTAATACTTATAGGCAATAGAAAAACTAGCTTTAGTAGGAATTAATACTGGTGTTTTTACTCCAAACTTCATAGAAATTGTATCTAGTTTTGAGTACATTATAAATGTATGAACAATCAAGGAATTATCACTGAGTATCAGGTGGTTTATTTACTATCCATCTAGAGTTCAGGGGTTCAAGTTTTGGTCTGGTCATCAAATGTTCCGTGGTTAGAGTCTTGGTCTGGTCATTTAGAGAACCTTGGTTAGAGTCTTGGTCTGGTCATTTAGAGTTCCGTGGTTAGAGTCTTGGTCTGGTCATCAAGTGTTCCATGGTTAGAGTCTTAGTCTGGTCATCAAGTGTTCCATGGTTAGAGTCTGTCTTTTTATCTATATTTTAGAGGTTAGAGTCTTGATCTGGTAATTCAGAGTTCAGGGGTTCAAGTCTTGATCTGGTCATGCATTTTTTTCCTCTCCTGTTCCATTTTGCATCCAACAGATTTTTCACTGGTTGTGGTATCAAGCCTTTTTGATGACAGAATTTGTTGAAGGAGAGAGAAGTGATTACAGTGTCAGTGTCTCTAGTTCAAAAGTCCCATGTTGGAGTCCAGTCTAGCTAGTCCTTGTTTTTTGTTTTTTTTTGCACAGGATACATTCGTTTAATGACTTTTACTGTAATTAGATATAATACTATCCATGTGTACAAACTATTATTGTGGGATTGTATCTTTTTACTAACAGTGAGATTTAGATATCCTGTAATACATTTCAGAATGAAAACAAATTTTAGTATTAAGACTTTGAAAGTTAATGATTTATTTTATCCTATTACAAAATTATTAATGATAATAACATCTGCATGTTAAGGCGGTTACTTGCCATTTTGGTGTTTTGAATTATGCAAATCCTAACAGTTTATTTGAGAGAAAGTTTATAAATTTTCCTTGAAATACAGATTACTTCTCATAGTTTGTTCTAAAGTGTGATTTGTGTTTGTCTTGGTGCTTAGACCTGTTGTGTTACTATTGTACCTAAACAGTTATGTGTGTAGTGATAACATGTACCATTATCTGTAAAACTGCTGCCTGCATTTAGTGTAAGTAATCTTGTGTATTCAAGCTTTATTTGTTTTCAGGTGCATGATGTTTTTCTATAGAAAAACACAATAAAGCCTTTTATGTTAACATACAGATTCTGTTGTATTTTAATATTACTCTCTTTGCTGAATGAAGCAGTGCTCTAAACTCTACATGTAAAACATGTATGTATAAATAATTGTTCTTGGAGAAACTTTTAAATCTGCTTCAGATTAAGTCATGCAATATTGACGTGGCATTATTTCATAACATCCAAGATAAAATTACATTAACTACGGCGTTTGGTACAGAATAGTGTCATTTCTCTGTATCTGCATAAAATTCACTCTTTCTTTTTACCAACTGGCCTACCGAAAACTTATTTGAAGAATGTGTTTGGATAAGATTTGTCTCCCTTCATCTGACTGCAACGGACGCGTTCTGACTAGTATTCGCGTACTGGTGACATATATTAACTTTCGTCTATTCAGTTTATAAAAGTTATCAGTTGAGAGTTCTCTGTAAGTAAGGCCAGATTGGTTGAGTAAAATATTCATCTCCGTTGCAATTTATAGACCTATTATATAAAAGGATCTACAGGAAGGGAGAAGTCGTTTACAGTTAGTTAAGAGCACATTTAGCACCTCCATTTCACAATGAAATCCACCCTAAAAGCATTAACAAATAGTTTTTTTTTCAAATGTTAAGTCTACAATCTAGAATAAACCTGGATACATATCACAAAAACTGGCCTTTTCTCGCGATAGAGCTTAATCAGCAGACAGATCCCCTACTCCTCTCAATGACACACCTTCCTTTGTCCTAGATTCCCGGAAGCTTTGAGCTTGGGCAGACAGTAGAGAGAATAATAGGAAATTACTTTTAGTTACGCATCACCTTCTTTTGTAAGCGAGTCGTGGCAGAGAAAATACTCTGATTTAACGTTCTTATTTCGCGCCAACATTTCTTTGATTCTAAATATGTATTCATTCGCATTTTCATTTAAATCATCATTTGGACACGTGAAAAAATGTTTCATTAATTTTGTATTTTTTTGGTGGTAAATTAAATGAAATAAATGTCAAATATACAGATTTCTCGCGAAGTGATTAAAGAAGTACAGGTACGAATAGATCTATTTCGTGTACTATAAAATTTAGCAAGTACTCTGCCGGAAGTAGATATTTCGTCTGCTTAATTCGCATCCGGTGAAATTGATATCAGAACGATGCCTCCTACACGGACTCACAAAAAGAATAACAGTGGCTCTCCGATTCAGCAAAAGCAACAGACAAAGTCCAAGATAGAAATAGACGATCGGGAAGAAGATGATGATATAGAATCGAGGGAACACAGTCTAGACAGTAGCCCATCACGAGGTTTATCTCGCACTTTTCGCTTTTAAGTTTCCGATACCGAAGATTTCCATGAATCCCTCAAACTCACTTCTAGATTTCAAAGTGTACTGCAGTTATCGTTTTAATAACATTGTCAGTCACCTTTAAGATAAACCTTCGAGATTTCTTTTGTATTTAATTTAATATTCAGATTTTTAATCTTCACATTTGCCTATTACGAGTTTTTTAAAAATGTTTTTTTTATGTCTTTCATACAGACAAGGGTATCGTCTGGACATCAGTCTATATCGGAATGACCATTTTGTCGAGTCGTATCACATGAACTTTTGGTCTGCGTTACCTTGCACCCTGATAATTTTGATAGCCATATCAGGCCACGCTTCTAAAAAGAATAAAAAAATTGTAATTTAAACAATTAAAACCACATTAAACTATTATGAGTATATATTTCATTGGTAAATTTGTGTATTTTTTCTTAATACACATTGTTACATGTCAAACATCCTCTCAGATATGATGAAATAACCTATCAATCCATCCTTGGATGCCTCATCCGTCATATGAATAATAGGCAATGTTTTGACTCCACAAATCCAAACATGCATGCCTTATAAATTGTATTGATAAATGATGATTTTTAAATTATCACTTATGATGATTCTTTTTTTTTAACTAGCAAGTGGTATAGCTTGTGTTATTAAAAGAAGTTCATCAACAAATATGGCTTATTTTAGGAAAAAAGGACTAAACAATAAAAACTATAATCTTAACCTGTAGAAAAGGTGCACAGGTATCCACCATTTTCTCACCATTATTTTATTTTGATGTTTTTATCAATATGTAGTGCCCATTGAAACAATGATTTTATGTTAAATGTGTATTTCTGGGTCATTTTAAGTGAACTCCAGCATCATTGTGATTTAATGATGTCATCAGAAACAGAAGTGCACATTTCAGATGAGCGAATTTGAAGTCTTATCCATGGGTATCTTTTTAGACAAATACTGGTCTTTTACTGGTCACATTTTAAATAAATTTTATAGTATGTAAACATTTCTAGTCATTTGTGTCTCTGATTAGTGTCAGTTCATCGACATAGCATAGCTAGCAAAAAATTATTGTTAAGGGATCAGAAACTAGTGTGCCAAAGATATTATGAGGAAAATATCAAGATCCCAAATGTTGCAGAAGAGACAGCAGATCTATTTTGTTCCCATCAATAGTGTTCCCTTTGTTAACAAAATTCCCAGCTTCTGCAGGGGCCGACACTTAGTCACCTCTTACGAACATGTAATTCAATGCATTAGACCAGATGTCCCCATAACAGAGAGCCTTAGAAACAACCCCTGATCTGCATTGGGTGCCCCACATTAGTGGTGCAGTGAGATACGATGGAGCATGTTTATTTTCTGTCACCTGCAAGGGCCAGAAGTAATCATAATAAGATCCCTATAAAATTCTACTACACAGTAACACAACCTGGAATATAATCACACTCCTACTTTTACACTCTGTGATTTTCTTAGTCATTTTGGAAATTGTCACTTGGTGACTGGATTGCTGAATTCCATTTCCTCTACAAGAAAAGATTCCAGATTTATAGATTGGGGAATGGAGTGTTGATAATATTTCATGAGAAAAAAATAAAGATTGCACACAACATTTGACATCCTTGTCCATAACAGTATTTTCACTGCAAATCCATTGTTCAGATTGGTCAAAAATGGGTAAAAATATAAAAACTTGTTACATTCACCTAGTTAACTCAGTGAAAATAACACTGATATTACTGTAAAACTGTACTAATGTATTCTAATTTAAAATTTCAACTGCACTGTCCTCTAGATGAAACCCCAATAATACCAAGACAGGGAAAGAAAAGGACTGCTGAAGACCAAGGGGAGTTCAAGTAAGTGTGATCATCTAGAAGTGTCTCGGTATTTCTTATAAAATGTTAAATGTTATATTTAAAAAGTTGTTTTCAACTGAAGGAACACAATCTTATTCTTTTAAGCATTGTTTTCATTCACATTTTGCAGTATTTCATTAAGTGGCTGTTCAGACGTGTTGTAAACAGTCCTACAACCATGTAGAAACATACAGGTTATTCAAATATTTTATGACATTCTTTTAGACAGTTAAGGAATCATCAGGTAGGCATCAGTTTATTGGGTCTCGACAACAACATTCCGTAATTACTGCACTAGATTTACCTTGACTATTATCAGGTGTCATCAGGGATATCCAATATCAACTATAATGACAGAAACTTTTAAAGTTTATTGGTACAGCCTATTTTTTTTCACAAGAAAGAGTTAACTAGTCACTACATTTTTGAGGTATAAAATGGGGCCCACTTGAAAGGTAGCCTGAGGTATGAATGAGGTTATTTGTTTGAGTGGTCTTGTGGTACTGAAGATGGTAACACTATTTCTAGGTATTAGGTCACCTGGTGAACCAAAGAGGTTTTCTTTGAATTCTCTATGTGCCCCCAACAGAGTCAAAAATACTTTAATTAAATTTATTCTATTTTGTTGAGATTCCAATCTTGGATTTTATGTTGCATAATTTGATTAAAATTTTGTCTACTTTTCAGCAATGAAATGCAAAAGATGCTGGAATGTTTTGGAGGTAATGTACTTTTAAGAGATAAGGTCCAGACAAGTGGCACAGAATTATTTGTGATCAAAAGTATGTTATTTGACTGGACTAGGTCTATGAGGGTGACAAAGTAGCTCAACTGATAAGATTTTGGCAGTCTTGGATTTAAGTTCAGGTCTGGTTGCGACATTTGTTTTAGGATCAAGAACTGGGTTTTATTTGACTGAGTCCATTGCAAATGACCCAAAAGCCAAGTTAGTTAGAAATTTATCTTGGAGGGCCTAGATTTGGTCGTAGCACTTTTCCTGGACCTTGTAGTACTGTTATTTTTTCATTATTTTTACTTTATACTTCATTTGAGTAACACATGTTTCTGGTATTGTTTTATAGCTGACATCACAAAGACATTAGTCAATAAAAGAAAGCGTCTTGAGCAATTTACACAAAATTCACTGAAGGCCAGTAATAAAAAAGTTGAAGAAATTTGGAAAATGCAACAACTTGAAAGGCAAGTATGCTTCACACCTTTGCAAATTATTGTTTATTTTCAAAATCCACTTTCATGTGAAATGTTTAAAATAGTGAAATAGTTAACTAACAAAAACTTCTTTTGAATTTATTTTCAGTTTATATTAAGTTCTTTGCAGATATAAGTTTAAATTTTATCTTGCCATACATAAAATGCATAGAAAATCAAGGTCTTAGTATTTGGCATGGTACTTAGTATAAGTTTTCTCACATGAAGGACCTTGACTTTTGTTTACAGTTACCTGAACTTGTTTTGATATTATCCAAATGCATTTCTTATATTATTGTTAAATATTTCAGAGGGAAGCTGCACACCGAGTACTGTAGACAAATAAATACTGTTTTCAACCAATGGGAAGCTGATCTTGAGAAGACAAAAGAGCAAGAGGAAAAACTTGTGGTATGTTTAATGGAATTACTATCTTAAATCTTTTTCAATCTTGCTGTGAAATCAATATTCATATATACCTCATTAGAACCTTACAACAATTTCTTTGTCTAGATAACATTCAAGTTTAAAGACAAATGTTCCATTTTAATACCATTATAGACCGCCATTTTCCCAGTTAGAATCATCTGGATTACAAGTTTATTAGATTGTCCAATTTGATAACTGCATGACTGGTCATACAGAATTACATCCCTCAAAAACAAGTTTACGAAGCAGTCACAGATATTTTATACATGAAGCTTTGATTTGGAAGTGAAGTTAATGACAACACAAGTAATTATAAAATTAGTGATTATGCCTTATTGAGAATTTCATGGGAATATTCCTAATTTTACATTTTATTTCAAAAAAGCATTTCTTGATCCAGAAATCAATTTTCTGGACTGGTGAGTATGAATATGGTTGAGTAAATCACACTAGGTTAAACTTGAAAACAAAATTCAGAGTGAGCGCTTATAACATTAGATGTACTGAAGATATGTATACAATCCAATTGTAGGCACTTTTCAAGCAGCAACAGAAGCTTTTCCAGCAAGCTAGAGTGGTCCAAAGTCAAAGATTGAAGACTGTCAGACAGCTCCATGAACAGTATACAAAGGTAAGGCTATTACTGAAATCTGGTCTAGTATCTCTTATTATCATGTATATAATATACATTCAAAAGCAGTTGGCATAAATGTGTCTTGTAAGCAAATTCAGATTGTGGTAAATAGCACTATAGACACTATGCATAAATTCAAGCAGGCCACCATGATGTGACCTTACATATTCTAACAAAACTGTCTGCAAATAATGCTACTGTGGCCATTATAGTGTTGATGCAAAATATCAATACAGTTGCTGTGCCCTCTGACCTCCAAATGTTAACTCTATTTCTAACATTTCACCTGTTAAACCAAATTTACCTGAAGTAAATTATGATAATCAATGTTGACTGTTTTAAATTGGTAGGTTTAGCTAAAAAAATAAGAGGATAACTCTGTTTTAACCAAAATTGGTTTCTTTTGCCTCCCAAAGCAACTGCAGCCATTGTAATTGAATTTTGCAATTCCATGATAGCCACCATGATCCACAGCTGTCTGGAATATCCCCATCTTCATTTTAGTTAGATATTGAAATAAGGATATATATTGAAATAAAGACAATATATTATCAGGTTTCTTGCGCTTCTAAATAGCCCAAATCTTCAGAAACACATTCTATGTTTTTGAGAGGAGGGGCTGATATCATACTCAAAGATCACAGTTATTACAAAGTACTTCAATTAGATCACAATATCTTCTACAGTTACTCATGCATTGATCAAGGAATATTGCAGTCACATTTGATTGTCATTGATTTAGTGAATTTGAAACATTCAGAAAGTTTTAAGTTCAGTATTCATTTGCCTTTTGAACTGGAAAGATCATGTTATTTCATCCTTTTCTCCAAGTGTAAAAGGAAATAAACATACATGTGTTATCAATTATTTCATTCACTTTGAAAAATAAATTTCAACATTGGCAAGAAATTTATCTCACAAATGATATAAAATGTATTTTTATATTATGTTGATTTGTGTTGACTGTGGGTAAAACAAAATACTAGCATTAGTTGGATATGTAACCTTCAGGGGAAAAAAATGACGTGGCATTAGAATTATTGTGAAACAATTTTAACAGGGGATGGAGGATCTTGGAACATGCCACAACTCTCAGCAATCAACTGTTCAATCAGAATTGAAGAAGGAGATGACACTTTTGCAGAAGAAAATTCTGATGGATACTGTAGGTTTAACCATTATACAAGATTCATTAATCGGTTTAAATTTCATTAGAAACACCAAAACAATACCATCTGAAGTAGGTCTTATACTAAGATATGCGCAAAGACACAAGACAAATTATAGGCTATCAAGTGTGACAATTTTAGAAGCCATTGGATCCACAAAAAAAAAATTGAGAGGACCAATAAAAAGTGTGTCAGCATAATTCATTTCAGGACCTCGATTTAAATAAGACTGAAATTGAAGAAATATTTTTACAATATTTTTTTTCTGTCTTAGTATATTTTGAAATCTACATTTTGAATTGCATATAAAAAGCAAAATATCTTTTCATTCATTTTTACTTACAGCAACAGCAGGAAATGGCCAATGTGAGGAAATCTCTACAGACAATGTTGTTTTAAGAACCTGACACCTGTGTTTCTTAAGTTGATTATTCACACAGACAATACATAAGGAATCATGCATTTGGCTGAGAGTCTCTTAATTGGACATGTGTTATAAACCTATGTTTCAATGTTTCTTCCATTTATATATTTATGAATTTCTGTACAATAAAGAATGTAATGCTCATGGTAATATTTGGATGTTTATTTCAAAGAAAACAGATCATGAAACTTGATGAGTGAATACTGATACCTAGCATATATTTTAAACTATTCACTAGACATAAGCCATGTAAAAAGATTTTGCTTATTCTGAAAAAGTGCAATGTTTTGAATCATGAAATACTGTTATATATTGAGTGTTACTGAACTGAAAATTACATCAATGCTTCTATAGTAATAACCAGATCCAGATTTGATGTGATTTAACTGAAAACATGTTATTTGTGTGTTTTGAATGGCAGAAACTCATCAGAGAATGAAACCAAATTCACTGTTAATTACTATTTAAAGTGCTTGATTGAGGCTAATGGTCAGGTTTGGATATATAAACATTTGTTGAAATGTTTTTATATCATAATGCAACACAATTTAACCTATGTTTTACATGTACTTTAATACTCCAAAAACAGACTATCCTAAACATTTGAAATTCAACAGCCATTGAGGTTTCTTATTTATTTCAATTCTTTAACAACCTTATTCGGCGTGGTAGATGTAAGTCTGAATTGGACAAGTACACTTTTGACAAAGTGTCCTGTACATGATGATGCCAAATTAAGAGTCCTGAAATTTTGTTGACAAGTGTTTACAGATGTTTGCAGTTGTGTGAGACTGTTGATGGTTGTGTGACTTGAAGTGTTCAGCTGTGTGATACTTGGTATTATACTAGGTTCTGGTTTACTTTCAATCAGATTGGGGATTAGGGATTAGTGTAAGTGCTATCATGGATTGGGTTCCATAGATAATGGACTATTGCTTTGTCTTGTCATTCCTTCAGGAGTTGAATGTTATTTGGAAGGAACGGAGTAGATGGGGAAGATGTTCATGGACTTATTCTGAAAGAGCGTACCAAGTAGCACGCTAAGAGAGAGAGAGTTTCATAAATGGTAGACTGCATAAGGATGAAAAGTCTAGTCATTTACCTTTAGACAGGAAAGCTATTTTCAGAGAGATGGCATGTATAGAGAGGAAGTTACTTTCACCTGTCTTGAGGATCAGACCGAATGAAGAGAATTCCTAAATCTGCTAAAGAGATGTCCAAACTCTCTCATCAGTGTGCTGAGGGAAGAAGTGATGCATTCACTTGAGCACTTTCCTCTATTGTCAAGCTAATAATTTCAATATAAAGTAAATCAATTTTCAAAAATTCTTTGTTAATTGGAAACATATGCCCCCTGGTAAGAGGGTTTGAGTAAACTGACTTTACAATATTTATTTGTTCACATCCTTATCCTGATGATGACGATGATGATGATGTTGTTGCAATGCTACATCATATGATTCAAAAAGGAAAAAAACAACCATCAAAAATATAATTTACTTTATTCCTAAGTTGTTTTCGAATAAATAGTTAAATATTTACAAAGTACAACATAACAATTCCATCAAACAATACTCTCTTAACATATGGCAGTATCTATTTAATACTGTTTAAAATGAGCAATTCTGACAACAAAAATACTGTGTCGCGGTTTTAATGCACTAGTCTATATATTAGCTAACAACGAGTAAAGCAAAACAGCAATAACAACATCAAATCAAAACATTTGTAGAATGGCTATTGGACTAAATACTGTATTGTACATTTACTTAGAACTGTCCATTTACGTTATGGACGACAAACTTTAAACAATTGTGAATTACAGGTATTTACAAAATATACCATATTGTTATCACATAGATCCATGATTTTTTTTTTTTAAATTTTGTTGTAGATTAATTAATTCAACATCAAATAAATTGGAAGTATTGAAATGGTTCTTTTTATTTGCTGCGACCGACTGTGTTTGAATCAATTTAAAACATATTTCCTTTGATTGTTTTTATGTTAAACCTTGTCATCTGGGACAGTCTAAAATTAACATGAAGTAACAGCTTTAATTATATAGATCTAAAGATAGTAATGTACTTCTCTAACCATAACTGATACACATCAGGGAAAAAGTGAATTGACATTTTACAGATAAGCAACATTGTTTAGGGAGAAACTGTTTAAATCTTAGTTTGCAAAATGTTTCAATTAATATTTTTGATATATATTCACCCGTAAGTGATATTAACATTTTATTGATAGTTAATTGAGTTTACTAAATTACATTCAGCAAATGGTTGTGCAAATATATCTCGTTACAGCGTTTGAACCACTAATAGGAATGATAACACTTGTGTTATAATATTGACCAAGTCCTTTGTTTTAACTTCTGTACATAAACTTGGATAATGTATGAATAACATATGGTTAATATATTTGAAAGTGGGACTGCAAAACGTAGAATATTGATTTTTTAAAACGCCTGTTTCTTCTGTCAAGCAAACGGTGCCGTATCGCTGTGTATAAAACGAACTTGTGATATACATTTACACTTTCGATCAGCTTCTATTCAATGATATGAATGTTGCTATGATTTCAGCACACACAATTCTTTTAAAAAAAGTATGTTATATTGATAAAAAAAACTTGCCTAATATACTCGTCAAGTTATCATCTATTCATTTTTCAACATTCGTTCACTTATATCACAAACAGCTTTACTGAGAACTTCCTCAGAACTTATGTTCTGGTAAGTAAATAACATCAAATTTAAATGAAAACTGACATTGATATATAAACACTAGTTACTTGTACAATCAAAAATACTTAGATAGTTTATGTAATATTCAGTGTTATCATTTAATTGGTATCGATATTATTGATAGTGAAGTGTTTCGAAACATGATTAACGACTTTATCATTGAGGTATATAGAAACAATATAGACATAACAAAAGACGAACATAAATTGATACAGGTAGATAAAAACACAGGTAAAATTATTTCACAGGGATTATCAGACATCATTACCAATGATCGATATCAGAACGTGACTCCACACGCCTGATCGAGTGAACCCGATAGATCGACAACCGAGGTAACAACACACTGATAACCGGAAGTAAATACTTGTTTAAAAAGACTTTGTTTCGTAGTGAGATGTTGGACTAGTATCTGATATACAGTACATATACATTTTTTTACTTAGTCCAGAGAATGAATGAACTTAACACCGAGAAGCACAGAAAGCCGTACACAGATTGAAATACATAATAGTTCAAACGAGTATGCATGTAGCCAAATACTGTACTAATCCCAGAAACGTTGGTATATCGTCTTGTACTTATCGCAGTGACGTTGTCATATCTTTTGTAAGTCATGATTGAAACTTGTTTTAGCAAGCAATAATTTCTAAATGTTTTACTTGTTAATGAAAAATACAATAGTTTTTAAAGATTTTGATATGAGGATGCATGAGCAACGCTTTGTCTTAGGATTCTCTAAACACATGTATAATTACCTAACACCGATATCAGCATCATACAGTACTGTTGCTTCATCATGATACATAACTCATAATTTCAAGTGTATCCTAAAGACTTTTGGAATCTAACTTGCCTTGCAATAAGCGTCATGTAAAGCCTTACGAATGTTTACCAACGCTTAACAATTTACCTATATGTTGGTAATATGACTACATGTGTATTTTTGTTAGTTCTTGCTTGCGTGATGTGACCATGCTCATATTAATTTTTGCTACAATTCTATAAAGCTGGGCTTCCGTTTGCGTCCATATACGCCGAGTTCTGTCCAAAACAATACAGACTAGGAGGATATTTGGGTACAGGTGCGTACCCATTTTCCTGAACTTCGTATCCACCAGTGTTCTCAGTTTCGTTGGTCTGACCATTTCCTGTTCCGTTTTTATTGGTTTTCTCGTCTGTGTTGTTATTGCCGTTAAGTTGGGAGAGTTTGATGTTCTGGCGGTACTTGGGCTGCTCCCAGGGCCAAGGAGGACGATTCATCGGTCGTGACAGTGGAGGGTCAACATTCTCGGACAGCCATTCGGGGTGCACGATGAAATTGGACCTCGAAGAAAAGGCATTCTGAAGCAAAATAAAATTCAAAGTTACTGCTTGTTTCATTTATACCTTAAAAGTTCTCCGAGATGGATAACATAGTTCAGTTTTAATTTTTTTTCTTTCTAATCGTGGTGTTTTAGCTGTTGACTACAATGTTATTCAATCAACGAGATGTGATTTCACTTTCTAAATGTTAATTTCCTCTTCTTTCTCTTTACTGATTGCTGTTCTAGGTTAAAGCTACGTGTTTGTATGTACTCCTTCATGATTAAGGAGCAAAACTAATCTGTCTAAGAAGTACAATGCACGACAAAACCATTTATTACTAAAGCTAGATTATTTCTACATCATCGCCACATATCTAAACTATTTCATATTTTCATAATCTTTTCTCGAACCAAACTGTTTAGTTATGAATTCTTATTTTCATCTGAATCCAAAGTATCTCATTATTAAAACCTCCATATTTACATTCCTGAATCTGAACTATTTCCTTATACCAAAACAAGAAAACATTTGAACGTTTGAACTGACACGTATCGGTTATTCGCAATAGTCAGATCAAGTTTATTTCTGTAAACGGAATGCTATCAAATCTCATTTATTAAGTACAACATGAATTAAACCGAGGATAAGCCACTAAGCCCTACACATGTTGCTGGAAAGTAGCCGAGTCTACCTTATCAATACTCCAGATTGCCCACCACCTTTGCCGTGATTAGTGGAATCAAAGGAGGCCTAAGCTCGCAGATTTTATATTACAGGGGGCGGGGTGATAAAACGGAAAACCGGTATATACTTATTGATAAGGCAGTAAAAATTAACGTAGTTTATTAACAAATACATATCGGCTAAATGTATAAATATTGACCACGAACGAAATGAGCTATCTCAGCGCGCTTTTTTTTTCGTAGTTTACAATAAATCACTGTCATCGACTATAAACTTTCATCCGTTCGGGAATTGTCTTCTTTTCACACTGTCCATATTTTCAAAGAGACCATTGGTGGAAAAAAATCATTAGTTAACTATGTCATTATTTTGGAGCCGCCCATAGCCAAATGTTTCGTAAGCATTTGTTATCGTATTCTGGGCTAAGGATTTCTTGTCTTTCCCGTTGTAAACCGGGCACGTGTAGTAGCAGTAGTAAAGTAGATATCATTATTTAATAATGATGAGCTGCAAAGCTCTAGAGCATGATAAAGAATTGATCGATCAATTATTTTGTTTTTTTCCTAAGCCTTTCCATGAGTTTAAATCGAGTCGTTTATGTAATATAAAGTTATCCTATTACCCAGATAGATTAACATACGACTTAGAGACATTATATAGGCGGTATATGATGTTTGTACACGGAATACAGAATTAATATCATTCTACACAGTGGACATTCCAGTTTCACATTTCATTGTGACTGTGTGTACATATAAAGATTTAATGTCAATAAAAGTTGCGACCAGTGTTGTTTTCCTAAACAGGCGTAGGTTTGGGTATTGTGTTTTAATGATATGATTAAATAAGTCTCCAAACACTTACCCCGAATAGACTGTCTTGGTGACTGTAGTCCTGGGTGGGTGGACGTAGGTCCCTGTAAGTATCAAAAGAATGTCAAAAACAAGCATTTATAAAGTCAGACGGCATCAAATCTTAGTTGATGGAACCGAAAATTCTCAGTTCAAATTACAAATACTCAATTTAAATTACAATAAGTGGCTATTTCTTATAGTCTGGATGAAAATAATCAGACACTTCAGATGTTTGAATGACATCTATGATGTTACTGAAACATATTTTCACATATTCCCATGACTGTCATTTTTACCTAAAGTTGATGTAATCCATTCGGACGTTGAATAATATGTAGAATGCCAATACATAACATAATAAAAGGTTATATACAGACGATAGTCTGTAACGAATTCTCAGGCCCTAGTCACATGGCCTGTTAATATGTTTCTGGTGGATCAGGGCTTGTATAATTTAACTGGTAGTTATAGTATAGTAAACAAGCCCCCACCGCCCGGAAACATTGTTACAGTCTCCTGTAGTCTCGGTGGTTCAGAGGGTTGTGTACTGTATACTAATGCACGCCTGTAAAATGCATAAAAAAAATCCCCAAACCCCCGTACAGCTCTATAATTCGCACCTGACTCTCAACTTCCCTATCAATAATCGAATGGATTTTCTCTATCATTTGCAATCACTACGTTGGTCGGACAGAATCAGTATTCAATTATCATTAAATATATAGTAAGCACACCCCGCTTCATGTGCAGACTGCAAATGAATTGAATTGTACGTAACAGGCAGTCACAATTATACTATAAATTATACATGTGTCGGTGTCACGTGGTTAATTTAACAACTGCATGTAATTAATTACGACCTGGTGTTGCATATCATCACATATACCCACAGGGACACGAAACATCTCATACGACCCTGGCCTATTGGGTTTAGGAGGGGGGGGGGAGAGATTACAACGACACATCTGAAAATAATAACAAAACACATGCTGCGAACAGCAGATTTTTGTGCCTTTTATAAATAGGAAGTAATGTGGTAGAGATTTACTTTTTAATATCTTTCAGATAAGATTTATTTTATTTTTGAATACATAAAAGTACATCAATCAATCACATACATTATAATGTTCTGCCTAGAAAGGCTTACGCCGAGACACTTTAGCTACGCGTATTTTAACATTTGATTTCCAGGTAATTATCACAAATCTTTTCATAAAACATATCTATTAAGCCTGTATTAGCACCAATCAACAACATTATTTATACCCACAGTAGTTACAGTAGTACTACAAAATAATTAGGATCTAACTTAGTCATGTGAAAATATAAAATGACAAAAGCATAATTTGTAATAGGAATTCAATAAATAATAAATAATGATTTGCATACCTTTGCAAATTTGCTCCAATGAAAATTCTCAGTGTCATTTCTAATTTCCGATAAATATATCTTAATAGACACCTATTCATTATGGTGATATCACCTGTTCAATATGGCGATATCAACCTTAAGTATGGGAACAAAATTAAAATAGCACCCCATACCAATTGCCCATAAAAACACATTCCTAAAAACACACACATCACGAACGATTGCTTCAGTAAGTATTCTAGAATTAGCAGTCTGGCAAAAGCAAACATTAAAATCGTTATGGAGTTTTAACTTGAGAGTTAATATTGAATTAAAACAAGTGTGATACGGTGGATTATTACTGTAAAGATGTACACACGGATAACTTTAAATTGTCGACCATAGATCTATCGACTATAGTGGCAGATCTATCTACCATAGTCACAGATCTATCGACAATAGTCACAGTTCTATCCACTATAGTCACAGATCTATCGACTATAGTCACAGATCTATCTACCATAGTAACAGATCTATCGACCATAGTCACGGATCTATCCACCATAGTCACATATCTATCTACCATAGTCACAGATCTATCGACTTTATTCACAGATCTATCCACTATAGTCATTGATCTATCGACCATAGTCACAGATCTATCGACCATAGTCACAGATCTATCGACTATAGTCACATATCTATCGACAATAGTCACAGATCTATCCACTATAGTCACAGATCTATCGACTATAGTCACATATCTATCTACCATAGTCACAGATCTATCGACTATAGTCACAGATCTATCTACCATAGTCACATATCTACCACCATAGTCACAGATCTATCGACTATATTCACAGATCTATCGTCCATAGTCACTGATCTATCGACTATAGTCACAGATCTATCTACCATAGTCACAGATCTATCTACCGCTGTCACAGATCTATCTACCATAGTCAAAGATCTGTCTACCATAGTCACAGATCTTTTGACTATAGTCACGGATATATCGATTATAGTCACAGATTTATCGACCATAGTCACAGATATATCGACTATAGTCACAGATCTATCGACTATAGTCACAGATCTATCGACTATAGTCACAGATCTATCTACCGCTGTCACAGATCTATCTACCATAGTCACAGATCTATCGACGATAGTCACAGATCTATCGACTATAGTCACAGATCAGTCTACCATAGTCACAGATCTATCTACCATAGTCAAAGATCTGTCTACCATAGTCAAAGATCTGTCTACCATAGTCACAGATCTTTTGACTATAGTCACGGATATATCGACTACAGTCACAGATCTATCGACTATAGTCACAGATCTATCGACTATAGTCACAGATCTATCTACTATAGTCACAGATCTATCGACCATAGTCACAGATCTATCTACTATAGTCACAGATCTATCGACCATAGTCACAGATCTATCTACTATAGTCACAGATCTATCTACTATAGTCACAGATCTATCGACTATAGTCACAGATCAGTCTACCATATTCACAGATCTATCTACCATAGTCAAAGATCTGTCTACCATAGTCACAGATCTTTTGACTATAGTCACAGATATATCGACTTTAGTCACAGATCTATCTACCATAGTCACAGATCTATCGACAATAGTCACAGTTCTATCCACTATAGTCACAGATCTATCGACTATAGTCACAGATCTATCTACCATAGTAACAGATCTATCGACCATAGTCACGGATCTATCCACCATAGTCACATATCTATCTACCATAGTCACAGATCTATCGACTATAGTCACATATCTATCGACAATAGTCACAGATCTATCCACTATAGTCACAGATCTATCGACTATAGTCACATATCTATCTACCATAGTCACAGATCTATCGACTATAGTCACAGATCTATCTACCATAGTCACATATCTACCACCATAGTCACAGATCTATCGACTATATTCACAGATCTATCGTCCATAGTCACTGATCTATCGACTATAGTCACAGATCTATCTACCATAGTCACAGATCTATCTACCGCTGTCACAGATCTATCTACCATAGTCAAAGATCTGTCTACCATAGTCACAGATCTTTTGACTATAGTCACGGATATATCGATTATAGTCACAGATTTATCGACCATAGTCACAGATATATCGACTATAGTCACAGATCTATCGACTATAGTCACAGATCTATCTACTATAGTCACAGATCTATCGACTATAGTCACAGATCTATCTACCGCTGTCACAGATCTATCTACCATAGTCACAGATCTATCGACGATAGTCACAGATCTATCGACTATAGTCACAGATCAGTCTACCATAGTCACAGATCTATCTACCATAGTCAAAGATCTGTCTACCATAGTCAAAGATCTGTCTACCATAGTCACAGATCTTTTGACTATAGTCACGGATATATCGACTACAGTCACAGATCTATCGACTATAGTCACAGATCTATCGACTATAGTCACAGATCTATCTACTATAGTCACAGATCTATCGACCATAGTCACAGATCTATCTACTATAGTCACAGATCTATCGACCATAGTCACAGATCTATCTACTATAGTCACAGATCTATCTACTATAGTCACAGATCTATCGACTATAGTCACAGATCAGTCTACCATATTCACAGATCTATCTACCATAGTCAAAGATCTGTCTACCATAGTCACAGATCTTTTGACTATAGTCACAGATATATCGACTTTAGTCACAGATCTATCGACTATAGTCACAGATCGTACTCTAATATAAAAAAGAAAGAAAAAAAATAAATCTATATAAAAAAATACTTTTAACAGGTCCCATATATTACAGTGAAGTAAATAGTTGATGTACTTCGTCGTTAATAATGAGATATTATTTTAGTAAGGAGCAGTCACACAAATTACAATTCAGCGGTAAAGATATAGTGACCTTGTTACAGAATCCTGATATAATTACATGTAAATTAATTAGGATTTATGTACATGTATACATTATTTGATGATAATTTCGACGTGGTTGAAAGCCATAACTGTAACGGGAAGGCTGCCCCCTATATGAACAAGGAAATAATATATCAGTATTGTTTCATGTACGTACTACAGTCAAATGACAAAAACTGTAAAACAGAATTACCATTGTCAAGTGTTGTCACCTTCAGTTACGTGCAGAGTTCCAACTACCAAATCAGATTTAGAATACCTGTTAGTTTAAGGAGCGATCTATAGTCCACATACAATTAATAGTATGAATGAAATGGATTACCGTATGTATTAAGTAAGTTGGAGACTATTTGTCCGCAGCAACACACACTACTCTGTGTGATTTATCAAAAGGTAGCGTACAAATAAAAACAGAATTTGTTTTCACCGAAAGATAATCAGTTACAAAGTGGTTCTAGAACAACATGTAACATTATTTATAATCCAGGGTGACTAAATCTCTTTAAATATACCTAACATTTCCGAATATTGCCGATAGGAATCTATATTGTGTACATATCAGTGTATAAAATGTTTTTTTCCTAATGTTATTCTTCACAATTTGCCAAAGCATGGGTGCACAAGGTCTTTATTTCAACAGTAAGACCCAGCCTCAACATTTCTATGTCATATTCGACTTGAGATAAGTGTGTTAGTGATGCGTACCCGTGGGACTTTTAACACTGGCCTCAAACCAAGTGACCCTAAGAGGACCAACAATAACGGCTAGTCCGATATGACACCTATATGTTGAATTGACATGGGTTGGTTTTGTCTGTACCAGACGATCTGCACTATTGGTCACAGTACACGGGAGGGCACTGGGAGGCCTTTAGGAGGGATCCGTGTGTACAACATTTTATCAATCAGAATAGAACAAATAATAATGAATGGTTTTTGTACAGTTTTAATTGTAAATAATTGTCATGCTGTTTTAGACGGAGGACTTTATGTTATAATAACGTCTATCTACTTGGAAGACCCACAATATCCCTGACACAGTAACCTACTAAGACACGTACGTGGATTCCAGCCCTTACAACACCTGTGCATTACACGTGTTCTCTAATTAAAACATGACCTTGCCATTCAAGGTGTCCACTTCTTTTTAGAACAAAAAAAAATTAGTTATTATTATATTTTTAGGACACGGTCCCATTGAACCGATTTCAACTCCCCACATTTGTTTCTTTACACCTTCTTCCATGGCTGTTGGAACCGATTGAAGAAATATTAAAGTCATATTATAGTAAAAGCAACTTTTTTTCTTCCTAAATCCACCCATGATCTTTGCAACCCGACAGCATCATAATTGCAAATACAGATGTTACATTGTGAAAAACAAAGTGCACTGAAACCAAAGCACCTGGGCTTAAAATGGTTCTTATTATACACAAACCTATATATCCTAACGAAAGAATTTCAAATCTGACCAATGGGTCTGGTTAAAGAGAGTCCACTGCGCACAGTAACCATATAGTCTAGACTAAGGTGGCTACACTGCGCACAGTAACCAGATAGTCTGGACTATAAGGCGGGTCCACTGCGCACGGTAACCATATAGTCTAGACTAACGAGGGTTCACCGCGCACGGTAACCAGATAGTCTGGACTAAGGCGGGTCCACTGCGCACGGTAACCAGATAGTCTCGACTAAGGCGGGTCCACTGCGCACGGTAACCAGTCTATACTAAGGCGGGTCCACTGCGCACGGTAACCAGATAGTCTGGACTAAGGAGGGTTCACTGCGCACGGTAACCAGATAGTCTCGACTAAGGCGGGTCCACTGCGCACGGTAACCATATAGTCTAGACTTAGGCGAGTCCACTGCGCACGGTAACCAGTCTAGACTAAGGCGGGTCCACTGCGCACGGTAACCAGTCTATACTAAGGCGGGTCCACTGCGCACGGTAACCAGATAGTCTGGACTAAGGAGGGTTCACTGCGCACGGTAACCATATAGTTTGGACTAAGGTGGGTCCACCGAGCACAGTAACCATATAGTCTGGACTAAGGAGGGTTCACTGCGCACGGTAACCAGATAGTTTGGACTAAGGTGGGTCCACTGCGCACCGTAACCATATAGCCCAGACTTAGGCGATTCCACTGCGCACGGTAACCAGTCTAGACTAAGGCGGGTCCACTGCGCACGGTAACCAGTCTATACTAAGGCGGGTCCACTGCGAACGGTAACCAGATAGTTTGGACTAAGGAGGGTCCACTGCACACACTACACTAACCACAGAGACCGGACTAGGGAGGGTTCACTGCGCACACTACATTAACCACAGAGGCCGGACTAAGGAGAGGCCACTGCGCACACTACACTAACCACAGAGGCCGGACTAAGGAGAGTCCACTGCGCACACTACACTAACCATAGAGGCCGGACTAAGGAGAGGCCACTGCGCACACTACACTAACCACAGAGGCCGGACTAAGGAGAGTCCACTGCGCACACTACACTAACCACAGAGGCCGGACTAAGGAGAGGCCACTGCGCACACTACACTAACCACAGAGGCCGGACTAAGGAGAGTCCACTGCGCACACTACACTAACCGCAGAGACGGGACTAAAGAGGGTCCACTGCGCACACTACACTAACCACAGAGGCCGGACTAAGGAGAGTCCACTGCGCACACTACACTAACCACAGAGGCCGGACTAAGGAGAGTCCACTGCGCACACTACATTAACCACAGAGACCGGACTAAGGAGAGTCCACTGCGCACACTACACTAACCGCAGAGACGGGACTAAAGAGGGTCCACTGCGCACACTACACTAACCACAGAGGCCGGACTAAGGAGAGTCCACTGCGCACACTACACTAACCACAGAGGCCGGACTAAGGAGAGTCCACTGCGCACACTACACTAACCACAGAGACCGGACTAAGGAGAGGCCACTGCGCACACTACACTAACGCAGAGACGGGACTAAAGAGGGTCCACTGCGCACACTACACTAACCACAGAGGCCGGACTAAGGAGAGTTCACTGCGCACACTACACTAACCACAGAGGCCGGACTAAGGAGAGTCCACTGCGCACACTACATTAACCACAGAGACGGGACTAAAGAGGGTCCACTGCGCACACTACACTAACCACAGAGACCGGACTAAGGAGGGTTCAATCTGCACTATAACCAGAACGGAATAAGGTGTGTCCATTGTCATTCTTTTTACAACGAAGGAGTCTTTGTGTAACCTCACCACAGTCTGGTCCAAGAATGACAAATTTTGTACCAAGTTCGGACTAAGGAGGGTACTGTGTATTTTCCAACCAAAAAGTATACGGGTAAATTTGCCCGGACTAAGAGAGTTGCACCGTGTACATAATCCATTAAGGTAGCTGCCTTAGCTGTTTACCCAGAGGGGTTTACAGAAGGTTGAAATGACTGAAGTGTCGGTACGACGGAGGCAGGTACAGGAATAATAATGTAATTGTGAGGTGAAGTCTGTTTGAATAAATCTAACCTCATATGTAGTGCTTGGCGCCAGGTTAAATGTATACTGTGTATCGGTTATAAAATCGATCGAACCACAATTCTTATTTGCTCAGATTTTAATAGATTACGTAATATTAACAAAAGGATGATACCCGAACACCGGAGGTGGAATACTTATAAATAGTGTAACCAAGTTGTAACACAATATCATAATCGACAAGACGACCAGCATGGAAAGAAATTAAAGCGATTTTAAAAATATACTTCAATGGTTGTATGAATGAAAGTATCTTGTTACGTTACAAGCTGTGCCTGTTTGATTCGCTCATGTAACCGTTGTCAAAAGACATGTAGAACGTCCATGCTATACCCTTGTTCTCCTAGTAATCCCCCTCTGTAACACACATCCTCTACCACATTGCGTCCTCTCCCTCTCTCCCACAAAGGCACCCTCACTCGTACGACATATTCCCTCTCCCAAATAACAATTTTAAGATACTCATATGACACGATATCTCTTCCAGATGACACCCTTGCCTACAATCTCATGTTTCCCTCTTCCATATTTAAAATGCCCAAACGACATACCCCTATTCAATATGACACTCTCGCCAAACACTCTCAACATGAATGATAAGTTACCTGCAGATTGGGAAGGGATATCGGATATCAGGGTGGTGTTGACTTAGCTCCCCCACCCCCAACCCCAACCCCTACCCTTTCCCCTTCCATACCTTCAACCCTATCCCACCCCACGAAAATACCAATCGCCTAAAAACAAAACTAATACTTTCTTTGATTTTTAGCTGAGGTATTTATTTCATTTAGAATATCGTTATGTCGATCGCCCGTTGTTCATATATCAGGTGAAATTCCCATTGTTGAATGAATTTAAATGTCCCTATTTATATCCATACAACATAGACGTATCTAGTTTGGTTGTTAAGACCGTAATTACACATGTGGTATTGTAACTGTGCACTAGTAATATAGATCTGACAGACACGTTTATGTTTATCAAAATACAGAACAAATGTAATTCACAGAACTCTAACAAATTAAAGGCAGGTACTTACTCGACTGTTTTCTGTTTTTCGGCCAAACTGGTCATTTTGAGTATCTGAAGGCCCTTGGTGTTGATCTCCTGGTGAACAGGACACTTGCCAATGTACGACTGCAGTCGACCGGCTCCTAATCAGATCTGGCGCAAAAACCAACACGTAGTAAGCAGATCAGAAGGCTGTATTGTAGACATGGTATCGTAGTACCGTAATTGTGTCGGTTACAATTACCGTAAATTATTAAATACACGTTACGAGAGCACGATGTACGTCTCGTCCTAGGAGAAAGGAATATTGAGGAAAGAAAGATAATAGAACCAAGAACAGAGAGAGAGACACAGAGAGAGAGAGAGACAGAGAGAGAGAGAGGGAGAGAGAGCAAATGGAGAAAAGGAAGGAAATGGTTAAAAGGAAATGAGGCACTAAGACATGGAAAAGACATAAGAAAATTAAGTGATGCATCCTGTTACCGTCAGTCTTGACCATTCGTTCTCCGGATTATCTTGGAAACTGCTCGTGTTTCCAGGAGCTTTCAGAAACGATAGGAAACAACAAATAATTTTAGAGAGTTTCCAAAGTTTTCCCTTATTATAGACCCGACCCGTTATATTCCGGCTCCTTATAACATAGTTTTAGTACATAAGCACGTTTGATAATCTATGTTGTCACAAACAAACCTTAATATCACGGCTGGGTAACAATAGAACATTATAATCAAGGTTTACCAATAACTGAACATCATTCCACTAAATCACAGAAAGTATACCTATCTCTTGTGTCGTGTGATATTGTTCTAGTTCGAATTCTTATAAAATTCAAAATATCACATGTAGAGTTTGGTCTGTATGATGCCTTAAAGCGAGTATATAGCTCTATATATGGTTACATCTAGTCATAGACTAATGTTACATTATCCTAACTACGGTACTTTTAATTCTCTAATGCCTGGGACCAGCCTACCACGGAGGTTACCATGGAGGTCATATATATTTCATCATGTAATCGACATGTTTTGCTATAGTTTTTATGTTGTATTGTCAATGGTACTAGAATCTATATATTGACTTACAGGTACAGTTAGTGTATTGGTTTAATGAACGTATTCACTGCTAACTACACAATTCTAAGCTCTTAACAATATTCTGCCTGTAAAAATATGTCAATTTGCAGTGTCTACGCCATTGACAATGATTTCAATAATCAATTATTTGATTTAATTTTTTTACATCTGTATGATACTTAACCATAATATGCAATGAAATATCACCACACGTGATTTCGGGAGATGCAGGTTGATAGAAACTATGGGGAAGTTTTGCGGTTGTGATGTGCCATATGGAGCTGAACGTTTTTGGTGCTTGGTTAGTCTGCCTGTTGGTTCTGTTGTTATATAACTTGTTCTTGTTTGAGAACATGATATTACTTACATGGCCTGACCAAGATTTATATGACGTCTGTTACTGACGAAGCAGAATATACTTACCCTTCCGGAACACCAACTCTTGTTCTCCTTGTACTCTTTCATAAGTTTTCGTCATCCTCGATAATCAAAGGGTTACGATAACTTTCGCTCTCTTAGCGTGCTGATAGCGAAAGTGATTGTTACCCTGGAGTATCCAGAAAGTTTTCGTGTAAAGCTTTCTCTTGTTTATATTTTGCATTAGTTTTATTTAATGTGAGTTTGGATTATGATTCTGTTTACTAGTTGGTATTTTCTTGTTGTTTTATGTCGTTATGTTATGCATTTGACTGGTACATTATGTACAAGTTTAAACCATGACATATAACTTTAGGTTTCTATATGTCGTTATATAATGCATTTGACTGGTACATTATGTACAAGTTTAAACCATGACATATAACTTTAGGTTTCTATATGTCGTTATGTAATGCATTTGACTGGTACATTATGTACAAGTTTAAACCATGACATATAACTTTAGGTTTCTATATGTCGTTATATAATGCATTTGACTGGTACATTATGTACAAGTTTAAACCATGACATATGAATTTAGGTTGTTATATGTCGTTATGTTTTTTTGTGGAAATTTATTGCACTACGCTGCACTTCCCAGCAGTCGTCGTGGCCGAGTGGTTAAGGCGATAGACTAGAAATCTATTGGGGTCTCCCCGCGCAGGTTCGAATCCTGCCGACGACGTTCTTTTTTCTAACTATATCAATCATTTTCGTATGCAAGGATTTTGTGGGGGAAACAAGCAATAAAACACAATCATGTATAGACACTGATTATGTCGACAACCTGGCCTTTTTGAAAAAAAAAAAAATTAATTTAGCAAAAAAAATGTTAATTAAAAATAAAATAAAACAAAAAAGAGATAGCGTCGTCGGCAGGATTCGAACCTGCGCGGGGAGACCCCAATAGATTTCTAGTCTATCGCCTTAACCACTCGGCCACGACGACTCCGCTAAGATTTGTTCAAAAGTGTTGAATATGCCATTTTTCTAATATAATTCAAGTACTCTGTGAGAAAGTTATCTGATTATGTTTAAATATTAATTCTATTGTCTTAGGGATAATGTTGATGACACACAGAGTTCATATCATCGCAAATAAACTTACACTGGAGATAGTTATACAAGTATAGTGTATAAAGAGAGATAACTCGTACTCAAATTCTTTGTCCTACCCCTACACCTACTTAATGATTTTAAGAATAGTTTGAAGTGGTTTCCTTCTATTTTTCACAGTCTAAATTCCTTCTGTCGTATCAAAACTTGACAAAAAACATTTGAATCTCAAAACCGTTAAACCACTAGCAGTGGATAGGCTTCTCTGTATTGTTTAACTGACGAACATGTCTTTTCTTTTGCCAGTGTATTTTCCAAATTTAGAACATTATATATGACACAGGATATAACTAATACATCTACATTATTAGAGACATGTGTCGGTACAGTGAGGGACGTTCATTCTTCCGTGTTTGACATGAATTGTGTAATACCAATGAGAAGTATCATCTAGATTTTTAGTTTAAACAATATTTCATTCAAGATTCAACATTGAGATATACATGTATATACTGAAAGGATAAAGAACCGCAGGGTACTATTTATTCCGATATTTTGAAAACGCGTTCTCCAAATAAAATGAAACTTTGTGGATTGAGTAATTAGGTCATATTACCCCTTGTCATGTATCGAAGATTTAGTCACGGTACAGTGCGCAGCTCTGGTAAATGGAGGAAGGAAAAAACAAGAATCTCGTGCACCGTGTTGTTCTGGTCTCATGCAGCGTTGGTCAAGTCACTCTTCGTTAGTCTTTATGCAGACCAACTGCTTCCCTAAAATTAATTGAGAATTTGATTCGTTTTAAGAATGGCACGACTCACAGAAGTTCAGAGGGGTCAGGCCATTCAGATGCTGATGCAAGGACAGCTGCAAAATCAGGTTGCTAGGCACTTTGGTGTTAATGTTTCAACCATAGAACGTCTTGTAAGACGTCTTCGGGAAACTGGGCGATTGTCCGATCGACCTAGGTCAGGACGTCCGCGCGTAACGTCACGACGTCAGGATCGCTATATCGTCGTCTCTCATGTGCGTAATCGGCGCCTTACTGCCATTGAGAGTGCACTTACTGTTCGTGGAAATCATGGGCGTCCTATAAGTTAAAAAACTGTAAGGAATCGATTACGAGAAGTTGGTGTAAGAGCACGTTGCCCCTACGTAGGTCCACACCTTACCCCTGCTCGACGTCAGCGTCGTATGGCCTGGGTCGCTGCACATGCTCCACGACGGTTTCCACTGAGACAGTGGAGACAAGTTTTCTTCACGGACAAGTCTCGATTCTGTCTTTATCGATCTGACGGCCGTCAACGTGTCTACCGACGTCGTGGCGAACGTTTTACGGACGCTTGCGTTGTAGAGAGGGATAGGTTTGGGGGCGGTTCAGTGTGGGGAGGAATCTCACACGGGTTAAAATCACAATTGGTTGTTATTGATAGCAATTTAACAGCAGCTAAGTATAGAGATGAGATCCTCCGACCCCATGTTATCCCTTTCTTACAGCAGCATAATCAAACCCTCCAGCAGGATAATGCTAGGCCCCATTTAGCAAGAATTTGCCAAGTCTTTCTGGCCAACAACAACATTCAACCTCTAGATTGTCCGCCATATAGCCCTGATTTGTCCCCGATCGAGCATCTTTGGGACCAGTTTGATAGACAAGTTCGAAAGCGCCAGCCACCCCCTGCTACTCGAGAGCAGTTGACCAGAGCTCTGATTGAAGAGTGGGACAACATCCCCATAAGACGGATTAACGCTCTCATGAACTCTATGACCAGAAGAATAAGGGCCGTGACCACAGCAAACGGCGGACACACAAGATATTGATGACTCAGTTCAATTTCAATTTCAAAATCCTATAGGTCCATTCAATTTAATCGTTAGTACCTCTAAACCAATTGTCAGATGCAAAATACAGACTTTGGAAATTTTTAAGCTTTAATTTATCTGTAAGTATACAAAATTTCGTTTTAAATGAAGCCCGATATCATACTTAATTTCTGGTTTAAAGATCACCCTGCGTTTTTTTTATCCTTTTAGTATATAATTCAAGAGGAATTGGTAACAAGCTTGAAGCTTATGTAAAACCATCTCCTAACTTGTTTTTACCATAGATATATTAACAGGGTGGTCTTGTTCAACTAAAAAAGGAATGCTGACGTCAAAAATAAGATTGCAATGCGAGTACTTATCATGTGTTTGAAATGTTATAGCGTACAACTTCCTATAGATTTAACAGTGGCCTTCTATGGGTGGGTCACATGCAGGTCAGAGTCGAGAAGAGATTTGATCAATAAGAAAATAGCAATAGTGTTCAGCATATATAAAGCGTTTTATCTTGATTACTGTGATTTTTTTTTTGTTATTTTTTCATTACGACATTGGGAGCTTCACTTTTTAGAAGGTGATTGAGTGGCGTTCGATATCTATTCCCGAATGGACGTGAAAAGTGAAAGTGTCACAATCCGACCTCGTGGGTTTCCTGCGGGAACTCCTGATTCTTACCTCAGTAAGATATTTAGCGCACTTTCTTCTGGGTCAACAAGAGTGATAAATATAGATTGAAAAAAAAACTTGTTTCGCTTTTCTTGTAAAATAGGTAAACTTTATAGAATTCCCTTAGCCTACTTGAAATATTTCATATTAAATTAATACACTTTAGATTAATGATACAAAAATCCCTTACTTGAAATTTTCCTTAGGGAATTATAACAGTTTAAGTTAAAATATTCTTTCCTAAAATTTTCTTCAGTGCAAGTTGTTAAAAAGTGAGTGCTGAAAAGAGCTTTTTTAAAAATAGTAACGACGTTAATTTTGACTCATAAACAAGGAAACTCGAATGAGAGCATCTGGTGATGTAAAATGTGTGATGTTTGATCGAAATCTCTCAAGGAAGGAAATTCCTGAAGCAGTGAAAAGGATTTCCTAAATATTGTAACAATCGGACTTTGAGCCTACAACCCCGAAACTAAAACTCGTCCGAGAAATTACTGTTATTTATATAACTCTACAAATCAGAAACTCGAACTCAACTGAGATCTAATGAGCCATTGTAAGTGTAATCATCGCTCAGTATCCATGCAAAAATAAGCTTTAAGAGCGTCGACAATGACGTTGACTCTGAAGTTCTGAAACTCGAAGTTGTCCAAGATAAGGTGACCCTTTACAGGTGTTTGAAAATTTATTGGACTTTACGCACATTAACATCTATACATCCCCTCAGACTGTACGACATTACGTACGTTAACATCCCTATATCCCCTCAGACTGTACGGCATAACGTACGTTAACATCCCTATATCCCCTCAGACTGTACGACATTACGTACGTTAACATCCCTATATTCCCTCAGACTGCACAACATTACGTACGTTAACATCCCTATATTCCCTCAGACTGCACAACATTACGTACGTTAACATCCCTATATCTCCTCAGACTGTACGACATTACGTACGTTAACATCCCTATATTCCCTCAGACTGTACGACATTACGAACGCCAACATCCCTATATCTCCTCAGACTGTACAACATTACGTACGTTAACATCCCTATATCCCCTCAGACTGTACGACATTACGTACGTTAACATCCCTATATTCCCTCAGACTGTACGACATTACGAACGCCAACATCCCTATATCTCCTCAGACTGTACAACATTACGTACGTTAACATCCCTATATCCCCCTCAGACTGTACGACATTACGTACGTTAACATCCCTATATCCCCCTCAGACTGTACAATGTTACGTACGTTAACATCCCTCTATCTCCTCAGACTGTACAACATTACGTACGTTAACATCCCTATATCCCCTCAGACTGTACGACATTACGTACGTTAACATCCCTATATCCCCCTTAGACTGTACAACATTACGTACGTTAACATCCCTTTATCCCCTCAGACTGTACGACATTACGTACGTTAACATCCCTATATCCCCCTCAGACTGTACAATGTTACGTACGTTAACATCCCTCAGACTGTACAACATTACGTACGTTAACATCCCTTTATCCCCTCAGACTGTACGACATTACGTACGTTAACATCCCTATATCCCCCTCAGACTGTACAATGTTACGTACGTTAACATCCCTCTATCTCCTCAGACTGTACAACATTACGTACGTTAACATCCCTATATCTCCTCAGACTGTACCACATTACGTACGTTAACATCCCTATATCCCCTCAGACTGTATAATATTACGTACGTTAACATCTCTATACCCCCATCAGACTGTACGACATTACGTACGTTAACATCCCTATATCCCCTCAGACTGTACAACATTACGTACGTTAACATCCCTTTATCCCCTCAGACTGTACAACATTACGTACGTTAACATCCCTATATCTCCTCAGACTGTACCACATTACGTACGTTAACATCCCTATATCCCCTCAGACTGTATAATATTACGTACGTTAACATCTCTATACCCCCATCTGACTGTATAATATTACGTACGTTAACATCTCTATATCCCCCTCAGACTGTACAACATTACCTACGGTAACATCCCTATATCCCCCTCAGACTGTACAACATTACGTACGTTAACATCCCTATATCCCCTCAGACTGTACGACATTACGTACGTTAACATCCCTATATCTCCTCAGACTGTACAACATTACGTACGTTAACATCCCTATATCCCCTCAGACTGTACGACATTACGTACGTTAACATCCCTCAGACTGTACAACATTACGTACGTTAACATCCCTATATCCCCTCAGACTGTACGACATTACGAACGCCAACATCCCTATATCTCCTCAGACTGTACGACATTACGTACGTTAACATCCCTATATCTCCTCAGACTGTACAACATTACGTACGTTAACATCCCTATATCCCCTCAGACTGTACGACATTACGTACGTTAACATCCCTCAGACTGTACAACATTACGTACGTTAACATCCCTATATCCCCTCAGACTGTACGACATTACGAACGCCAACATCCCTATATCTCCTCAGACTGTACAACATTACGTACGTTAACATCCCTATATCCCCCTCAGACTGTACGACATTACGTACGTTAACATCCCTATATCCCCCTCAGACTGTACAATGTTACGTACGTTAACATCCCTCTATCTCCTCAGACTGTACAACATTACGTACGTTAACATCCCTATATCCCCTCAGACTGTACGACATTACGTACGTTAACATCCCTATATCCCCCTTAGACTGTACAACATTACGTACGTTAACATCCCTTTATCCCCTCAGACTGTACAACATTACGTACGTTAACATCCCTATATCTCCTCAGACTGTACCACATTACGTACGTTAACATCCCTATATCCCCTCAGACTGTATAATATTACGTACGTTAACATCTCTATACCCCCATCAGACTGTACGACATTACGTACGTTAACATCCCTATATCCCCTCAGACTGTACAACATTACGTACGTTAACATCCCTTTATCCCCTCAGACTGTACAACATTACGTACGTTAACATCCCTATATCTCCTCAGACTGTACCACATTACGTACGTTAACATCCCTATATCCCCTCAGACTGTATAATATTACGTACGTTAACATCTCTATACCCCCATCTGACTGTATAATATTACGTACGTTAACATCTCTATATCCCCCTCAGACTGTACAACATTACCTACGGTAACATCCCTATATCCCCCTCAGACTGTACAACATTACGTACGTTAACATCCCTATATCTCCTCAGACTGTACAACATTACGTACGTTAACATCCCTATATCCCCTCAGACTGTACGACATTACGTACGTTGACATCCCTCAGACTGTACAACATTACGTACGTTAACATCCCTATATCCCCTCAGACTGTGTAACATTACGTACGTTAACATCCCTATATCCCCCTCAGACTGTACACCATTACGTACGTTAACATCCCTATATCCCCCTCAGACTGTACACCATTACGTACGTTAGCATCCCTCTATCTCCTCAGACTGTACAACATTACGTACGTTAACATCCCTATATCCCCTCAGACTGTACGACATTACGTACGTTAGCATCCCTATATCCCTACATGATGTACTATACAAGATTGATATCCTCAGAACATCTGTCGCGATGAAATGGTTACAGGAAAACTTTCGCCTTAACGGTTAAACATTAACGCATAAACATATGTAGGTATATCAATGTTACGTAATGTCTTAGCCACTTTGTTAAAAAAATCTCCTTGAAGTCCATTAAGTTGGCTTACGTGGAAAGTACGTGGAAAAAGTAATCTACCATTAACTTTATTACCATAGTTTATTGAAACAATGCCAACAACACCGAATGTCATCAGGAGAATAAGTAAAAATATCGTACTTTCTATCACCCACTGTATGTATGTGTAAGTTGCCTAATGCGAGACCCCCTTGTGAGGTGCCTAAAGTGGGACTCCCCATGCTGTTCATTTAGACGTGTTTTCATGTCCTCTGCTTGAGGGCACGAGAGCATCCGCTACATGATGGCCATCCTCCACAGTCCAGGGTTTTCATCACTTTTGCTCTCTGCACCCCTGGAACATGCCATAGCAAAATTGAAGGCGCATGCGAAGGCTATTTGATTGGTTCCAAGCTGATACGCTTCTTTTGAAGATTACAAAGGAGCAACACCCAAATTCAAAGCCATTACAATATACCGTTTGATGTGCATCAGAGGATCAAACTAGTATTTTCGTCTTGTGGCATGTGGAACCTTCAATTCTGCCACGACTTCCTCCTGGGGTGCAGAGAGCGAAAGTGATTGTAACCTCTGCAGTATTGAGGATGGCCGATGGCACGAGATGATACTCTGCTTGAGGACACAGAAGCAATAAAAATCACATACGTTATTAGACGTCGTTTTCTCACTATAACTGCCGTAGATTTACTTGGCAATAGTAACAACATCCACTAAAGTAAGGTTTTAAGTTATGTTCCCTGACCCACCAAGATCGTCAACATTGTTCTCGCTACATGAAAATACATCATTTTCAAATCGTTATCATCATTTTCTCCATTGCCAACGCCGACCATCTGCCTCAACATGCAATATGTCAGAATGACTTCGATATCAATGTATTGACGATGCAGGTGTATATGTCGCTGGTTACTAGTATCGTAATAAAATTATCCAATACAACTCGTTATGTAAGAATGTGTTATATTAATATGCTGACTGAATAAGCACTTTATACTAACACCCATTAAGGAATTATAAAAAAAAGATGACTGATTTTTCTATGCTGATTTCATTCTTATACAAACTGAAATTATTGGCGTAAAAACATTTGGTTGTGAATTGGCGTAGTGCCGAAACATGGGTCTCGTCTCAATGACGTCACGGTGATTTTGTGCCTTGGTACGGTGATTGTTGGAGACATGCCAGAAAAAAAAACCCATTAACGTTAACTTCTGGCAGGACACCTGTATAACTTTATTTACCAGTAAGTTCCAAAACAGTAATATAACAGCAAAAGAAACCATGATTGCACGAAAACATTTTCTGTTTATCAATACTTCCATTTAAGTAGCAATGATAGAGACAACGGCATCGTCTTACCATACTACAATCCGTTAAACTATATACTAAATATAGCTACTCTTAACGTTGCTCCTTTACTTTTTCGATCATCGTTAGAAAATAGGAGTGCCATCGGAGGTCGTCTGTTAATTCAGGGTGAAAAGCTGTTGCCATAACGTCGCCTTGTTGCACAGCGACGATGACGTCCTTTTGTTCTGGTCGTTCTAACACTGCTAGAACTTGCACATCGGAACTCGTCGTTTTAAGCACAGCTGGAGCCCGGATAAACACACCATGGCAATTTGAATCGGAAGTGCCCATTTTAGAGTTTCCAGCCAGAGATGGCGATCGAACTGTCACTTGTGCTTCAAAGCTGTGGACTTGTCGTCCGAAAAAGTTCCTCGATACGACTGTGTCTAGCATCCCAAGCTAGAAAAAAAAGTTATGTTCAATGATTTTCATTAGTGAATATTTCAATCTACATTTTTATTGATCATAGACGCACAATTATATCATTGAAAATGTTGGAATACATCATACAACATGTTGTGGTAACTATGTTTACCGTGATAAGTAAAGTTGCCTAACCGATCTTATCCCATTATTTTTATCATTGCCTACAGCATACTATATTCAGATATAGTCATAACGAATTCCAATAATGCTTTCCACTGTCTGGAAAACTACGTCAGATCTAACGATGCTTCCAACCAGACCTGAGATACATGACATGAAGAAGCAAGCCTTTGTGGGCGCCCTATCCTAGCAGATAATATCAGTAATAAAATAAACTAAACAATAGACTTTTCAAACAAGTGTGGCGATCAAACGCATATTTCCAGACAAGGAAGTGTTACAATCAAATATCCAGACAAAGAGGTATGGTGACCAAGTCCCAGCATTTGTGTTTATGTTTCGCATATCATATTTTATAATCCAAGCGGCAACCGAACTTCGGGAAAGAAACCAATATGTATTTAACATATATATATACGTATGTATCTCCCTACAATGTGCTTTGTCGTCACGCGTCTCATTAAAAAACATTACAAAGTTACATTGATGGCAACTAATATGAATAAAACATTTACCAGCTGTCACTATCAAACGTATACCATTCACCAGTTCGATAATAGCTATATACTCAGATTAATCAATATACATTTATCAGTTACCGACATACCGTAGGCTGTCCGCCATCCTTTTGGTTTTCAGTAAACCTTGATAAAAGAATCATTCCTGCGCATGTTCCCCATACCACGTGACCTTTTGTTTGTATCCAGTTTCGGAGCGGTTCTTCCATGTTGTTTCTTTTCAGGAATAAACTGATGGTTGTGCTTTCCCCTCCCGGTATAATTAGGCCATCCATGTCAGAGACTAGATGGTCTGGGTGACGTACCTCCATCACTTCAAGTTCTGGTGTCGTGTGCAAACATTTTTTGGCTTTCATCAGCGCCACTTTGTGCTCTTGAAATGCACCTTGAACCTCCAGAATGCCGATTTTTCTGCGTCTGTTTTCATTTCCGTTGAGACCAGTTTGCGGCATGATTAATTCTAGGAAATGGAAATAATAATAATAATGAATAAAATAGAAATGTCGGCACCCTCCTCACATCATGTCATGTATTTTAGGATGGTGCAGTGGTAACGCACTCGCCAGTCACATAGACTTCATCTGTCCCACCAAGTTTTCCTAAACTTATCTTGGAGAAACAATGTTTGTTGAGTAATTATGAATAACATAACCAGACAAACATAAATGAATAGGTTCTGTGTTGGAATGGGGTTTAATTTCGGATGTCCGAACATATTTCAGGTTATTAACCGAGTCAGTCTCATCGTTGTAGAAAATGGGTAATCGCGGTGGGATGATGGTAAATTAATGACCCACAATGCACTGCGGGTGTGATATGTAACAAAATTTTATCTCTAACAACCATTAGCCACCAAAAATTATATTTTACCGCATATCTCGAGACACAACAAAAAATTCGGGGAAACAATTAAAAAGATCAATCTGTAATCACGAAGGTCGAAGCGCCATACCAAGTTTCTATATCTGGACACAATGGAAAGAAGTCCGGAAAACAGAAGTACAAAGGACCAGAACTGCACCTGAAACTTAATTTTTCAACCAAGATCGATTCAAACTTCACTGGTAACCCTGTAGGTTGAAGCCACACATCAAAGACATTATCTCTGCACTTCAAGTTTAAATAACATTTTGCACAAATGGCCGTAACTACTTCTAATATTGGACTTGTCGATCAGGATTCGAACTCGACCAGAAACCCCGTACGTTTTATAATCTCTGATCATAACGGAGAAAAGTCTGGCAACTGCAATTTTGTAACATGTTATCGATAGTCTGTGACTACCTTCCGTAAGTTATGTTATCGATATTCTGTGTCTATCGTCCGTGTTTAAATGTTATCTATATTCTGTGTCTGTCGTCCGTGTTTAAATGTTATCGATATTCCGTGTCTATCGTCCGTGTTTAAATGTTATCGATACTCTGTGTCTATCGTCCGTGTTTAAATGTTATCCATATTCTGTGTCCACCGTCCGTAAGTTATGTTATCGATATTCTGTGTCTATCGTCCGTGTTTAAATGTTATCTATATCCAATGTCTACACATCGCAGTTTAATGTTATCGATCTGAATGCATATATTATCTAAGTGTTAATAAACCTCCACATATGCAAACTCAAAAGATAATAAAAACCAAGTATCATATATGTAAGTGCATGTGCTGTTTCTGTTCTTTCCAAAAAGGGAAGGTCGAGTAGTGTCCAAAATATTATGTAATCAATCATACCTTCGTTTCAACAAGTACCAATTAAGATTCGGTGAAATCTCCTTTCAGCCATTAATGTTGTACATTTTAAAATATCAAAAACCTTTACTTCTTACTTTGAGAAGATAACGTTCTGTTGTCATGAAGAAATAACAATAAATAAACAATGATATATTTTAGAGAGGATGTACTAGGTTATTATTTTTGTAAAAACATGTTCTGAATAGATGGATTCTACATCAGTTAAGCGCTGCCCGACCATTAATTTTGTGATAATTAAAACCCTTCTAGATCTAACATCACATAAAAAACATATTGGCAGTTTCAACGAAAAGCGATATAAGAAGCTAAATCATCAATTGTATATAGCCCAAACTTACTGGAGAGGGAGGGGAGGACGGACAAACCAGTCAATTTTTAAGTCTTAGATATTAAAAACCGTCAGATTCGTAATGTTGTGTATACATGTATTAGCTATAATTATCTCCCTTCTTAAACTAATCTTTTCCTCGCCTCACTCCGCGGTAGAAAAATGTCATATCATTACCGATTGTGTTTAAACCACGTCCCTGATTGTACCACCAACAAATAAACATCTACATCATAAGGACGAAACACCGATGTTATCAGGCTATTTCTATCTGTCAACATAACAGCTGGCCCGGTTAGACGACATGTCTAGACTTATAAAAAAATATTACACAAGAAAATAAGTAACACAGTACGACATGCTCGTTACCTACCAGTTGTCTTGTAAAGATTATATAACTGTGAGAAATTATGGTTGTGTAACGGTAGTTTGAATGTTACGAAAGCACGTCCATGAAACCCTGTAAACAAGGTTTGTCGACCTACCTCGAAGGTTATAGAGTAGCCAGTAGGGTAAACACTAGTACATGGTAGTCGAAGCATGCAGTAAGTTTCATCAGAAAAGACCATTCTCAGATTACTTACCTGATGAAATATCATCCACGTGTTGGACTCCGGATACGTTTTTGTTTCTCAGCCCATATCCCCGACAGGCCTGGTGTGGTTATTTGTTGGTTCCGGTGATTGACTTCAACAGTTCGCAACTGACGACTCCGCTATACAGAGATATTCTGCACGCTGAATATAAGAAAAAACATGACGGAGAAACTCCTCAATGGTGAGTATGTCACAGATACAATAGTTCTTGACCACGTTTACTTCGTGTGTTCTAAAAAAAGGTACACGTGGTTACATAAAGTTTACGGCCATTTTGTTCAGTATATATTCGCTGTATATCAGGCTTTAATTCATAACATATATTAGCGACATAAATGACGCATACAGTTAGTATGTTTTAGAAAGAAATGGCATTTCGTCTGAAAGCTCTTAATATTCAGCTTAAATATTAGCCAACTTGTGTAGTTTTGTGCTTGTTGACTACAAGTCATATTTGTTATATAAAATTGTCTGTTAGATGCTTACATAAGGACACGTACTGCATGAAGTAATTAATGTAGCCACTCAACAATCAAATGAGTTTGTTTATTCTGATCCAAAGCAAGGAATTATTGCTGTGTTTTCAGTACCACATCACAACCACATTTGTCACAATGTAACAGTAGAAGTCACATCACAACAAAAGTTGTCACACATCACAACAAAAGTTGTCACATCACAACAAAAGTGTCACATCACAACAAAAGTTGTCACAACACAAATAGATTCATCACAACCGAAGTAGTCACATCACAGCATAATAAGTCGCATCACAACCATATTTGTCACAACACAAATAGATTCATCACAACCGAAGTAGTCACATCACAGCATAATAAGTCAAATCACAACCATATTTGTCACAATACAAATAGATTCATCACAACTGAAGTAGTCGCATCACAGCATAATAAGTCACATCACAACCATATTTGTCACAATACAAATAGATTCATCACAACCGAAGTAGTCACATCACAGCATAATCAGTCACATCACAACCATATTTGTCACAATACAAATAGATTCATCACAACCGAAGTAGTCACATCACGACATAAGAAATCACATCACAACACATGCAGACACATCACAACATAATTAGTCAAATCACAGCAAAATCAATCACAGCATAATCGGTCACATCACAACCATATTTGTCACAATACAAATAGATTCATCACAACAGAAGTAGTCACATCATGACATAAGAAATCACATCACAACACATGTAGACACATCATAACATAATTAGTCAAATCACAGCATAATCAGTCACATCACAACGACACAACATAAGTAGTCAACAAAGCATCAAAACTGAAGAAAATCAGACCTCAACCAAATAGTCACATCATAACCAAAGTCAGTCACATCACAACCAAATAGTCACATCACAATCAAAGTCAGTCACATCACAACCAAATAGTCACATCACAACCAAATAGTAACATCACAACCAAAGTCAGTCAGACCTCAACCAAATAGTCACATCACAACCAAAGTCAGTCAGACCTCAACAAAATAGTCACATCACAACCAAAGTAAGTCACATCACAACCAAATAGTCACATCACAACCAAAGTCAGTCACATCACAACCAAATAGTCACATCACAATCAAAGTCAGTCACATCACAACCAAATAGTCACATCACAATCAAAGTCAGTCACATCACAACCAAATAGTCACATCTCAATCAAAGTCAGTCAGACCTCAACCAAATAGTCACATCACAACCAAATAGTAACATCACAACCAAAGTCAGTCAGACCTCAACCAAATAGTCACATCACAACCAAAGTCAGTCAGACCTCAACAAAATAGTCACATCACAACCAAAGTCAGTCACATCACAACCAAATAGTCACATCACAACCAAAGTCAGTCACATCACAACCAAATAGTCACATCACAATCAAAGTCAGTCACATCACAACCAAATAGTCACATCACAATCAAAGTCAGTCACATCACAACCAAATAGTCACATCACAATCAAAGTCAGTCAGACCACAAACAAATAGTCACATCACAACCAAAGTCAGTCACATCACAACCAAATAGTCACATCACAATCAAAGTCAGTCAGACCACAAACAAATATTCACATCATAACCAAAGTCAGTCACATCACAACCAAATAGTCACATCACAATCAAAGTCAGTCACATCACAACCAAATAGTCACATCACAATCAAAGTCAGTCAGACCTCAACCAAATAGTCACATCACAACCAAAGTCTGTCAGACCACAACCAAATAGTCACATCACAACCAAAGTCAGTCACATCACAACCAAATAGTCACATCACAATCAAAGTTAGTCAGACCACAAACAAATAGTCACATCACAACCAAATTCAGTCACATCAGAAACAAAGTCAGTCACATCACAACCAAAGTCTGTCAGACCATAACCAAATAGTCACATCACAACCAAAGACTGTCAGACCACAACCAAAGTCTGTCACATCAGAAACAAAGTCAGTCACATCACAACCAAAGTCTGTCAGACCATAACCAAATAGTCACATCACAACCAAAGTCTGTCAGACCACAACCAAAGTCTGTCACATCAGAAACAAAGTCAGACCATAAACAAATAGTCACATCACAACCAAAGTCAGTCACATCATAACCAAAGTCTGTCAGACCACAACCAAAGTTTGTCACATCAGAAACAAAGTCAGACCATAAACAAATAGTCACATCACAACCAAAGTCTGTCACATCATAACCAAAGTCAGTCACATCATAACCAAAGTCAGTCACATCAGTCAGTCACATCAGAAACAAAGTCAGACCACAACCAAATAGTCACATCACAACGAAATAGTCAATCCTTATCAATCCTTGGCTTCAGGTGTGACCTGTGATGTCACCAATCTCACAATGAAGGATGTTACCTCCACACAGACAGGTATGTATAAGATGGGATGGGAGTGTACTGGCATTAAGTTACAGGTGGGAGACAGGTGTGTACTGATGATAAGCTACAGGTGGGAACAATGTTATATCTTTGGTTATTGTGTTATGATATCATTCGTAATGATTTATTTTGACAATTGTTGAGATATGCAAATATTGCAATAATATACTGCTAGAAAATAATCATTGGTTTACTGTAATCAACTGGAATGGAATCTTATTTTTAGGGACATTCAAGGTCAAGGCTGGTTTAGCTCAGATGGCCAAAGGTGGCATCATCATGGATGTTACAACACCAGAGGAAGCCCGCATAGCTGAAGAGGCTGGGGTAAGATTACACTAAATCCTATCTAAATTTGGCATCATAACAGATGTAACTATGCCAGTTGAAGCTTGAATTGCTGAAGTGATTGGGGAAAGTTTACACTAAATCCTGTGTAATTTTTGAAGCAAACAAAGGCAGATATTTGGGCACTTATTTGATATTTGCCTGTTAATATACTTTCTGACAATTTCAGGCATGTGCTGTCATGGCACTAGAGCGTGTCCCTGCTGATATACGAAGAGAAGGGGGCGTGGCTAGAATGACTGATCCAATGAAGATAAAGGGAATAATTGCAGCAGTGACTATCCCAGTAATGGCCAAATCAAGAATTGGTCATTTTGCAGAGGCTCAGATTCTTCAAGCTCTTGGGGTGGACATGGTAGATGAATCAGAAGGTATTTAAAAAGATTGTGGTTAGAAATTTTTAGAAATTATTTTTAATTTGACAGTACTCAAACAAAATATCCATGTCTCTAGTCTTTTTCCTGTGTTTTGTACAGTTTGTGTAAGAGCCCACCACGGACCGATTTTGAAAAATTTTAATCGTATGCATCTGAACTTTGAAAAATAACAGATTGAAATTAAAATTGATAGTGATAGTCTCTATGTTTAGAAAATGTGTTGGACAACGGAAAATTCTTAAGATTGATTTTGTAATCTTGCGAGATTGAAGCTTGTGTATGGAACCTCACAATGACAATAACATGTATTTTCAACCACTGTTGAGGACAACGCTTTGTTTCGTGCTATTTAAACACTACATCATGTATTGTTGCAGTGTTAACACCTGCAGATGAGGTGAACCACATCAACAAACACAATTTTGAAGTGCCATTTGTTTGTGGAGCCCGTGATCTTGGTGAAGCATTACGCAGAATTTCAGAAGGAGCTGCCATGATCAGGACAAAAGGGGAAGCAGGAACTGGTATGAATCAGTAGTGTTATGATAGTAACATGAACAAGACTGATCCAGCTCGTCTACTTAAGTTTATTATCAAGCAAATAATCAAAGTGATTTTATATGACTCACAATGGGGTAGCATCATCATTTTGTGTGGCATAAGTGTCACAAATTGATGTCATAAATTTTGATACACATTTCGTTGCTAATGGTGATGATGTGATGAGAATGCTTCATAACAAATTACAGATTTTTGCTTTATCCTTGTCTGTGGAACAGACCCATGTAAGATTCTATAAATCTTCATCAGCACCAGAAATTCCATTTTTAGTCATCTTGTATCTTACACAGGGGATGTTTCTGAAGCTGTGAAACATGCCAGAACAATCAACAAACAGATCAAGACAGCAAGTGCCATGGACTCAACAGAATTATACAACTATGCCAAGGAACTTCGTGTGCCACATGAGCTGCTGAAAAAAACTGCAGAGTTGGGGAGACTTCCTGTCGTCAATTTTGCAGCAGGGGGCTTAGGTATAAACTTCCCTCAGTCCTGTAAATAGACAGTTAATTGTACCATGTCCTGTCTTTTTATCTCTAATCAGCTTCTCTCAGTCCTGTAAATATACAGTCAATTGTACCATGTCCTGTCTTTTTATCTCTAATCAGCTTCTCTCAGTCCTGTAAATATACAGTCAATTGTACCATGTCCTGTCTTTTTATCTCTAATCAGCTTCTCTCAGTCCTGTAAATATACAGTCAATTGTACCATGTCCTGTCTTTTTATCTCTAATCAGCTTCTCTCAGTCCTGTAAATATACAGTCAATTGTACCATGTCCTGTCTTTTTATCTCTAATCAGCTTCTCTCAGTCCTGTAAATATACAGTCAATTGTACCATGTCCTGTCTTTTTATCTCTAATCAGCTTCTCTCAGTCCTGTAAATATACAGTCAATTGTACCATGTCCTGTCTTTTTATCTCTAATCAGCTTCTCTCAGTCCTGTAAATATACAGTCAATTGTACCATGTCCTGTCTTTTTATCTCTAATCAGCTTCTCTCAGTCCTGTAAATATACAGTCAATTGTACCATGTCCTGTCTTTTTATCTCTAATCAGCTTCTCTCAGTCCTGTAAATATACAGTCAATTGTACCATGTCCTGTCTTTTTTATCTCTAATCAGCTTCTCTCAGTCCTGTAAATATACAGTCAATTGTACCATGTCCTGTCTTTTTATCTCTAATCAGCTTCTCTCAGTCCTGTAAATATACAGTCAATTGTACCATGTCCTGTCTTTTTATCTCTAATCAGCTTCTCTCAGTCCTGTAAATATACAGTCAATTGTACCATGTCCTGTCTTTTTATCTCTAATCAGCTTCTCTCAGTCCTGTAAATATACAGTCAATTGTACCATGTCCTGTCTTTTTATCTCTAATCAGCTTCTCTCAGTCCTGTAAATATACAGTCAATTGTACCATGTCCTGTCTTTTTATCTCTAATCAGCTTCTCTCAGTCCTGTAAATATACAGTCAATTGTACCATGTCCTGTCTTTTTTATCTCTAATCAGCTTCTCTCAGTCCTGTAAATATACAGTCAATTGTACCATGTCCTGTCTTTTTATCACTAATCAACTTCCTTCTGTCAAATATATTAGAAATGAACCTCAAATTTGTAAAATAAATAATAGCTATGCCAATTTTTTTAATTAATGTAAGTAAATTAAGAAGTCTATGACTGTGTTGTAAATCTTGTATTAACATTTGGTGTCTCTGTTGTAGCCACTCCAGCCGATGTTTCTCTCCTGATGCAGCTTGGTGTCGATGGTGTATTTGTAGGATCAGGAATTTTCAAAAGTTCAAATCCGGCCAAACGTGCAGTTGCCATGGCTCAAGCTGTAACACACTACAAAGATCCTAAGATATTGGCTGAGTTAAGCTCGGACCTTGGCGACGCTATGTTCGGTGTTCCCCATGGAGATAAATCTGCTGATAAATGGACTAAAACAAAGAGCACTGTTGGTGCAGACAAAATGAAAATCTGGGATGCTACACTTGGTGACCCAGCCAAACTTAATGGACAGTGATGGATGTTAAACATTTTTGACAAAGGAAATAAGACTTTTTTTGTGATCATTTGTAGTTTGTTTGTGGATAAGAGTCAGTCATATATATGTTTTTATTACCAGAGTAATTTTTAGTTTTATTAATACAGTGATAAGAATTCAGATGTCACTTATTTTGACAGATGATTCAATTTACATGTACATGTTTGTTTTTATTTGTTCTTTTTAAAACATTGTAAAACCTGATTTTTTCTGTCCATCAATATAAGCAGCACAAACTTCTACTACCCTTATATATCATAGACATGATGATCAATAAGATTGTAAAGGGAAGGGTAATTCATTCTTAACCATTGTCGCAATAAAATACATTTAAATCAGAATTCTAAACAGAGGGCACATAATAGTGAAAATAAAAATGTTTTTAATAAAAAATTGTGACTTGTTTTGTTTGGACGTGTACACTTACTGCGTAGATACATCGTGATTATAATGGTTTTAATTTTCATATAGTTTAAAATTTTGTTATTCTCTCGTTGAAATATACTGTTGTATACCTATATATATTATACTTATTATTAGCTGTTACATTTACTGCATACTAAAGTACACAACCGTTTTCAACTGATTTTGATCAGATTCACAAAATATCCTTTAAACAATCATACCCTTTACAAAATTTTACAGGGTGGCCGAAAAAATGACAATATAAGGGAAATCACAAGAAAATAATTGCTAATTTCAAAGAAAATAATACTGAAATCTATCGCATTTCCCTAATGAGAATGTGCTCCTCCTGAATCGACCAGGAAAGGTCATTGCACGAGTCACAATGAGATTCAGTATGCACATTGGATTTGTATCATGGACATTGCTTTAATTATTAACTTTGTTCATTCCAGGTTTGATAACTTAAAAAAATCCTTTCAACAGAAATGATATCTATACCATTGTTTATATTTCGTAAACATTTTGTCGTGTTTAATCTGCATTGTAAACATGAAATCCAGTGAAATAGGTTAACCAGGTAATATATCGGGAGATCATATATATTCACTGTCTTAACACAAAAATTGCTCAGTCTGGTTTTTTTCTGAAAGATTACTGTGAATAATCAAATTCTATTCAATCAATGGCTCCTTTACTTTAAATTGTGAAATTTGTCCCCATTTCGCTCTCCGGACAACTGTGTGACATTACTTCTCTGAAACCTATGTCGTGCATCATCTGAGATGTTTTCAATGATACGTTATCCCTCTGTACTATACATACCATTACAAGGTGATGTGCATGCATTTTCCAGATTTTCTTCACAACCAAAGTAAGAGTGATTCCATGGTTTTCTATTGAGTACTCTAGTTTTGTTCCATATTGAAACCTCCATCTTGTTCCAAATTAAGCCTAGAAAAAACGGTGATTTAAATTTATAAAAGTTGTGTCAGAGTGGTTTGTTAGATAAAGAAAGTTTGGTTTAATTTATGCAAAGCAACATCAAGACATTAAACATATAACACTATAAACATACAATTGAAATACCCCTTTTTAGGCTCTCTTTGAGACTTGTATATAAAGATCAATACAACAAATGAAGATCAACTTCCTGTTTTATTATGAACTACTGACATAATTGTCTTTATGACATGAAACAAAAAACAAACTAAATAGGAAACAACATGTATATGCAATGAATATCATTTGGTTTGATGTATCAACACCATATATACATGACGGATATAATAGTGTAATAAAGATTTGGTTTTTGCATGCATACAAATAGCTCAATATTCATTTAACATCTGAATTACGCATACCATCAGTAGACTATTATTATTAATGCCTCCTCATTCTCAATTACACTAGTAACAAGTGCACATTATAACTGTACATACAAACACTTGCACATTGCTTATTACACATTCAAATGCCTGCACATTGCTTATTACACATTCAAATGCCTGCACATTGTTTATTACACACGCAAATGCCTGCACATTGCTTATTACACATTCAAATGCCTGCACATTGCTTATTACACACAAATGCCTGCACATAACTTATTACACACACAAATGCCTGCACATTACTTATTACACATTCAACTACCTGCACATTGCTTATTACACATTCAAAGGCCTGCACATAACTTATTACACATTCAAATGCCTGCAAATTGCTTTTTACACACACAAATGCCTGCACATTACTTATTACACGTACAAATGCTTCCACATTGCTTATTACACATTAAACTGCCTGCAAGTTACTTATTACACATTCAACTGCATGCACATTGTTATTACAAATTCAACTGCCGCTCATTGCTTAATACACATTCAACTACCTGCACATTGCTTATTACACTTTCAACTACCTGCACATTGCTTATTACACATTCAAATGCCTGCACATCGCTTATTACACATTCAAATGCCTGCACAATGCTTATTACACTTTCAACTGCCTGCACATTGTGACAATCATTATTAAACAAACATATACTCATTACTATTTACATACACGATGACAAACATGAGCACATAAACCTACAAACAAATATGACTAGATTTTAATATCAAACAAACATAGCAGAAAATGAAGGTTTCAAAATTTTATGATAGGATATAAACATCTGTGTACTGGAAAATGGAAGATGAGAATGACATGTGTCAAAATGAATATATGCAAGTTTACGAACTTATCATTCAAACCAGGAATTTCACACGTGAGCTTGGGACCAAAGTCCCAGCAGGGTCCTGGATTTCCTGCTTTATCAGTTGAGTAGCTGCTTCCTGTTTGATACTTGTTTCTGTACTTTTGTTAGAGGCAATGTTTTGATTTGCAGGGAAAGGAATGGGGATGACAGAGATTCCAAGGTCAATTAAGGTCTGTGAGGTCACATATTTTACGCTCTGGGCACTGCGCATTCTGATTACATCCCAGTGGTCAGTCATCTTGTTGGTAGCACGCTTCTTGAGGACCTTGCCTGCCTTGGTGGTCACCATCAGGTATTTACCTGGAATGAAATGTGATGAATTCCTGATGTCAAATGAGTTAAAACAAAAAACTGACTAATTGATGTAAAGAACTTCAACCCCTACAATAGAGTAACCCCTACATACTCCCTTCTTATGAAAGTACCATTCTGAATATCAAAACTTGCTAGTCTTCATACATATTCAAGAGACAAACATGCCAGGTCACATACAACTCCACTAGTCTGCACCTCTCTACATACAAACATGCTAGGTCACACACAAATCCACTAGTCTGCACCTCTCTACATACAAACATGCTGGTACACATACAAATCCACTAGTCTGCACCTCTCTATATACAAACATGCTGGTACACATACAAATCCACTAGTCTCCACCTCTCTATATACATACATGCTGGTACACATACAACTCCACTAGTCTGCACCTCTCTACATACAAACATGCTAGGTCACACACAAATCCACTAGTCTGCACCTCTCTACATACAAACATGCTGGTACACATACAAATCCACTAGTCTGCACCTCTCTATATACAAACCATGCTGGTACACATACAAATCCACTAGTCCGTACCTCTCTATATACAAACATGCTAGGTCACACACAAATCCACTAGTCTGCACCTCTCTATATACAAACATGCTGGTACACATACAAATCCACTAGTCTGCACCTCTCTATATACAAACATGCTGGTACACATACAAATCCACTAGTCTGCACCTCTCTATATACAAACATGCTGGTACACATACAAATCCACTAGTCCGTACCTCTCTATATACAAACCATGCTGGTACACATACAAATCCACTAGTCTGCACCTCTCTACATACAAACCATGCTGGTACACATACAAATCCACTAGTCTGCACCTCTCTATATACAAACCATGCTGGTACACATACAAATCCACTAGTCCGTACCTCTCTATATCCACTAGTCTGTACCTCTCTATATCCAAACATTCCAGAACACATACAAATGTACCTCTCTATATATAAACATGCCAATACACATACACATCCATGTGTTTGCTTACAAATATACATTCATACATAGATGTCAGCAAACACTCAAATCCACCAGCCTGTGTACAAACATACAAGTATAAAAAACAAAGTACAACCAGAGATCCCAGAGAGATCTTGGTGTCCACCATTGTTTGATCTTTATATGCTCTTTGAATGTTGAATCTTTTCCCTGTTTGCTCTTGTCTTTTCTGTTTTTGCTCTAAATGATTAAGACATTTAAAGATTCCTTTGCAGAAAGTGATGATAATCCAAAATGGCCACCTGGAAGCCATTTTGTTTCTCCTGATCAATCCAAAAATCAAACAAGTGAAAGAAGAGACCAATGGAAACACAAATGAAATTTGAAAGATATCCATTCAGTACTTCTCAAGAAATAGCAATAACAAACTTTCAAAGTTAAAAAACAAGATGGCTGCATGTCAGCCATTTTGATTTTTATCAGGTCCAAAATCAAATGGGCATAACCAGGGACAAAGGGGAACCTACATCTGAAATTTAAGAAAGATCCATCAAACACTTCTCAAGAAATAGCAATACCAAACTTTCAAAGTCAAAATCCAAGATGGCCCCCTTCTGGACATTTTTTTCTGATGAGTCCCAAAAATATATGGGCACAACTAGGGACCAAGGGGAACCTACATCTGAAATTTAAGAAAGATCCATCAAACACTTCTCAAGAAATAGCAATACCAAACTTTCAAAGTCAAAATCCAAGATGGACGCATTTCGGCAATTTTATTTTTTTGATCAGGCTCAAAATCAAAAGGGCATAACTAGGGACCAAGGGGAGAGTATGTATGCAAGTTGAGAAAAATCCATCCAGTACATCTCAAGAAATAGTGATAACAAAAATGGTTTACAGATGGACAGACCACTGACGCAAAGAGATTTGAATAAGACTAAAAGGGATAAAAAGTACTAATTCAAATGACAAGAACACTCTGCACATAAAGCCAATGCCCAATAGCAACCAACCCATTCACAATACCTTGTGTCACATCAGTACAGTCCTTCTTGTTAGCTTGGTCAAAGAGGAGATCCCTCTTTCTTCTTGTCACGAATGAAGCCCTCTTCACTGCCTCATAGCACTTTACTTCAATAAGACCAACTCTGGAAACCTGATCTGATGCAAGCTTGTCATTCTGCAAGAGTACAAATTTGATATGTTACAGTTCCTGTAGTATCTAGTTATCTAACAAATAGGCCAGAGATACACTAGTATAGTTGTATTTTTTTCAAATTTATCTTGACAATACTTTTAACACGAAACAGATGCTCATGCTAGACTGAATTCCATTCCCAAAATTACACTGCTTTCCTCACTGTGATAAATGTTCTTTGTCATGAAAAAGATATCCTATAGAGATGTTGGCTCCTACCATTGTTTGATATTTATTTGTACTGAAAAAGTTGTATTGTTTCCACCTCTTTTATGATATTAAATTTTCAAATTCCTCCTATGATCTTTAGTTGTCAAATCCAAGATGGCTTCCCATCTGCAATTTTGTGTTTTCTGGTCAGCCTTTAACAGAGCCTATTTATGAGATCTAACAATTATCCGTTTAGTACTTACAAAGAAATCATGCAAACAAATTTTCACTTTAACAAAACTAGGGATCAAAAGGAACCTTCAAATGACATTTGCGAAAGATCTATCCAGATATGGCTGCCTGTCAGCAAGATTGTTTTGCTGGTCTGATCTATAATCAAAACGGTACAACAAGAGACCAGAGGAAACTTACATATGAAATTTGGGAACAATCCATCAAGTACTTCTCCAGAAATAACAATAACAAGTTATAATTGCCAAAAATAAAGATGGCTGCTCCTCGGCCATCTTACTATTATTGTTAAAATCCAAGGTGGCTACGTTTCAGCCACAATAATTTTCAGATCAGTCCCAATGTCAAATAGTCACAACTATGGACCAAGGGGAACAACTTAAAAAAATATATATATAAGTCATCCAGTGCTTCTGAAGAAATAGTATTAACAGGAATTGTTTAAAGAAAGATGGATCACAAAGAAAAGGTGGTTTGTACAGTTCACTATCTGACAATGGCAAATGGCTCTACTGAACTTTCATGTCAATTTTAGGTGAACCTGTTAAACATATAATAGTCCTCTGTAAGTCTATCTCATCATAACAATGGTTGTACACTCTACTCAAATATCCCTTCTAAGACTGGATTTTACAAGCACTCCTTTTTTAATGGTTAGATTGTGTAGGGATATAACATAGATACATACAATGTAACAGTGGTGTTTATCTGATGGCGGAGCAGAAACCATTGATGGACAAACAAACTACTACACTACTTAGGGTAGGTGAAACTTTTAAAAAACAATATATTATACAGGGGAAACAGCAGTGGGATATTACATAGAATCTATTTCACTGAGGTGCTTACGTTGGGTAAAATTGGTTGGTTGTATGGTTGCAGGTTTTTATTTTCCTGGTTCTTCCATTTGCTAGATGTTTGCTTCACCAACAAAGGTCAGCATTCTGATAGCACTGGAGTATAATGTACAGCTAAGAGACACTAAATTTTCTGAACACAGATGTTTGACAAAAAGTGGTGAAGACAGCAAAAGAACAACACAGGGTTTACAACCCTCAGATGTTTTATCTGTGGTGTGGGAGGCAGCTCTATATGGAATCTACTTCACAGGGATGTTTGACTTCAGGTGCAAGTTGTAATATAGTGTCTACTTCCCTGAAGTGTTTGACTTGAGATAGGGGAGACAACAGAGAGACATACAAACCTCTCCCCGACAGAACCTTGGTAAGGAAAACAGGAACTCCACACAATTATTCCCATCTCGAAATCCTCTCACAAGCCTACAAAAAGTAATTAAGATATAAATAGTTGAAAATATTCAGTGTCTTTTTATTTGTTTTTTTATTCGTTAATATCATTATTATTTTTCCATGTATCATAAAAACAATTTAGCACATTTGAGAGTAAAACTGGTATGTCTATGATTGTAATCTTATAGATCTAATTGTTCATTCAATGTCTTATTATCTAACACAGTAACGTTGCAATCAATTGTTGTAGTCTAGATAAACATACAAAATGTATAAGCTAGTTATATTAAGCCAAAGTTTGAAATTGATGAAGTTATGACAAAGAAAACAAAAATATAAACCAAGGACCATATTGTACAACAAAAAAAGTCCATTTACCCCAAAACAAGTATGTACCTGTCTGGCTCAACATGTTTATGTCCGCAAATTTTCACAGCCCCAAGAAAAATCTGTTGTAGATGTGGTACAGGAAGAAAAAGATTTTTTGGGGAAAAAATTAACTGTGCAAGTAAGGGATTGCATACTGCGACATTTACACAGGACACAAAAACCAGCTATCACACCAAAACAAAATTGAACTAAAAAGTTTAAAAGCATCAACAAAGAAAATGAAAGTCTTGTGAAAAATGAGTGCTGAGTTACATACTACAAACTTGACAATCCACAATATCAGGATTCTCATAAAGTTATTGATTCCAATTTCTAAAGCTGATAGTAAAGAGCCCTCAATCTTTATACCTGGTCTTTCCTGGAGCAACACTAATCTTCTTGACAAGCTGACCATCCACGAACACATGATAATATGAATGTTGAATGGTGTCTTTCCCATAAATAGCAATCACAAATGGTGTCACAGGCCATTTCTTGAAAATGAAAACACAGACTTAATTTCTTAATTAACAGAAATGCATTGACATCCATATTGCAGACATGTAACACATCTGCCATGTAAGTTTTCTCTAATGTAGAGATTAACTCACTAGTGAACTTTAAACACTAATTAAAGGGAAAGAATTTTAGGCAGTCTCAAAAGAAGGTATAAAATAAGGAATTTATTTTCTTTTTAAGAATTCTATTCGATATTCCAAAAAATATTTGCTCTTCTGTAGATGTTCAATTCAGTGGGGGATTTGTAAACATTTCTAATGGTGAAATTTTCACTGAAATACTGATATTATACCCTTCAAACATTTCCCCAAAACTAGTTCAGATATTTCTTTATCACTTTTAAAACTTCCAAAACTTTTGAATTAACTACAAAGTCAACTTCTGGTTGGATGTAACTAACAAAATCACTTAACGGTAATACCCAAGTTTTTCATTAAAATCACTCTGTGGCCATACCCGAGGTTTTCCAGAAAATCACATTGTGGTGGCCACTCTAAATTTTTCATCAAAAAAAAAAAAACCCAAACTAGTGTCACCCTGACATTTTCATTCAAGTGATCATACCTGCATTTCATTTTCACCGTGGATAATCTCGGAATACTCGTGTTGGTAGCTGAATGGTGTGAAGAAGTTGCTCTCTACATAACAGATGTTATCTTTGTTGTACTCTGGCAGGGTGGTGTCTCCTACTCGTATTGACAGGGTAAAGTCTCCATTTGTTGGCATGTTTGCTCTGACATATTAAAGATCAGATTATATTACAATATCACATAAAGAACAGATGATGTTTAAACAATATCTTTTAACTACAAATTACCATCTCGTAGTGTTGAATATATTATACATGTACCTGGTAATAACCAACTTTACCTATGAAAATAGGTCAAGGTCATTGATACAAGGAAACTTTGTTGCACCCAAATCAGGTACACATTGGCCAAATATCAGTGAACCAGATGTTCTGGAACTTGAAAAGAAGATCCTTGAAGTTTTTAAAATATTTGACACTTGTAACCTTGAAATAGGTCTAGGTTAATAATATGAGGAAAGTACATCATACTCTAACCCAGGAACATCCTGACTAAATATCAGGTGTTAGTTGCTTATAGATTTCTTAAAGAAAGTTGACAGACAGACTGATAACAAGCAACAGATCCTTCACCATACCATGGACTCACTGGCACAAAGTGCCATGTGAGCTAAACAGATTGTTAAGCAAAACTCTGTTTGTGAAACACATAAATCATTCTATTGTGATTAAATCTGTAAAGTTTGAAAGAGATTAGTAGAAAAAATATGTACATTGGAATTATTCATATCATTTGTCAAAGTAGAGTTTTCAAAATAGGACATCCCTTTATTCATTGTGAAGTCAAGTATTAAACCAAGCATTTAAGGAATGATTTGATATTAAATATACAACAAAGAAGAGTCCTGACTTTGTCCTCATCACTATCTATACATAGATGGAGCTAGTGTGTCAAACTTTTATGAAGAACTTTCTGATATGGTCCTGATTGTATGAGTTTTTGTTAAGAATGATAACTGGATGACTGCACAGCATGGATAGGACTGATACAATCAACTCAACTTCAATCAATGGCACAAGGACATAACAGGTCAAATTTAGTTCAAATTAACAAATTTTAGGAGATTTCCTGATAAAATGGTGTTTTAATGCTTATTGGAAATTGGGAAATTGTATATCCTTGTCCCAATTAGGGTCATATAAGATGGCAGTATGTCACAAAATCCAGAGAAAAAATGTAGTGTGGGAAGGAAGTAGAAACCCAGAGAAAAATTTATGTACTTGTGTCTTAAGCTCCCCCTCCCAATAAAAAAAATAAATAAATAAAAAATAATAGATCGGGGTACTGATACACATTGATGTCAGGCAAATGGTCCCATACAATTATCATTCTGTCTTTATTTCAGTTTTCCTTAATTATATAGCCCAGTACAGTTTGGAAAATAAGAGTACTACCATGCACTTAGGGAAATAAATTAATGGCTTTATACCAATGACTTAAAATTATCTTAAGCACGTGTAAACGTGTAAACATTTGGAGACGCGCTCACCATTGTAGTCCCTCATTACATTAAATGTGTATGAGTAGTAAAAGTTGTGAGAACATGTCATTCCATGACGTAGGTTCGTTACAAAAATTGCCTGGTCAAAATTCAAAGTTTAAAGTTAAATTAATTTTCAGATTCATGAAATGTTACATATGATTGGAAGGAAAGTTTGAAATCATAACTTTAAGTTTATACAAATGAAAACATGGAAAATACACCAATAAGTATTGTTAAGCTAACAATGCTTGTACAATGTACTCTCCTTGACAACAGCTCATGACATATCGCAGTGAACTTTCCTATTGCACATACACAATACTTAAGTTGATACAGTGCTTATACCTGGAATACTTACATTAGTATAGTTTACAGTTATGGTAGGACCAGAAACCCGACGTCGTTCCAGAGGTCGCCAACTGCACACGATTGGTAATACACTGGAAACTCCAAAAACTAATTTAATTAAAACGAAAGTGAACCCTTCAGAGCACCTCGCGTAATATTTGATTCTACATGTTCCGAGTAGACAAGTAAACTACTGTGAGAAAAGGTCTGCTTAATCTTTATCCGGATTGTCGCATTGGACTTTATTTTTATACATTAAAAAAAAAACAAAAAAACGAAGACCTAGATTGTATCGAGCCCAAAAGCAACATATATTTTGACCTCTCCTGGTCAAAAAGATCAAAGACAGTAGTTTGTAATAGCTACTCGTGCTGAACAGAAAGGCGTCTGATCATGATAGTCCCAATCAGATTTTTTATTTACCACCCCTATAATCCACCACGATACACAGCAGTATACGGAACCCATTTTGCTTTCAAGATGGCCGTCGTGGCCGCCATCTTAAATACCTTCAATTGGTCCACATGTGGTTATAAATAAAATTTGAACCCTTGAAACATTCAAGATGGTTGTTGTGGCAACTGTCTTGGAAAATATTTTTATCCTGAACATAAAGTTGAATAGAGAAAGAATTTCTCTCATGTCTACTCTGTTTGGTCCAATGATAATCCTAGATGAAGTTCTGATCTGTACAACATTCAGGATTGACACCGTGACTGCTATCTTCAAAATCTTGGTTTAATGACCTTAGCTTAGGTATCCAGTATGATAATAAACAGGCTCTACCAACTGAGTCAAGAAAGCATGCTCTATCAGCTGGGTGAAAGAGAGTACATTTAACACTATATGCAAGCCATACTGATTTTGGAGTGTTTTCAGGGTATTTTTTGTATATTGGTACTCGGTTCTGTATCAGCTACTTCATCAAGAAGTTTATTTTAGTACTGGTGAAGCTGTATTTGTTAAGCTGCAGTGTTAGTAACAGTGATGTTGATAGGTTTTATGTCTTGATGAAAATGTTACTGGTTTATGCAGTAGAAAGAAACACAAGAAAAGTACTTTCAGACATGACTTTATTTGGATTTTATATGATCACATTCTCACAATAAATTATAATTGAAGCTAATATTGAATATTTTAAATCAGCACTTTTTAAAAAATAATGTTTATATGTTATAGAACCTTACATTACAACATCAGCCTAACCACAAAATATGGCTGACCTCTCACACAGGCACCCAAGAGCATTCATTTTTTAAAAATCTTTTTCTTTCTTTTTTTTCCCTACTAGATTTATCCATTTAAAATGTTTCTCAATGCTATACAACAAAGACAATTCCAAGGACATAATGCTTTGTTTTTAATATTTACCGTTAACAATTAAGTAAACCTCAACACTTACATGATAAAAAGTATCACCATGATATTAGTGAAGCACCTAATGAATACTGTAGTGTGCTTTTGTTTTTGTCGAGTCACAGATGTGTTCTTCTGTTCCTAAAACAAATTTTCAGAGTATAGATTTCAGGCAAGATCATTAGTGTCTAAAATCAATCATAACAATACATGTTAGGTCTATCAATCAAATATTAATGAATAGTAGACAAAATACCCTTAAGTCTGTTATAAGACTGCTTTTGACATGAAATGCAAAACATGAACGCTGATATAGATGTGAAATATTAACAAAATACTATAAAGTCTATTGTAAATTTGTTTTTTACTTTTGTGTGGGCATGGCCCATTTTGTGAAATTGTTTTATACATATTTTACATAAACGAATCAGGTAATTTTTCTGGAGTATTTTAAGCAAGTTTTAAGAAAACTATAACATTGTCTCATGAACTGTATCTCTCTATATGTAAGCAACTTAATATGAGCACCGATGTGATATAAATGTCTATTTTAAACTGATCAACTGTCTTTAAAAATAATGACATTTCTCTACATCCATTATCCAAGCAGTTCCAAACACAACATCTGTGTAGAAAGATTGCCTTTTCCTGAAAACAACTTTACTCCACTGTAAGCAATGTATACAACACGACCATATTAAGTTTTCATTTTCTGTTGAACAAAAAGTGAAATATGTAAGCGACCATAAAGTTCCGAACTTGTCTATTCAGTCACAAAATAATCATAGAGATTATAACATTTACAATGTACTTCATCTCTCAAATGTTTTACTGAATTTTGATATCAATAATTACTATAAAACAAGTTTTGATTGGTCCATTTCATTGATCCACATTCACACTTTGCATACTCATGATTTAGCTTAATATACAGAGTCCAGACACTACCACAGAACTGATCGACGTACAATAATGCACATAACACAATAATGATTTAAAGTCAAGCCTGTAATACCTATTTAACATTCTCACAGAAGTAGGCAGTGTACATTTAGTTCTCGAACAATGATTTCATGGTATTCCACTCATTCCTATAGTGGACTATGATGAAAGTTTTATAAACCAAATACTTATACAGGTACTATATAATATTTTGCAATCTGTAAATAACTTTCTTTCCATTTGCTTTGCTGAAAAATTAGATAAATTACAATAATTTAGAAATTCTTTGGGCAAGAGATATATTTTAACAGTTTTATAAAGTTTTGACTGAGATCTGAGGTTAAGTGAGGATAAATGGTATTTATCTAATCTTACACTTAATGGCCCCATGACATGAAAATGAACCTCTAGTACACATTACACAATACACAAATAAAACAACAATAGGTGCTATGCTATACCACCTGAAGGAGGTGAATATAATGGTAGGAATTGAGATCTAAATGAGTATTACTGTTAACCAACTTTCTATTTTAATATGCAATTGATAAAAATAAATTTGCAAAATGTTAATAGTCACAAATTAAGACAGGGATGACAAACAACTATTAAAGCTTAACAGAGTACAGTTATAGTCTGTTTTACAAAACTCAATTGTTACAGATCAGAGTATAGTTTGTTTTACAAAATCAGTTGCTGTGAACTTGTGATGTAGAAATTATTCAAGATTATAGCCGAGGAAGAAAGCTGGTTTACAATATCATACTAAAGATCAACATGTCAACAAAAATTCTGTAATCTGTCATATAACTGCAAACACAATTTCATTAGAACTTGAGAGAAAAGAATTTCATGAATGTGTCTTTAGTAGCATTACACAAGTATGTCACAATTTACCTTCAGTATGCTAGACTAGAAACTCATACATCACTGAAACATTAAACAGCGATAGCAACGCCTTACTCATACCGTCATTTTTAACACAACAGGAGTCACAGTTGGTGGTTATTATGCCACTATGACGTCATAGCAACTGCTAGTAGCCATTAGATGTTTTTTTTTTTTTACTTTATGTAGTTGAAACATCAGTCTGTACTGTAAACGTGTAGCAATATATTAAAGCTCCTCTATAACCTAGGTTGTAAAACACCAGACAATGACGTGACTATTTACATCATCACTATATACAGTTATACAAAACCTGTGTAATCTGACATTAACCTTCTTACTCATCCATATCACTGTAATCTGACATCTCATCACATTTGGTTTCACCTAACGATAAAAGGTGAATTAAGTCACACAGTAACGCGATCTATGAGGTTACCTCCCTTTACCAAATAACATACCCAAGATAATTAATGATTTTACAAAGTAATACTTATAGCTAATTAAATGTTTAAAAGTTCAAACTTTCACATACAATCACAAGAGGACTGGAAAGGAAGGACATACATATACAATGTTTGACATTTCTATTTTCTACATGACATCTATAACAGAATTTGAAATCAATATGCCCATTATATCAATAATCAATGTAATTCCAAGTTGTATAGCTTTGGTTCTTTTTCCAAACACTTTTCTTTTTACTCAAAGTAACAAACTTCAAACTATCGTCGACATACCAAATCTCTCTGCTGTTTGGCTTCTCAGTGACTACATTTATACATGTACCTCTGAGAGGTGCTGTTCACAAGTCTTGCTTCTGTACTGTTCCTGGCCTACACACAACACTTACATCTATACTGTTCCTGGCCTACACAGGTCTTATTTCTGTTCTGTACTGTTCCTGGCCTACACACAACACTTACATCTATACTGTTCCTGGCCTAAACAGGTCTTATTTCTGTTCTGTGCTGTTCCTGGCCTACACACAACACTTACATCTATACTGTTCCTGGCCTAAACAGGTCTTATTTCTGTTCTGTAGTGTTCCTGGCCTACACACAACACTTACATCTATACTGTTCCTGGCCTAAACAGGTCTTATTTCTGTTCTGTACTGTTCCTGACCTACATACAAATCCTATTTCTGTACAATTCCTGGCCTACATACAAGTCCTATTTTTGCACTGTTTCTGGCCCACACATAAGGGTCTGATAGCTCAGTTGTAAGAATATTGGAGGCGACAATCTGAGGTGTGTGGTTTAACGATCCTTACTCAGAGCAGTTTATATTTTTCAAGATGCTGAGAGGCCGTCATTTGCTGTATTTGTTATGTCCTTGGACACAGCACATTACTCAACTGCTCTGAATAGCAAGTGACGGGCCTCCTGTATGTTGTTCATTGAAGTAGCAACCAGCTGTTGACTATGAAGAAACCACCTATGCATTTAAGTATTGAAAAAGTCTGTTTGGTTGTATGAAATGTTAATCTACAGATAGTGAATAGTCGAAATTCCATCATTCAAATATCACATAGTGCATCTGTCAAGTAACCATCAAGATCTTCTAGATCACTAACTTATATCTTTGTCAAAATTCCATTTTCCAAAATTTTCTTTCACAGAATCTATAATGATTTATTAAATTTTTAATCAGAAGATATAGTACGCATGTTTGAGAATCATTATTTTAAATATTGATCAAAATTTTTTTTTTCAAAGCACTGAAGATTTAAAACCAGATCATACCTTTCTTATATTTTATGTCCTCTAATATATCAACACAAAAAAAATTAAAACATTATAAGAAGATGACATTTCCAATATTTTCAAAATATAACAGCCGTAGACATTGAGAAATTTACTACCAGTTTCATATTCCTTATCAAAAATACTTTGCAATAGAAAACCCTGTAAGAAATAAGCTCTCTCTTCTATGACTACTGCCACTATAAGACAGAGGAGAGGGAACCCTCACCACTATCATCAATATCTTGGCAGCATTCCCTCGCCTCATTCAAATCTCAAATATCTCTCTATGATATATGTTGGCTTAATACTTTATACTACTCTACCTTGATCTTTGATTCATCTGGACCTGGATTTTCAAAATGACCTTAAAATTTATCCTGCAGGTGTTAATTGTAATCGCCATTCATATAAACCCTGTGTCTCTTTCTGTAATATAGCAGATTTTAATTTTGTTCATTTTTTTAGGAGACTTGCACCTTCCAAAAATGCTCCACAAAATATCTTAAATTGAGTGAATTAATATACATATAATAAACACAAAAAAGAAATATATGCTTGATACTTTTCAGTTTTATACCATTGGAAAAATTCCATATTTTTAAACTACAATTACCCCCTAGATCTTTTCTGTTAGAAATTTTTCATTAGATAGCCATTATCAAAATCCAAATACCCAGGTAATATGATTTTGTTTCATGTTCCTGTAATCTCTTGAAATTATCAAAACAATGAAATCTATTAAACAGAGGAATTTATGATGTATACCATTTTCTGTTTTATTAAAGTACATTTTAGAAATTTTACAAAACAGAAATATATATGAGAGATTATAGCTTTATAATATGATAGATATTCCAGATCATCAGGCAGTGTTTTTCAGATCTAAAGACAACACAAGGTAGATTATTTAATGCTGCTTACAGAATATTGATTCCACAGCCAGTGTAAGTTTGTTCAAACATGTGTACAAACACCATCTATCTGCCAACCTGCGTAGTTAAAATATTTGACAAAACTTTGCTTGCCGTAATTTGTGGCGCAAAAAATGTCATCAGGTTCTGAATTCCAGCTTCAAACCCGGCACTTGTCAAAATTGGCAAGATTGCAACCCAGGTATATGTGGAAATATACCGTTCATCTGTCTTTATAAAGAGCAGACGATAAAATGGCCCATTCTGGCCTTTCTCTGATAGGGTTCCTAATCCAGCTCCTCCTGCTCCCCTGTTGCTCCACTGGGGTTGGTCATGTTTTCCATCAGTTCTAGAACATGTTCAACAGGCTGAGGACGGCCAGACTCATCCACACCACTCGGCTGTATTATCCCTTGGCTGTGGACAAAATAGAAATGATCTTTATTTTTTCAGAATTTTATATCATCATTTCCTTCGACAAATTCAATTAGAATTTAAAATATGCTGGTATTGGACAAACATGTCAAAAAACACCCATATGACTTAGCAAATCACTTCTCACAGTAGTATTCATCAAGTCTATTTTTTTTTCATGTAGCACATGTATATCAATTTATACCAGACAGCAAACGTGTATGTAATACAGATATAGGTACATACCATTGGAGTTTGTGCATCATGTTGACCAATTTCATGGCTTCAAACTCCTTCTGTTCTTCACTCATCCCCTCAAAAGGGTCTGGTTTGTCCTCCTCCCACCTTCCAGTAACAGGATTTACCCTAAAATGAAAAACCAATAATTTGTGTTTAACTATCAATTAAAAGATATTTAGAATGTCTGTGTCAAACAATGATTAAATTCTGTGTAGCCAGTCCTTTTTTCAGATTTTTTCAGAAAGACTAAACACCAAGATTAAAAATCACTTGATGACTTACAAATATACAAATTTAATTAACGAAAAAATAGGTACAATCTGTCTTAACACTACATTGATCAATGTTTCCTAAGTCTTTCTCCAGATTTAAAACAGGTTTTATTATCTTCAGCAGAACTTCATATCTCTTGTATAAAAATGATTCCAGATGGTCTGTTTTAATTATATGTTGGGCAAGGACTTTCTTTTATTCAATCAATCTTTTTCAGTAGATACTGAAGTAGTAATCATGAATTTACATGTCTCGCAGTTGGCTATACTCTTCTGTGTCCGAGTCATCCGAGTTGCTGGAGTAGTCTCCCCCTGACTTCCCTCCGAGCAGAAGACCCCGATTGGCTAGGAGCCCAGCACTGTTCCCATAGCCAGTGTACTTCACCATTCTGTTGACTAAAGGCAACAAGACATACACAGATAAAATAACTCTGCTGGCATCTATATTTTAAATATGGCTTAAAGTTAAATTAATAAAGGAGTGTCAAAAATTCTTCAAATCTGCAAATTATTTAAACTGTGATTTTTTGAGATCAGAAACAACATTCTTGTTATATCTTTGATAGAAGAATTGGTGAAACATTCAAATCAAAATATAAACTACTCTAGCAACTTACTATTTAACAAACACACACACTAAACTTTGGTTGAGTCAATTTCATATACATATATTCATATTAGAAAATGGTTACCCAGTATATATTTCTACAAATGTGACCACAATCTAGGTTTCCATCCAGTAAGTGAAAAAACTACTTAATCCATAGGATGAACATATTGAATTTGTATCTTCCATGTCCAACAATTATGTATGATTACAAAAACCTAACCATCCTTACCACTCTCTTTACACAAAACAAACAGAAAATCAGCAGCCAGGTCCTTCACATCTGTGATCGGTGATGTTAACAGCTTACATAGTCTGTAACACACAAGGAATTTAATAATTTCGAAAATACTAAAACACAAATGAATACAAATATTATGCTACATATCTTACATATGTGAATTTTTCTTAATCCAGACAGAACAAACAGTTAACTAAGGCTGTCTACTTGAATATCTAAACTATTCAGGTATATGTGTTAAGATCAGGGTGTAATGGGAAAGAGGGGAGACAACTTACCTGTTTCTAAGTGTATCTCCATCTTCTGGTAATTTCTTCACCTCATCCTTCAAAGGTGGTAACACCTGGTTGGAGGAAAAAAAAAAACAACTTAAAATTAAGTTGAATATATATATTGTTTTCCAATATCATATCCCTGTAGCAATCTCATGAAACAGTACAAGCTAGGACAAAATAGGCACAAAATGGCACAACCAGATTCTGCTGTTCCACCCTTGTCAATTTGTGGTGAAAAGGATGCACAACAACAATTGTATCTTGTGCATATGAGCTGAATTGTGATATGCATCAGCACGCAAACTATTCCTGTTGATTTGGAAAGACCGACAAAATCAAACAAAGATGTTGGCCACGAAGTGGAAAGAATGATGGTGTACAAAAATTATATTGGGTAATGAATTATGTGTAAATGTAGAATTTTCAGGAACTAAGAAAATTGTCTTGCTTTTATTTCATAAATGTGAAACGAGATTTTTGCTGAAACATATCTTTTAAGTGTATCCACTTCCTTAAATGAAGACAATATTCTTGGGGTGTTTCAGTAGGCCATTTTGTCAAATTGTTTTGCATTGGAGCAGCTTCTCTTTTGAATGTAATCACAGACCATTCCAAAAACATATGTATATACTATTTAGAAATCAAGTTTTCTCTGAACATTTATAAATGCTTTGAATAACTCTATAGGTTGGTATCTAATAAGGTAGTCAGAATTATTCTGAAATTCTTTCAACATTATATATTTGTTTGGATTTAATTAACATCAGAACTGCCACTATAAAAAGTGAGGAGTCATCATTCAAACAATAATGGGGGAAAGAACTCATGGAAGAATATACCTACCTTAGAGCGACAGAACTTGCGGATAGCTCTATTAGCCCTACATGTCTCACACAGGCAATGAAGAATAGGAGTGAGGCTTTCCTTCAGCGACTTCATCGGCTATAACACAAACAAACTTATTTAATACATTTGTATAGTTGGTAATGCCATAATTATCCTGCAATATGCCTACACATCACTTCTTTCTCAAGTCAGCGGCTGGACTTATTACATGACCTAAGAGTCAAAACATCACATCTTTCTCTTAGTTAGGGGCTGGACTTATTACACGGCCCAGGAGTCAACACATCACTTCTGTCTTAAAGTCAGGGGCTGGACTTATTACACGGCCCAGGAGTCAACACATCACTTCTTTCTCAAAGTCATGGGCTGGACTTATTACACGACCCAGGAGTCAACACATCACTTCTTTCTTAAAGTCAGGGGCTGGACTTATTTCACGGCCCAGGAGTCAACACATCACTTCTTTCTCAAAGTCATGGGTTGGACTTGTTTCACGACCCAGGAGTCAACACATCACTTCTTTCTTAAAGTCAGGGGCTGGACTTATTACACGACCCAGGAGTAAATTTGTACATGGCTAAAAGGGTTAAGGTTATTATTTGTTGGTGTAACTATAAAATACCTTAAGTTGTAGTAATTTACGATCAGTTGATGTGAAGTTGCATCAGACCATGTAAATTACTAAAGAAGGTATGACTGCTGTGTACAAATAGTTCAGTGTCTAATAAAGAGACAGAATAAAATTTGTAAGTATTACCACGTCTAGCCTGTTGTAGAAGAGACAGAATAAGATTTATAAGTATTACCACGTCTAGCGTGTTGTAGAAGAGACAGAATAAGATTTATAAGTATTACCACGTCTAGCGTGTTGTAGAAGAGACAGAATAAGATTTATAAGTATTACCACGTCTAGCGTGTTGTAGAAGAGATAGAATAAAATTTATAAGTATTACCACGTCTAGCCTGTTGTAGAAGAGACAGAATAAGATTTATAAATATTACCACGTCTAGCGTGTTGTAGAAGAGACAGAATAAGATTTATAAGTATTACCACGTCTAGCGTGTTGTAGAAGAGACAGAATAAGATTTATAAGTATTACCACGTCTAGCGTGTTGTAGAAGAGACAACAAGATTTATAAGTATTACCACGTCTAGCGTGTTGTAGAAGAGATAGAATAAAATTTATAAGTATTACCACGTCTAGCCTGTTGTAGAAGAGACAGAATAAGATTTATAAATATTACCACGTCTAGCGTGTTGTAGAAGAGACAGAATAAGATTTATAAGTATTACCACGTCTAGCGTGTTGTAGAAGAGACAGAATAAGATTTATAAGTATTACCACGTCTAGCGTGTTGTAGAAGAGACAACAAGATTTATAAGTATTACCACGTCTAGCGTGTTGTAGAAGAGATAGAATAAAATTCATAAGTATTACCACGTCTAGCCTGTTGTACAGAAAGTCCAGCAGGACTATAACTGCCTCCATATTTTTCCCATCAAACTCTACATCTTTATTCTCCATGCCACCAACGTCAATCTCGTTAAGAGGGATAAGTAACTCCTCATAGCAGTCTCGTGGGATGTTTGTTAGTAGGTTCACCGTGTGACTAAAAATAAAACATCACGTATAATTCACAACAAAGGTGTGACCAGTATATCAATCAATGTACTTTTATCTAGTACAGTACTGATATTTGATTTTTGATGTTACACAAATAAGATATCAACTTTTCAAAGCAAATCTCAGAACATTCAATGTTTTAACTAAGATTTAACCTAGGATGAATAATAACTTCAATCTGTGTTCTACACTGAATTCCAGTTTTAATTATTTTGGAAGTAAATGTGTGATAGTTTAGTTACCTCTTCAGTTCCTCCTGACGATCTTTGCTCTGTGTTCTACACATCAATAGGTCCCGCAGTACACTGACCAGGCGCATGAAGTGAGCTTCCTCTTCCTGTATCGAGACAATAATATGTTGTTAGCGTTTTTTTTATGATTTATGTCAGACTGTTTGAAAAGTAACAAGTATGATAATATTTACCAAAACTAGTAGAACTCAAAGAGTGCTAGTAATTCATGACAGTATTCAATATGAGACAAGTGACAGAAATATTGAATTTCTTAGGCCCTTTTATCAAATATTTTTACAGGTTTAATAACATTTCAAATGAGGCAGTAAAATATTCAAGTATGTAATTACAGTATCACATTTTGACTTCAAACATTGAATTTATAGTCAGAAACTGAAATGCATTACTTGAGAGGAAAAATGAAGAACTCTCCAAATAGAGTACTTTTAAACCATTATAATCTAGATAATAAGCTAAGACCACTTATAAACATTAAATCTTAAGTTTTTAATAAAATCAACATTTATTTACAGCTGAAATGAAAACAAAGTAAACCAGGACTCACACAGGTTAACCTCATCCTCTATTTTGTACACAAGTGAACAAGGATGATGTTTGACCTTTAACCTTCACAAATGACCACAAAATCAGGTGTAGACCATGGTGATTTGATGCTATGGTGTGAATAAGAACCGGTTCAGAGCTTGCACATATTGCACAAATGGACACACAAAAAGATTGCTATATACCCCCTTAAAGTGAGGATTAACGTTTTGGAGTAAAACTACCACCTGTTTGGATCTATGTGTATGGCAACCAATGATTTCCTTTGAATTTTCTCACCTCATCTAAAGCATTTTTATCAATCGGGACTGTGATGTTAAAGAGAATTTTGAGGATTTCGCAGCAGAGATCAACTTCCTGTTCTGTGAGTCCAGACTGTCGAGCATCTGCATCCCGTAGGATTAAGTCAACAACTTCCATCAGATATGTAAACCCGTGCAACTCATAACGGATCAAGGGTCTAAATGAAATATAAAATGAATAATGAAATAAATAGGAAAATCCACGGTTCATATCAAAACAGAAATATGACATGACATAACAAATGAATATTATAATTACCAAATAACAATGTTGGAGAGTAAGAAAGTGCATAGATAAAGAATGTTAATGTTTATTGAAAACAAGAGGCCCAAGGGCCTTAACAGTCACCTGATTCACAAGGCTTCTTGTATTATGTCATAGAAATGATTTTGTTTAAAAAAGTAAGATTAATTATGTTGTAGACATAATGTTCATGTGAATTGTGTATACATAAATTCCTGTACCAAGCTAAGGCTTCTAACCAAGTTTGAATTAAAAAGTATTATCAAAACTAGTTAATTAAATTTCCCTATAAAAATGGTTAACTTAATCCAAATGAAAAAGTCTCTATGATTGGGTATGATACTGGTGTAACAGCTGTCAGTTCCGGCTAACAAATGTTGGTGTAACAGCTGTCAGTTCTGGCTAACAAATGTTGGTGTAACAACTGTCAGTTCTGGCTAACAAAGGTTGGTGTAACAGCTGTCAATTCCGGCTAACAAATGTTGGTGTAACAGCTGTCAGTTACGGCTAACAAATGTTGGTGTAACAGCTGTCAATTCCGGCTAACAAAGGTTGGTGTAACAACTTTCAGTTCTGGCTAACAAAGGATGGTGTAACAACTGTCAGATCTGGCTAACAAATGTTGGTGTAACAACATTTACCTTGTTTCAGCACACAGGGCAGTCAACAGGAACAGCATCCTCATATCAAAGAACTGTCAAACATAACAAACATTTTTTTTCTCTTCAATTTACTTGATGTAAAGTTCAACAGGACATACCAAAAGTACATAAACTTACAATTTCTTATTTTTTTAAGAGTAATTCCTACTTGATTTTAGAAACAATATGCCGAAGAGCATTGAAAATGCTCTTAGCATAAAAATTAAAAGTTGGTTGTTTATAAGCGTGAAAACAGGAGGTCAAATTGGCCACCATCGCTCATCTGATATTCTATTCTTTTCCAAAATATATTTAAAATTTCACTTTATTGACATTTATTGTCTTTATTACTGAGAAAAAGTTGCTTGAAGGCAATAACAAATTTGTGACATTGTGACATTGGACATGGATCAAGGTAATTTCTTTTTGAAAAGAGTACCATAATTTCTTGCGTATAGCCCGCATTATAAAACAAAGCAAAAAAAGTGTATCCCTCCAAACAGAATTGGCAATATGGATGCGGTGCCAACGATGTTTAATGTTTATACATTGTAGCCTTTTCTTCTTGTTATTTCTTATATTCAAAGTTCCCCTGTTACATAGATATTTTACGGCCCGCAATTTTCAGTGGTTTTGGAAAACATTTTGTCATATAGCCTGCTTCATGAGATAGCCCACAGAAAGCATTTTTTAATGTTTTAAATTGTATAGACTACTGGCAATATGCACAAAATTAAAGTAGTACTTCTTCCAAAAAGAAATGTAGCCAAATATCATAAATCTGTGACCTTGTTTGAAGGTTGTAACAAATTTAACCTTTCTGAACTTGAATATAGGTCAATGACATTCTTTTCATTAACTTTGTGAGGCTTCATCCATGGCAACTTTCAACCAAATATCACTCCTCTTAGCCTTTTGGTTATTGAGATTAAAAGTGAAAAGGTGATCACAGACAGACACTGTACTATTGCATAAGCTCACTTGGGTCATTGGGCTGGATGACCTAATAAAACTGGTGATCTACTGTTAGTACAAATTTTTTCTCTAATAAACTAAAAAGAAAATTTATTTTCAGGAATTACATCACTGGTTATTTTTAAAAGAAGTAAACATTTGTTAAAAACAAGAGTATTATTAATTTTCCATGTTTAAATCTGTAATATTTGTGTATTAGTGCATGATGTACCAGTGTCACCAGCATTACCTTTATTTCAAATTTAAGATCAGGGTCTTTGTACGTCTTCAGTCGCTGTATGATCCCCTCCACACATCCATTTTTACTACAAAGAAACAAAATGAAATTTAGGATATAATTTCAAGAGGCAGTACACGTACATAATCCTCCAAAGTAATATTAATGCTGCCATTCCATTATGTATACGTGTAATTTTGGAATCTTTTACTATTGAACTGCTGTATTAAAGTGCATCATGTTATTTTTTTCTTCCAATCCATTTTGTTGATTCAATTTTATTTTTATTTGCAACAGGCAGGATGTTCAAACAACTACCAGTTATGCACACAATCTCTTTGTATAAACAGATAGTTTTATCCCATTTGTTATTAGACTACAGCAATTACTGTAAAAAAAACCCTGCATAATGTGCGCAAGTATTTTTTGGGCTTGAAAATAGTATACATGCTTCTACTTGCATTATGTGAGCACTTCAGTCAAAATTGATCTGAGAACGTTCAGCTAACATCAGACCAATGACATAAAGTTAAAATATTGAAAGTATTCTCTTTAAAATTTGTTTTTATCTTATTTACTGACTTTTAATTACCTTATATTCTATTATAGGCACAATACAAATGAAGGAAAAAACCTGTCTAATATTTGTGCACTTCTTGTTTATTTTCTTTGACATCAGACATGCTATACTTTATCATTCACTTGCCAAACCAATTAATCCATATTTGTTTATCTTACGTACACAAACACTTGTCTTCATGCTAGGCCTATCGGTAATTAGCAGTGTTCAGTGTTGAAATCACAGTTACAAGTACTTATCTACCTATTAATGACGAAACCAGGTAATCACAATCTCCAAGAGTCAAGTTTTCTTTCATGTCTTACTGTCACATCGTGTGCACGCCAGCTGACCTAAATTGAGGCCCCATCTCTCCAAATTTTGCCAATACCCATGAAAATAGACATGTGCTCATGGCTTCTGCCAATTTCTGAACAGTTGATCATGCAAGTGTTTCACATTATAATCAACAATTGTAAGGACCCAGTTTTCTGTCTTGCTAGATGCTATCACATCTTTTTTATAAAACACCTTGTCCTGAAGTTGTATGATACTGACCTGGATAGTTTGCATATATATATATAAACAGCGATTATCTTATTCATCATTGTTGTTCATAATGAAACCATCAGATTTTGTTGTGTTAAATTACACACCAGATAATCCTGACAATCAATGGTGACGGCCACATAGAATCTTAAAATTTTCCATAAAAAAACCCTTGAAAATCCTATAGCTAAGTAATGTGCACACTCCCACTTTGGATGTTTACTTACTCAGAAAAACTGTGTACATTATGTGGGTTTTTATGGTACTGCTTTACCTCACTGTGTATCACAGTCAGGGATAGCACGTCCACATAGCATTATCAGTTACTTTCTTGAAACACTCACCTGCAGACTCTCTGGACTTGAACATTGTTGAATATTAAGTTACAAAGACACTTCTGTGCTTCCACCATCACTACAAAAAAATTTATCAACATCATTGCTTAATATTATTCCAGAGTGAATTCTTAAATTGAGTCTGATCTAAATGTAAAGACATTCAACTTCAAAGCTGTATCTGAAAGATATTGAGGGAATCTCTACTAGTGCCTGATTTTTGTTGTGTCAATCCTAAATCTGAGATACATTCATGCCTTAGTTTGTACTCAATCCAAATACATGTAGTCATTATCAATTTGCTGTAATTTCCAACGTTTATATTTCATATATCCTAGAGACAAAATTTCAGGAAGGACGGTTTGTCAATTATACACAACTTATTAGTACAAGTCCAATCTAAATACAAATTCTGTTCAGAAGATGTAGGGGGTAAGATTTTTAAAAATGACTAACATGGCAACTATTGTAAATTTTATGGCTTGGGATTTCAATAAGAATCATCTCATGATGAACTAAAATTCATGAGTTCAGAATCCTGTCACAATAAAATTTAAGAAGTTTTTCAAGGTAGCTGCCATGGCAGATAAGAAACATCAGTATACAAGTATTCATATGACTGACTTATGAAATGTATCTATATAAGTCATGTGTAAAACATGACAAGCCACTGTTTGAACACAAAATACATCAATATCTAATATATGTAACTAAAAAATTTGACAATTCACTTGTCAGTACTGTCGCTATTACTTCATTGATCATATATCTACTTCAGTAATACGCATCCAACGAACATTTGTTTGTTAGGGTCCAGTACCAATATTAAACTATATCGTCTATATTACTAGATTCTATCTTTCACACTGAGTAATACGCATCATAACCTATGTTGTGGTCCAGTATATCCAAATTATTGTTCATCTGTTATTTCTGTCTACTTTGTTTCTGTCTTTGTTTTTGCCCGTATTGTCCCTAACTTTGTGTTTGTTTTATGTTTTATATATGTGATGTAATTAAAGTAATATTTGTGTGTTAAGAAAGGGGAAAATTGCCACAAAAATCATGTGTCTGCACTCTAGCTATTACTTCATTGATCATGTATATATATTATAAAAGTCAAATTTATAAAACTTAAGCCTTAAGTTCAACTCTGACCGTCTTTGTTTGACCTCTGACCTCAGCCAGTAATACCACTCACCATCAGGGTCACCATTCTGTATGGTTACACACTCGCCCTCCTCTTCAGAGTAATGCTGGAGACCTGCCATCTTCATCATCAGGTTGAGAGCCACCTCCGATATCATGCCTGCCAATTTCTCTTTCTCACGACTAAACAGTCTCAGTGTCTCCAGGCATAGGATGTGGCATTTGGCAGCACCCTGTACCCGCAGGAGGTCCAGGATGGCCTCCACACATTTCTACAAAATCAAATCATTATTTCCAACAATATTAGTAGTTTTTTTTTTTAGGAAACTTACAATGTATCTGGGATTTTATCTTTCCCTCCATGACCTGGTCTCTATGCTTTATACCCAACCTAGCCTCTAACCTTCTAGATCTAGCCTTTATAATCTATCCCCAACCTACCAAGCCCCTACCATATATATACCTCACAGATCTAGTCCCTACATTCTATCCCCAACCTAGCCCCTTCCATACCTCCTAGATGTAGCCCCTATATTCTATCCCCAACCTAGCCCCTACCATACCTTCTTATCTAACCCCTACATTCCATCCCAAAAATAAAACCTATTCCATCCCTCGACCACACCCTTATATTCTATTCCCTATAATCAAGCCCCTATTCCAACTCCTTGATCTTGTCCCTATATATCAGATTTGACATGTGCCACATGCAGTTTTCTGATGTTTGTAGATCTGTACGGGTGCAATCTCTTTGAGATATTGAAATCAATCTCAACATAGAAAAGCTAAAATGCCAAGAGGAAAAACAGTGCTATACGTTTTGATAATCAATTTGATCATACGAAGATTTAAAGAAATAAGTTTAAAACTTCAAAGAGAAAACTCTGAACAAAAACAAATTAATGCTGAAAAGAACAATGGCTAATAACTCTTCGAAATATTGTTGAATCAAAATGCTATTTATACAAACATTGCCTCTTATTGTTATGGTTTTAAAGCCTAACAAATCAATGGGATTTATATCCCCCGCTTTCCAAACATATTGTGAATAAATATTTCAGAGGTTAGGAGTAAACATGTCATAATGCTATATAGAATGATATATTCTCTTGAGCTATGATGCATTGCTTTAAAGCCAAAGAAAGATGTAAAGGATTATAGAGAGTAGATGTTTTATTGGACAAATCAAATATCAACCAATAAAGTGAATTAATTGAAGAAAACTTGCATACTAGTAACTATAATGGAGCTAAGCAGATCAATGGTCATTAGCAGGTATAGTAGTCCACACAATATGATGATCAGTACAGGGGACTGGAAATAGATATTAACAGATGATACTGATTGCTGAAATCAGTCTTATGTGCCCTAATATGCATCTGCTGACCAAGTTTCATCTAAATAGGATCATATTTAGGGAAGTTAGAGCACGGCAATGAATCGACCAATGAAATCAAAGGATACCTCATTAGCATGCATAATTATTAACAGATGATACTGATAGCCAACACAGTCTTAATGACCCCAAGATGCATCTGCGGACCAAGTTTCACCCAAATTGGATGATATTTGGGAAATTAGAACATGGAAATGAAAGTGTGACAGACAGATGGACGGACAGACAAACCCAAATTAGTATTCCCCATTTCTGTGAAAGCGGGGGATAACAAGTTTCAAATCAATCTGTTCAAACATGAGGGAGGAAATAATTTGAAAATAAGAAGAGTAAATTTCTGGACAAGATTAATATCATGAAAACAACAAGGGTAGTAACTCTTTGAACCCCAAACAAATCAAATTACTGTTCAAGAAAACATATCTAATGCTGATTATCCTACTTTATCAGTTATGGTATATAACACCATGACAAAGTCATTAGTGTTCTTTTCAGTTACAATAACTACATGTATAAGCCACGGGTCTGGTTTTTAGTGATTTTTTTAGATTTGATCCACATGTAAGATGCATCGGGATATAAGCCGCACCCTTGTGGTAACAGTTATATTGACCAAAGTTTGTTGATATAACAGACAATGCAAGCCAATTTATCAAGATCATCAGTGAAACATTTAAAATAAGTTTTCAAATTAATTATACACAGATAATCCATTATTTCATCAACGAGTTTCAAAAATGTATAAAAGCAATTATCAAACTTGTTTGGCTTGAGAGCCTTCAAAGATTGTCTACACACAGAAATAAGGCCTAACATTCTGAACGGTTTACTTAACAATATCTCCATATGTGTCTGTACTGTTAAATATTAGCGAAGGCACTTGCACGCTGACAGAATTCTTATAGTCCAATATCATTTCTTGTAAGTTACACCAAGCTATTCTTATTGTAAACAAGTATGGTGGTCATTCTGGAATTTGACACGATGACCTATCAATCCCAGGATGCAACATGCTATTGTTAACTTCCGCAATGGCTTCCGAAATACATAATGGTCCGGAACCAATGTCCAGACGATATCCTTCATATTGCTTTTTTTCCATTCTGCTGATTAATTTTGTCCACATATAAGTGTTTAATCCGTATGCCCGAACACTAAGGCAAAAAACACAGCTTATATGATAGATTATATTACATCAGTATCTAGGAGAACTATTGTTAGTTTGTGATTACAAGAGTCATATGTACAATGAGGTCTCATACTTAATGGTAAATTTCAATAACAAATTTTTAACCAAGAAAATCAAAATCGGCTCTTAATTGTATCTTCATATTTCTTTAAACAGGAGTAAACATATAAATTAGTATCATTCAATTTATAATGTCATAAAGAAATTGAAAAAGATTTCTCCAAGCTCTCATGGAATTGTTTTCAATACTTCAAGAAAATGTCTGTAGTTATACATATGTAATTATATATATACCTGTTTTACATCCAAAGTCAGTTCAGGAAAACTGAAGGTCTGTGCATTCTGAAAAATACCAAACCAAAACCCAATGACATATAATAAACATTCTGATCAACACATGACATGGATTAAAGATATCACAAAACAGATGATCTATACCATTCTACAAATCTAAATTTCAAAATTCCCATATTTCTCGTTTCTACAACATGCCAAAGTTTCTTTCACAAATCAAAATCATGAAATAGGTACCTATTTTTCTTTCTGTCTAGTGTTAGTTCAAATCAGTTAACATGTGTTTCAAAAGATAATCCTATTATCGTATTTTTCAATATCCCAAACAGGACATAAGATAATATATTCACCGATTAGTAGCCATACTAATTTGTTAGTACCATCCATGTTTTTAAACACTGTCATGATTCTGAGCGATGTGGACTCTTGTAGATCAAACCATTTATTAAATTGTTTATTATCAGAGTCTGAACTAAATGCAATAGATCATTTATCCAATGTTATTTGACCGCTAGCTCTGACTCCTGGTTTATGTATTCCATTACCATAGTAACCAGACAAAAATTGTTGGATATCAAATTGATTGATGAATTTGGCAGATCATGAATCATTGGTTGAAAAGATAAGGAAAAATGTCTGCTCCAGAGTTCAAGTGTTTGATGACAAGAGATATTCTTGACAAAGTTGTGATAGGCAAATGTTAATTGAACAAAATTTCAGAATATACTGCAGGCATGCTAAAGAAAACAATTAAGGACAAGTACAGAGGTCGTAAAAAACATAATTCTGTAATTCTAAGCATCTATAAATGTATTTAGATAAACACTTTCCTGCTTTATTCTTTGTAAACAAATACAATATCAATATTATATGATGATATACTACAATATCAATATTATATGATGACATACCACAATATTTATATCATATGATGATACACACAAAATATCAATATTGATAAAAGAAATTCTGTATTATTTTCTGCTTATGATCTTTATCAACAGTAATCAAAATTTCGAAAAATACAGTACAAGCAAATATAGATTTGATTTGGTATCACAGCATATTGTGTTTACAACTATGGATAATCAAATTGAATAGTAAAATAGATTACTTTTGATTTAGTTTACCATTAGTTAATAATTAATCATGAGTACAGGACCTCTTGCAATTTCTAAACAACATCCATAAATATACTGTGCAGAAATGTATTAGCTGCAAAGCTTTTTGTCAATAGTAACTTATATATATCACAACATAATCCTGCTGAACACCTTGACAAGAATCAAGCCCAGGTTCCTGCATGATAATCTATGCTCAACCAATAACTGATGAATTAGCTATTTCCTTAGTCAATTTCGTGATTAGTTTCAACTTTTGGAAATTTTATTAGCCCTACCCAACAGGTACAGTAGAATAATGTATCCATACCTGAAGTTCCCTCATTGCTAACTATCAACTGCACAGACTGGAAATGCTTTGGCTAACAAAACTGTAGTCATGTGACAAATGGAGAAAACTTTCTGTTTTTTTTTCTCTTGGTTTAAAGGCAATTATTGAGCAACAGAAGCATGATCAATAAACTGAGTGACAGAAACTATATATACCACTATGTACAATTCACATTTTGTACACTGACCCATCAGATGAGTGACCAAGACCTTATTTAACACCACCCTGAAGGTGGACTATAGCCACTTGCTATGTATGTTATAAATGAACATCAAAAGGCAACTTGTCAACTGAAACTTTTGAACTAGGGTTTTGGACTTATATCTGGACCTGAATTTGTATATATACCAAATCTAAAGTCTACACATATAGTACTAGTGTACAATTATGTCATACTTACACAGTGTCAACAACTCATATGATACCATAAGTTTGATATTGGTCATATCATGACCTGCTTAAATTGTGAATTCAGCTAGAATCCTCTGATATTTCTTTACTTTCGCTAAGTATTTAAAAAATCTAAAATCAATTTTGGATTTAATTAGCCTTAACAATGTTCAATACAAACATAACATAAAAAGAACACCACTGAAATACAAGCAAATGTAACAACTATTTACTAATGGCAAAGAATTGATTACAAAATCATTTTCCTTGATGTACTTTAAAACACACCTTCATAATTGGTTTTCATGGGCTTTGATCTGATATGAGCAAATGTTTAGAGTTACAGAGTAACACATGTAAATAATATTTGTGATCCTGGTCATTCTTATTTACGTTTACATATGCATATGTTGTATCTGTCTGCTGGACCTAATGGGCCTCTACAGGCAGGTCAGAAAAAAAATTCAACATCATCATGATCATGATTACTTAATCAAGATGTGCATAAGACATTGCATTGGACATATTTTTGTATTGCCACTTAAATCTTCTGTTTGTGAAATCAAAGTGAAAGAACAATGAAATTTATCGTACGGTACACACACGTCTAATGCCTTGGACTAATCTAAAAGATCACGTCATAATACTCACCAATATATACTTCTTATTATATAATTACTAGACTGCTAAATACGGATCATTAGATGTGTTTCCTGGATGTTTCAAATGTTATTAGAATAAAAAGAGAAATAAACGGTAAGACTACATTATTGGAATGAAATGAGTCGCGTGCGTAATTATGAGATACCTCGATATAAATGGACCTCATTATAAATATTCAGATCGATTCTGAACGATGTTTTTGTCTCACCTTTGTCGTAAAAGCCTCGAGCACTAAACATACATCCTGTTCATTTCCAGTCTGCAATGTTTTTAAAATATTCGTGTCAATGCTCATATTTGTTGTAAATCACAAAGACCGTGTTGAAATCTGTTAATTCGGTGGAGATGTTGTTGACATTTCCATCTTTACTACGCCAGGAGAACCACTGCTTCCTCCTTGTACTCTCACGAGTAGCTCAATGATCATTAGACGAACCATTTCTGCGTTGCCGACGTACAATCAATAGCATGCATCTATTTGTGACAGAGGTTGGCGTTACCCTATTCTCTAGGGTGATGGTATATCACGTATTAAAATATCATGGCAAATAAACAAATAGATACACAAGATAAAAATAAAATAGACATAAAAAATATACAAAAGACGAACAATAAATGAACATAATTCCATACAAATTTAGATTATCAACGCTTTGTAGTAGACGTTGGCGTTTAATTGTTCTCTAGAGTGATTGTATGGAACGACTTAAAATATCATGGCAAAATAATCAGTAAATAATATAAAAGATTAAAAAATGGATAAAAGACACTTTTCCATATTAATTTGACTTACATGGTTATAGCCAAAATAATAAATTGAACTGCACCATGCAGCTGTCTCGTGCTGGCCAAAAGTTTGGAACTGTAAGAAGCGATTTTGGAAATTTGAAAATTGTCCGAGAAATATAGGCTATTACCTGGGCACAACAACCACACATAAATTAAGAAATTTCGTTATTCTCGATATTTAATGACTTAAAAATAGAACAAAACAAAAACGTAAAGAACTGGTGTTAGTATCAACACGGATTGGGTCAGAGAGAGAGAGAGAGAGAGAGAGAGAGAGAGAGAGAGAGAGAGAGAGAGAGAGAGAGAGAGAGAGAGAGAGAGAGAGAGAGAGAGAGAGAGAGAGAGAGAGCGCTGAAGTTTGGATTAGTAACAATTGGTTTGGAAATTCACTTCGTGACAAATAAGCGCAACGCAATACTTCATCAGTACGGCATATATACCTTATATTACAACTAAATTATTTTAAAATCAAATGCAAAATATGTACTTCGTTGAAGATCTGACACCGTGTACCGTCTGTTGTACACCAGATATAGGTATCTTTGAAGCGAAAGTTGACGAACACAGGTAACTCGGGCTTCGATTTTTAAAACATCCGAATCCGACATTTAACTTTTTTTAGCATGAACAAACTTGAAGTTGAATATCAAAGGAAGAAAAAACATGTGAGATATCTGTATATCTTCTCTGTAAGGGTTCCGAGTTCTGACTATCTATCCTTCGGACTGAGGCGTATATAAGGCGAGAAGTTAAGTTATTTATTTCATTTCAAAAATTGTTGTAAATAGATAAGGTTAAATTTTAATTTAATTGATCCAAACTTATGGTTGCTGTCGGAAACGATATACCAATACCAAGAAATGTGTCGCTCCTATTGTGAAATTGAAATAAGACTAATGCACATTGGACAGAGGATAAAAGTTTTTTGAACCCCGAAGTACGAATATAATACCAAACTATTTTGTGGAGTTCACTCTTTCGGCTACAGTTACATAGTGTAAAACCAATATATAATTAGTCAGATTCTTCCCAATTATATTTCCTTTAATATTAGTTAGAAAATGGTTTATTGCCTTTCAGTTCGAATTATTTTGACTTTCTAAATTGATGACCAATATTGAGATCAGTAAGAAAGTGGAGATAAAACATCAGAATAATTTAAACTAAAATTTTTGATATTGTCTCGCTAATGAAATCAGAACATGGGTTTTTTCATTTTCAAATGACTGTTGATTTTTTCACTTAGATTACACTAAAAAGGGAAACATGATGAGAAGATCATGATAGGCCTATGTCATTTTGATATATCAACATAGGACTTTCGACATTCTGGCTCACTGATCTTCGGGTTGGTTAAAATCTTTTCCGGATTAAATCCTATCACCGGTTCGGTTAAAATGATGTTTTAGACTGAGTACGATTTGTAATTTATTTCCGACCAATCATAGCCTTGGTAACATCAGCAAAAATTCGGTCAGTCTCGGAAAGGATTTGGGTCAGGTGGAGATCGCTTTGACATTTTACACGAATTAAAACGCCAAAAATGTGATACACTGGACGGAAATATCAGCTTACAAACAGCATATAGACTCCAGAAAGTTAGTGAGAATTTTACATCATCACAAAATAGTTTCAGTTGCGTGAAGCGAGACCTTACATGGCCAGGTCACCCGTCTGCATACATAGCCGATCGATTGCTGGAATCGTGTTTCTTAGTCTAATGCACCATGCCATTTTGTCTGATGCAGCAGACTGGCTGCATCTCATGTCTTTTAGTTTTGTTGTCATGCCACTTTGTCTGATGCAGCAGACTTGCTGTATCTCAAGTCTTTTAGTTTTGTTGTCATGCCACTTTGTCTGCTGCAGCAGACTTGCTGTATCTCAAGTCTTTTAGTTTTGTTGTCATGCCACTTTGTCTGATGCAGCAGACTTGCTGTATCTCAAGTCTTTTAGTTTTGTTGTATATTAACGTCGTGACAAGTTATAGGTTCTGCTTGCTCATTTTTTTCATTTCGTGTTAACTTTATCTGTATACCATACATATGAATGAAAATGTGAGCTAAAAGTATATATTACAGACGAAAATGTCTTAACAGAACCAAACCTAATCTTCGTAATGACACTTCTGTTTGTTAGAACTTGAAAGAAGACGCTACAATAAAATTTGTTATTGTTTAAGAATTTATATGGAAAAGGCAGGACATGAAAGGTGTACAAAATTTGCTTACCTATGGCCCATCCTATCGAAAATGAAAAAAAAATATGTATCAATATTTGTACAGGAAGCAGATATATGTTTGTTCCATTGAATTAAGAGGAAATGTGCAATACCTGAACGAGCACAATATCAAAACTTTTAGTTTTTCTTTTTTTAAAATAGAAATCTAAAGACCATTTTGTGATTCTGATACATTGTATTAACAATTGTTCTGATAGCTTCACATTGCAAATCATTTTTCATACATAAGAATATAACATGCACTAAGCACTATATGTATCACTTGGTATGCAGTACTTAGACATGAATGCTTGCAAATAATTGCCCTGTCTATGGCCTCAGCATAACCTTGCAAAAAGAAGCAATCATGCCCTACAAAGCAGGGATGGGGGATTAAGTTCTTAAACACATTGCATTTACAATTCTTCTCAAGCCAAGCTATCTTTTGAGAAGTATCAGATGGATCATTCTCAAATTTCACGTGAAGGTTCCTTATAGCCTCCACTTGTGCCCTTTTGATTTTTGGACTAATGAGCTTATCAGTATGGCGGAAGATGGAAAGGTATCCTAGATTTTGACCATGAAAGTTTCCTATCACTACATGAGAGGGATTGAATGGATCTTTCTCAAATCTGATATGTAAGGTTTTGTTGGTCCCTAGTTGTGCCTTGTTGATTTTGGGACTGATAAGAAAAAAGGGCTGAAAGGCAGCCATATTTTATTTTGATAAGGAAATGATTTAAATCACTATTTCTTGAGAAATACAGGATGGATCATTCTCAGATTTTATTTGTAGGTTCCACTCTTCTGCCTTAGTCTATTTTGGAACTGATAAGAAAAATAAGATGGTCAATATTCAAACATCTTTGATTTTATAGATACAGTAGTTATAATTGCTATTTTTTAAAAGGAATTATCAAATATCTTAATATTATAATCATGAGGAAAATAAGAGAAAAGACTGGAAAACATCAAAGTTAAAGAACAAAAAAAGAAATTCTAACAAGGTAAAAAATCTTGATAATATTAGTGGTGTTTGGCACCTTATGAGGTAATGTTATAGAATCAAAAAGTCTATAGTCACATTTTACAGCTTATGCAAATTCATCACACAATGATTCTTATGAACATGCTTAGAGCAGGCCAGAAGCATTCATGTCTTACAGGTCCTTTTTAGTTTATAGAAAAATTGTGTTGCCTTGCTGATCAAATTGGTACAATTTGGACATTTCCATTTACTTGAAGTATATTTATTGGTATATTCCTTTCCAGCATGGGAAAACAGAGGGGGAAAAGAAGAACGGTACTACAACTGAGTGATAACAAGGACAGTTTTCTAGGTAGGAATGCTGTCTGCATGAACAGCACATTTTGTCTATACACATAACAAAAATTGATATAATGGTACAATCACATTGATGGCATTTTAACAAGTAATTATTTGTGAAGTGAAAATTTGAAATAGATACTTGTTGTCTATCATATTGTGAGGAAGTAGCTTTTGAGTGATTACCAATATAGTTGAAGAAATGATTATATACTGCAATGTACCTTAGCTTATATTATACCGGTTTCTGAAACCCATGGGACTCTGCTCTGTCATTTCTGACAATGACATGATTTTAACTTAGTTGGAAAAAAATATTTACATGTATGTTTTATTTGTGTTCCAGGATCATAACTCTAAAATCATATAATTGTTGATATATCTCAATCTTTTGTTTTGATACCTTATTATCATTTTGTCTTTACAGCTCGATATGGCTATGGTCGACAAAATGAAGAAGATGATGATTCCAGAGGTAAACATTTTATATGTAGAATAAATATTTTGAGATCATAGTATTTTTCAACAATAGGTCTATATCTGCAGTGCAGTAGAAATGGTATGTTTTGTTCACATGTATAAAGTGACTTTATCACTCGTTGTTGCCTACCTTGTCTATTAGACATGAAATTCTCTAAACAACCTCTCCTGAATAAGAGGTCAAAGGGTCATGATGTTTAAGTAGCAGAATGTAAGGATAAGGGGCTATCAAGTCTCTTTTAATGGATAACCTTGACCTACTTTTAAGGTAACAAGGGTTAAATGCATTTCAATCCCCTCCTGAATGACCCGTAGGAGAATGAGATGCTTGGAACTGGAAAGACAAGATTGGTTGCATGAACAAATTCTTCCTATAAAATTTCTTTTTAATGACAGAATCTGCAGAACACGTCATTAGTACAGGCTGCAGAACATCTGAGCACTACAGGCTTGAGAACACATGAGCAGTACAGGCTGCACAACCTGTGAGTAATACAGACTGCAGAAAACATGGGCAGTACAGGCTGCAAATGCATGAGCAGTACAGGCTTGAGTGCACATGAGCAGTACAGGCTGTAGAACCTGTTAGCAGTACAGGCTGCAGAAGGCATGAGCAGTACAGGCTGCAGAACATGTGAGCAATACAGGCTGCAAACGCATGAGCAGTACAGACTGCAGAACTGGTGAATAGTACAAGCCGTTGAACATGTGAGCAATGCAGGCTGCAGAACTGGTGAACAGTACAGGCCATTGAACATGTGAGCAATACAGGCTGCAGAACACATAAGTAATACAGGCTACAGAATGCATGAGCAGTACAGGCTGATTGGACTTCTTATGTTCTATTACAGACTGAAACACAACCGTTTAAATGTTTTTCTCTATTAGATCATAAATACTTGTGAAATTGTCATCAAGTCAGGAAATTCAACCTTATTGATTTATTTGGTCTTAGGTGCATATGCTGATGGTGGATATGATGAGGATGAACAAGGATCTGATGAAGAGCTTGATGAAGGTAAAAATTGTCGCTGCCAGAGAAATTATTATTACAGGAAATCATACAGAATGGTACAAGTGACCACATAGTTTCTTATATCTTTTCCAAAGTAATTATGGTATTTGTAAGAATTCCTTCAGTTTTCATATAAAATTTTACGGCAGGTACAAGGTAAATACTAAAAATAATACGGAAATGTTAAGCGTTAAACAGAGTTAAATATACTTAGGCACATGTGACTTATCATATGTCACTTACTATGTTTTGAATGAAGCTGAAATTCCTCCATTCTAGGGCCCTCTACAAGGGATGGAACCTCTGACTCCCTACCACCTGGCCAAGTGAATGGTGGGAAAACAGACATAGATGACAAAGTGGCTGACTTCCTGGCTGTAAGTTGTAACCAGGGACAATGCCTAAATTAATAGGAAAATTCATTGAGGAGAAAAACCTATCATCAACCATGTTAAGACACAAGCAACACTGAAGCCTTTAAGCTAAATGGGGTTTTTTTTCACAAAAACAAAACAAATAAAACCAAAAAAACAAAAATTGTTGAACAGAGTAGAGAGCATTACACAAAACATTATTTATTTGACATTGGTGTTGAAGAAAGGGAGCTGAAATGTGTCTGTAGAGTAAACAAATGTAATCATCTAGTCTATATGTGTGATGTTTTTTGTTTTCAGGAAATTGATGCCTTACCTGTCCCAGATGATGAAGAGGAAGAGGATGAGGATGAAGAGGCCCGTCCAAGCTTTAAGGTAGAAATTCCTCCACCTAGTTTCAAACTCAACACAAATGCGCAAAGTAGCAATGATCAGGAAGAAAACTCTGTAAGGAATTTCAGGAACGATACTTCACACACGAAGACTTACAATAAAAGGGAAGAAGCAGCTAAAGACATGGAATCTAGATCCAAGTACAAGAGTATGTTTGTGAAGGGGGCATCTGAGTTCATGACACAGAAGGAAAATACAGAAGCCGTAGCTAAAGAATCCAAGGAAGAGCAATGGCCTGAAGGTAAGTCATCAGTGTGAAATAAGCCAACATTGTTACTAAGATATCAAACTCAGTTATTACATCTTTTTTCTTGAACAAAATATTGAGAAGTGAGGAAAAACAGAATTTTTACTGTCAGAATTTTGACAAATAATACAATGTTTGATTTTTTGACGTGTAGAAAAAATAGAATTTCGCTAAAGGTTTTAAGGCTAAATTTAGCGCAGTTATGGTTTCGGATTATTGTTCATTTTTGCCATTGGTGACTAGTCGCGATCATGGAGTCAATTACCCTGAATTAGTGGTCTTTGGGACTGCAAAAACTTGTCATACTATAAGTGACAGGATAGTCATATTTCGGAGGGGACCAATGTAAGACTGAAAGTAAGTGTTCATAATATCATGACGGTTTTGATTTTGAAGTTGTCTTTAGGTGAGGTTTCATTGTATGCTATAATTTGAATCGTGCCAAATCAAGTTTGTTTTCAGTATTTGTTTTACACTTATGGCATTTCTTCAATAGAGCCTGTGTCAGTTTGGCAGCAAACACTGGATGAACACACTCAATGTTTCTACTACTGGAACACAGTCACTAATGAAGTTACTTGGGAGATCCCAGCAGAATTCACCCAGTATCTATTACTACGCAAAGAGTATGAGGAGAAAGTTGAGCGACTCACCAAGGAAGGCCGTGTCAAACCAACAAAGCCCAAACAGGACAAGTTAGTAAACTGATGTAGAGCAATAATGTCCAAATATGGATTAATATGGGAATAAAATTACTTTCATTTTTGGTGAAAATTTAGGAACAGATTGCCTTTTCATGTGACAATTTTCTGATATTGGAAAAAAAAAGGTTAATGATAACCAAAGCCATTTATTGGTTTAACCAGTTGGACCAGGGTTGTTTATGAAATAACGACTGACCTGCAGATCTTTAACATAGTCTTTCCAGACCTGTATTGATATCTCAATTTATGCCCGAAAGGTTACATTTAAAGGTCTCAGAAGATTTCATCTGATTTACTGAAGGTGCAAAATTTATGTCAGGTTGGTAAATTTTTTTTTTTTTCAGTCCTGACAGTGTGAGTTCTGGAAAAAGTAGCCTGTTTGGTCCAGAGTTGCCATCTGGAAGTGTTTCATCTCTTGAAGGAGGAGACAATTCTGGGGTTTCATCAACCTCCAGTTTCCTGGTTCAGAAGAAAACCAGTGGTATTCTCAAAAACACAGACCACCAGCATTCTCCAAAGCCAGACAGCACAAAGCCCTCTAAAGCACCACTGGTTGATGCTACTTACTTTGACAACAGTGATGATGATAGTAGTAGTAGTGCCTACGACAGTGACGAACCTAAAAAGTCTACCAAGAAGAACAAGGAGGACTCTGACAGTGCTGAGGTAGACATGGATCTCGACGACATTGATGCAGCCCTGGACATGGCATTTGACAATAAAGAAACCAAAAAGGTGACTTCTGTGAATCAAACATTACAAAACATTTCTGAAATTTAATTTCATATGAAAAGTGGTAAGAAAATAGTCATAGAGTCTGGATATTCTGAAACATTTTCTTTGGTTAGATATCTCAGTAGAATAGAATAGGATTACAGTACAGTCAAAAAAGTTGGTCATTTCATACCATCTTGTACGGTCATCAATGCTAATACACTTCTCACTGGTCATTTGTCTGATGAAGGTGACAGTGTAGTCAGCATAATGTTATACTTGCAGTTTCTAGTGATCGTGTTAAAAGAATTAATATTCTATGGAGTCTGGATATTTGTACTGTACATTTGGTGCCATAATGTATATTATACTTGGATTCAGTGATAGTGATTAAGTGAAGTAAAATTAATTTATTATTTAGAGGTGCAAAATGAATTGATATAAAACAAAAGACAACTTTTTACAACAGTTATAATTAGGCTGTGTATTAGTGGTGAGTATTGCTAATACCTTGTTATGCAATGGATATTCCAATATTTGATGAATGTTTTCGTATTTTTTATACCAGACTGAAAGCAAGAAGTCATCCAAAGAGGAGTCAAAATCTAGCAGTGCAGAGAAAAAGAAGGAACCTAAAGGATTGAAGCAGAAGAGCTTGGTGGAGGAAATGAAGGAACAGGTTAGTCCTAATTGTATTACCTCCCTGAGTGAGTTGGGTTTTAGTTTCTCCAAGAGAGGGCTACAGCAGGGGTACCAATTCCTCTCATACTAGTACTAATCATAAACTTGAGTGATCGGGTAGTGCTGTGGTAAAGCAGCTAGGATAGGTGCAATTCCCAGAATGAAAGTAGAAAGGTATAGGTCACCTGCCCGACCACATGGGTTTTCTTTGGGTACTCTGGTTTCCTTCCACAGTAAGGCCCTCCTGCGTTTCCATCCAGGCCAACAAGAGCGATAAATTTTAAGTTGGAGTATCTTGTTTTGCAGTCGTTGTAAAATGGGTAAAGTTTGATATAATTTGATTTCTTTAAATCATGTCACTTACCTCAGTGAATTTGAATTCAATCTCTGGTGGGGAGGATTACAGCTGGAGTACTTATTTTTTTATACTAGTACTTATGGTATTAACTTCCTTAGAATATCGGGCCTCAGTCTCTGTGTGTTGATTACAGCAGCAATACCACTTAATACTTTTAAAGAAGTGAGTTAAATTGTTGAATGCATTTTCCACTTTGTTGTTTGTAAAAGTTTTATGTTTCACTTTATTTTCAAATTTTGCAATCAATTTAACCCTCAATGGTACACTTCTATAAACCAGACAATTGTTTAAGTGTCATCTAGTTAGTTATACTATATTGATGTTAAAAGTATAGAAGTGATCATTTAGATATTTTTAAGTATATTTTGTGTCTTGGAGGAATCAAGTGTTATAAAACTGCATTTTGTTCTCACAAAAATTTCTTTTCATAAGAAAGTTAATAAGTTATTACAATATTTCAAATATATTTTTCCTATTAAAAAGTCTGATAACACACTATAATCGTAACTTCTCCAATGTGTGCAGGTCCAGAAACGCCAGGAGATGGAGGCACGGAATGCAGCTAGACGCAAAGCAGCCATTGAGGAGATGATGGCACGGGAGCTTGAGAGGCGTGTTGGACCACCACGAAAGAGGTCAAGTGAAGAAGATCTTCCACAGACAGTTTGGGATAGTAAGAGGCCCAGAGGCTCAGATGTCAGAAAGAGAGATCACGAACATGGTATATACTTTACACAGAACCATTGAGATTTAAAAATACAACATATCAAAGAATGATCATATAATTTCTCTTAACATTTCAGAGCACAATTTGTGAAAACCCTTTAAATGATATCACTATTATGTTGTACACTTAGGCATTCATAGTCAGATTTTGACAAAACGTCTGTCATCATGTTCCATATTTGTATTAGATTTTGAATTTTTTGTTTTTGATGTCAATATTTTTGAGCTTTGCATGAAGAATTGTTACATGTCATAGTTGTGCTGAATTGTCTTAATATCTAATTAAGAAAAAGTGAGAGAAATATTCCAGAACTAGACTGTCTGTACTTTGAATGCAACTGCATGGAAAGTTATTTAGAGCACCGCTACTGACATGCTCAACTATATATACTATCCAACTCAGTTTGAGCAATGTTTGGATCCAATATTCTTCAGTTTCTAACTTTATTTAAATATTACATTAAATACTCAACTGTGTGTTTAACTCTGATTTTATGTATGCAGGATCACATCGATCATCAAGTGAGAGAGATCATGACAGAGACTCTAAGAGAAAACATGATGACAGGAAGGACAAGAAAAAGAAAAAAGATGATAGACATTCTAGAGATAGAGATGAAAAGGGAGAAAAAAGAAAAGACAGAGACAAGGACAAAGACAGAGATGAGAAAAAGAAAGATAAGCATAGAGATCGTGATGAGAAAAAGAAAGACAAAGATGGAAAGAAAGACAAAGAGAAGAAAGAGAGTAAAAAAGAAGAGAAGAAGGAGCAAAAGGAAGATACTGAAGTAAAAGTAAAGGAAATAAAAGAAGAAAAAGTTGTTAAAGTAGAGGATGACAGTGTTAAAAATGTCCCTGTGGTGGAGGAGCTGCCCCCAGAGACTGAGAAATTCCTAGAGAAAGCTATGGTCAAGTCTGAAGATAGGTTAAAGGAGGTTCAGCTAGCCAATCTCAAGGTATATTACATAACATTTTTGATGAAAGGAATATAGGTTAAAGGAGGTTCAGCTAGCCAATCACAAGGTATATTACATAACATTTTTGATGAAAGGAATAAAGGTTAAAGGAGGTTCAGCTAGCCAATCACAAGGTATATTACATAATGTTTTTGATGAAAGGGATATAGGTTAAAGGAGGTTCAGCTAGCCAATCTCAAGGTATATTACATAACGTTTTTGATGAAAGGGATATAGGTTAAAGGAGGTTCAACTAGCCAATCTCAAGGTATATTACATAACATTTTTGATAAAAGGGATATGTTTAGTGAGCTCACAATAAGAATTAAGTGCATATGAAATCCAATGCAAGTTTCTGATGAAATTGAAAAGGAGGAACTGAAGTATTGATACATTCCAGAAAACAAACAATTCACAAGGCAATGCTCTATGTATAATTAAGGAAGCAGATAATATATAACAGTGACTGAACTGATACACTGGTGAATTGGATAAATTCAATTAAGTATTTTAACTGCTGTTTGAAATGAAAATCTTGATTCTTCACAGATGCAAGCATCAGAGTTGGCAGATTTGGCACTCAGCAAGCTGGAGTTTCTTGAAGTCACAAAGAAAGGCCTTTCAAAGCTACAGATTCTTTTAATAGAGCTGGAAGTAGGTACCATGTTATGAATGCTTTACTTGTTTCATTCATTGTGAGGTATATAGTTATAAAGATTTCAGTTTGCAAAGGTGTCAGACAGTTGGAATATTATGCATAATGAAAACATTCTTGGGTGAAAATGCTAATTGTTTGTGAAAATCCTAAGTAAAAAATTCAATTAAGAAAAAAGAATAGTGAAAACTTTGAATAAAATTTGTCTCATATCAAGGGCAAATAAGTCTATATGTTTCAGCCTTTTATCCATAAACCAATTTTCATCTATGATAATTAGAAAGTAAGAATTTACAAAATATTTGCAGACTAGACATCAAGACTGGCAGGCAGGTGGTCTAAACACAGAATTCTTTGTTGCCAAACTTGAGGAGGCAAACTGGCAATTACAGCAGTATGAGCAGAGTGCAGCACCCCCTGGATGGACGTGTCACTGGGACAGGTACGGCCATCTTGTTTTTTCTACTCTCATCTACATCCTCATTTGTGCTGCCAAGTATGGATCTGCTACCCATCCCATGCAATGATCTACCAAAACATAGAAATCATTGATTTTGATGCATTTCACTTCAGAAATGAGAAATTGTTTTCTGAAAAACCTTACTTAATTTAGTTTGCCTGATTGTTCTGTGGCATCATAGAACTCTCATGCACTAAGAAGTGGGACAAATAACTATAATTAGAAGAATTTTATTTAAGTTTTGAAGTAAGAAAAACCCCATAAATAGATCCAGGTCCATACTTGAAAGCATTGTGTCAACATTTGGACAGATTGACTCACTGCCATTGTGTGGTAGCTCTGAAGACAGTGTTAAAAACTGTCACTGGCCGCAGTTCAAAGATCACAGACTTTTGTGAAATGTGCAGGACCTTTGTTTTCATGACATCTGATGATCTGACTGCCAGATATGGTTTCCATGGCAATAAAACATCCTAATCCAGGAGGAGAAAGAGAAGAAATTGATTCTAGAAACTGGTTTGTAAGGATGAAGGTGAGTAAAACAGTATATATTTTATTTGGTAAATTGTAAAATTGAATTTTTTTGAAATTTTGGCTGCAGAAAGGAAAGTTTATGTTCTTAGGTTGATGTCAGTCATGAATGTTTTGAATGGAAAGTAAACATTATTTGGTGTATCATTAAAAACAATTAAAGATTTCAATTTTAAAAAGTAGAAAAAAAAACTTCCAACATGTAATACATTTAATTTTATTCATTTTCAAGTCCTTTTTCACAAGTGAGCTGATATAATGACCCTCTCAACTCTCTGGCTAAGAGAATCTGTTTGTTAGATTGTAATTTGATGATGTATAAGATGTGAAATAAAATGTTTTAACTTTGTATAACTAGAAATGTGACTGGCATCAACAGAAGTTTCATATGGAAGTAAACAAGTGAATGGATTCATTTCTCTTCATTGTGTTCTGCATTTCCTCTGTTTTATATTTTCATTTTCTGTCATTTAATTTCCATCGTCTCTATAACATTTTCCTTTGATCTAAACTCCTCTGATCATGAGGGTGTATATCACTACACAAACACTTTCTTCTCATTGTTTTGTGTTGCCTTTCCTTTTTCATGGTCTCGTCTTTTCACTTGGCTTTGTATCTTCTTTCCTCTGTCATTTCATTTTACATTATTTTGTAATAGATCCCTTTCCCCACCCGACGGGGCTCCTATATCGGGGAATTAAAAAAGGGGGATAATGGCTATCAAGATCTTCTTAGGCTTTTTAAGAAATATTTTTCTTTGGAACGATATTTAAACAGTCACTTTCTGTAAGGTTTGGATGCTAATTATATCAAGGATATTAATATAAAGGTCATTTTGTGGAAATATGAGCATATGATAGGGCACTCATTTTGAAATAGTATCTATCAGATGATTTTTGTTCATTTAAACATTTTGTCAGCCTTTCTAAAGTGACAGCTTTCTGTATTGTCAACCTTCCTGTATTGCAAACTCTCATATATTGCAAACCTTTCTACATTAACAACCTTTCCTTAGTCTCAACCTTCCTGTATCGCAAACTCTCATGTATTGCAAATCTTTCTACATTAACAACCTTTCCTTAGTCTCAACCTTCCTGTATCGCAAACTCTCATGTATTGCAAACCTTTCTACATTAACAACCTTTCCTTAGTCTCAACCTTCCTGTATCGCAAACTCTCATGTATTGCAAACCTTTCTACATGAACAACCATTCCTTAGTCTCAACCTTCCTATATCGCAAACTCTCATGTATTGCAAACCTTTCTACATTAACAACCTTTTCTTAGTCTCAACCTTCCTGTATTGCAAACTGTCCTGTATTGCCAGCCCTCTCTGTATCGTCCTTCTCTCCGTATTGTCAACCTTTCTACATTGGCAGACTTTCCTTAATGTCAACCCTCTCTGTATTGCCAACTTTTCTGTATTGCCAAGCTCTCTGTGTTGTCCACCTTCCTGTATTTTAAATCTTCTGTATTGCCAACTCTCCTTTATTGTCAACCTTCCTGTTTTGCCAATCTTTCTGTAATGCCTACCTTACTTAAATGGCAAACTTTCTGTATTTTCCATCGTTCTGTAATGTCTACCTTCCTGTATTGCAAACTTTCAGATTATTTTTCTTTTGACCTGCAATGAAGTCAAATTAATCCATATACTGCTAGGGTGTAGCAATGTTTTGTTATTTGATGAAATGTCGTTCCTTTTACAGAGCTAATAATCACTTTTAAGATTTCAGTGAAAAAATGTGATGTGATTTCCAAAAAAAAAGACAATAAATAAATGAAAACTTGCTTGATGTCCTTGTTCTTTTTGACTTTGGAATTGTTGGGTTGAATTTCTAGAGCATGTTAATGTGTTACCTTGTTTGTACTCACTTTATATATATTTATTCTCAAGGTCAAAAGGTTTAGGATTGTACACTTTTAATCTGTATATGTTCTCAAGGTCAAAAGGTTAAGGTCACTATATCTACATATACACAGGTTGAAGGCTAAAGAATACTTGATTTTAAAGATATTTAAATTACTGGGCAGTATACATTGAGGAAAAGAAAATTATTTGGGTTTTTGTGCCCTCTAGCCTAAAGCAGGCTAAAGGTCAAATGTCAAATTTGAAACCATAAGTAGTTCTTAAAATCTTTTTTTACTGAAGGAGAACTTTAGACCAGTGAAAATAGATCTGACTCAGCATTTTTTTTATTGCAATGAAGGAGAACTTTATACAATTCAGTTGACATGCTTATTATGTTTAAAATCTCTCTATTTAGATATCTTAGATTTGCACAAAAGAACAAACTTTTTGGAATGGCTTTCAGATTTGGTTAATGATATGTATTTAAATGAAGGATTTTCAATGAAGTCACAGTCTTATCAACTGTTCCACACCTACTTATGATCTAACATATTGGCAGCTATACCTGAAGATATCACTGGATTGTTGAAATTCCATCTAAAAAGAAGAAAAAGTGACATGGAGTCTTGATGCAATTCAATGACATTCATGAAGAGGAGAAAGAACTGGAAGGGCTTTGACAAACGTGATCATACAGTGTCTTGTACCTTGCTACAAGTTGTACAGCTTTTGAAACCATCAACATGAAAGGTATGACATATCTATGCTAACCTGATAAACTCTCTGTCAGAGGAACTTTGGATTTACATGAAGATCATAAACTTAAAAAAAAGACTAGTGACTAAAGACTAATGGATTCACATGTATCTAAGGTCCACATGTTCAACATTCTGTCGACAATTAAATTGGCATGTGTATGCTTGTTGTGTTATGAAAAGACATAAGCTCTGAACATACTTAAATTGCTTTCAATTTGAAAGATTGTTCTAGTGGAAACACTGAGGGAGAGGATTCAGGCTGTGGTAGTGTGTAAACTGGCCAATGAGGACTACTGCTTAAATGTTCTTGACTGAAGGAGAGGATCCAACAGATCAGGTACTCCGATAGTGCAAAGAAAACACAATTCTGGCCAGAATGGGCTTGAAGTTGTATCAGTGTTATGTGCTGGCTGGTCTGAGAAGATTAAAATTGAACTAGAGCTTGGCAAAGAACTATTTAATTCTGACCAAAATGGGCCGGAAGTTGTATCAGTGTTATGTATTGACCGGTCTGAGAAGATTCATATTGAACAAGAGCTTGGCAGAGAGAACTCCAATAATTAGTGCCAGAGTGGGCTGAAAGTTGTATAATTGTAACATGTAGTGTGCTGCCTTGTCACAGAGAATTTATCTGATAGTGGTACAGCTGGAGAGAACCCCAAAGAATTCAGAAAGTAAGCTGACTACAAAGAATTTGAATATTTCTGCATTTAAACCAGGAGCACCTGCGCCATTATAGCAAAGACTCACTAAAGAAGAAAATATTCTCTCATCAAGTCAAACCTAGATGAAGATTTGGACCACCTGTGGAAAATATCTCACAAGAGTCAGTTTACTTGTCAACCATATGCACTTTCAAAAGAAGATTTTGTTGGTCTGCAACCAGGAACTTCTGAAGATTGATTAGACATTCAAAATCACAGAAACTTCATTTGAAGAACGGAAAGATAACCCATGAAATTCATTCCATTGAATGGCATGACTTTCTGACCTTTTAAGAAAGCAAGAATGTCCTTTGAAGTTAACGTCATATCAAATGTGGTATACTTCCCGAAGTTCCAGCTTTCAAGATCAGAGAAGAAGACTTGTATGAAAGAAATGCTACTTTAAAGTAGACTACTTTATTCCGGACATCACTGGGACCAGGTGATTTTTTCGGTTTGTAGAGAGTTCCTGATTGTAAAGGGTCTGCTTTAGAATCATTTCTAAATGTACTTTATCACAGAAAGAATGACAACTGCCATGTAAGTAGTGTTTATAAAGAAGGCAAATTTCCTTCATAGGTATTTATACTCTTGCCATTCTTTTTTCAAGTTTCACATTTAAGATTTTTGTATAAATATAAATCTGATTTACTTCATATGTTTGTTATTTATCCCACACTAAGTCCATGCCTGGCAATAAACACCCACATCCAAGTAAAAACACCAACAAATCTTATACAATTGTCCTGTAATAAGCCCACCCACTTATTGCAAACTGGTGATGTTTTGGCCCCAGTGTTTATCACTGGATGATACAGTACTACATATATATACTTTCAGTGTAAACAACTTACATGAAACATCTCTGGAGCCAATATACAGGGAAATACAGACATTATGTCCAATTTATTTGGCTATGATTTACTGTTGATATTTGTTAACACAATCCTAGTATATTATTCCATAGATATGCTGATTGGATAAGTAGATTTTGATGTAATCATACCACTGGTTCTACAGAGACAAAAGATGTTGTGTTTTTGTCAAGTCTGTCTTTCTTCGAGATTCTTTTCATGGCTCAAGCATCTTTATTGTATTAACTTTATGCATATATGTTCTTTGGAAAAGTTTAAATATTGGCGGTATTGGTCAAAGTGAAGGTCATGAATCTCAATGTCATCTTACTGGCGGGTCATTCCCACACAGAGTATTCACTCTTGACAGTTCCATTATCATGGATTAGCAGTCAATAAAAGATAGCCTTTGAAAAAAAAAGTAGAATTTCACAGAAAATTGCTTGTGATCACTCAAAGTGTATCTATCATTGGAAACTTCTAATACACATATCAAGATGTCTATCCAGTGTCAAGGTCAGTATTGTCTATCGAAGGTCAAGGTTGATGGTACATGTATTTTAAAATCTGGCATCAACAGGATTGTAGCCATGCTCACTTTACTGGTCTAGGAGAGTGACCACATTCTGAATGGGCTTCAATTAAAGTTTGATATGACAGATATAAATGGTTCTAGCTAACATCATGAAAAAGAGCTTCTTCTTTGATCAAGTTGATCAGAACAGATACTACAGTTCTTACCAAAATGGTAAAAAGACTTGAAGGAAGTGAATTTAAAATGTCTACACAAAAAGAAATAGGCTGTTTCGTTCTGAAAAAATCTGACTACACATGAATTTTCATCTTTTTTCTTTACTGTAATGTGGAAAAAGAGAATTATGTATCCATAGCATTAAGATTTTTTATGTTTGAAGTTAAAAAGAAATGGCTTGAAAGTCCAGCAAAAAGAGAACGAGAAAAAAATATAGATCGCAAAGTCCTCATGTTGTTAGTGGGGTCAAAATATGTCTTAAAAAAACCTAACATATTTGAAACAGAAATCACCAACTTAACCTGTGTCAGTAAAATTTTTGTGTTGTACATAAGTTTTAATCTTTGATATACTTAAGATTAGAATACAGCTGAGAAATACCAACCCGTACACACTATACCTCAGTACAAATATGCTTCTCTAGTAACTTGTCTAACTTATTACCATGTCTTTATTACCATAGAAATCTCTAAACTTTTTAGGTCACCTGTGATAAAGTCTCATGGTGAACTATTGAAATCGCCTTCATCACGCGTCATGTGTCGTGCTTCCCTAAACAATTTAACATCTTCAACTTCTTCTCAAAAGCGTCTGATCTGATGTCAATGAATTTTTCAGAAACCTTCCCAGGCCTAAAATGAATCAAATTGTGGATTATACAGTCCCCACCCCACAGGGGTCTGAGGGGTGCGGCCAAAAGGGGTCAAATTCATCTGGATTTCAAAAATCTTCTTCTCAAGACCCAGATATGGTAGAAACAAATACTCTTCATCAATGGAAGCATTTTAAGGTGCTGTACCTTACCAAAATTGTGAATTTCATGGCCTCAGGGTCTCAAATTTCCCTGTCGGGAAAGGGTAAAGTTTACTTTAGTTTATATAGGAAAACTGTATTTTTGAGCATAATTTGTTTATTTTCCATTGGAAATATTTCAAACTTGGTTAGAATTATGAGTGAATGATGATGGCATGATAGTATGCCCACATTGATCATGGCTTACCTCCAGGGACTGATGGGCGGGGCCAAAAGTTGTCAAATTGACTTAAATTTCAAAACTCTTCTTCTCAAGACCCAGATATGGTAGAATCAAATGTTCTTCATGAATGGAAGCATCTTAAGGTGCTTTGATTACCAATATGAGTCTCACATTTCTACCTGGGGAAAAATTTTTTTTAGACTTAACTGTAAATTTCATATAAAAATTGCATTTTTGAGCACAACATTGTTTATTTCCCACTGGAAATAACTTTGTAAGAATTTTCAGTATAGAATGACAATTTTGAAGGTATGCATGTATTGACACTGGCTTACTATATTCAGTGTCACAATTTCAGTTTCATGATACTTGATAACCATCCTTTAACCTTTATATTCAATAGTGTTTATCTCAGGTGACCGTCAAAGCTGCTAGGCCTCTTGTCTGTGAAAAATGTCAGTTGACACAAACAAGATATTTCATTCTATTCCATCTTGACTTTAGTTCTCAGAAATCCTGCACCCGAAGTCTCTAAAGTTTTTTTCTTTTTTCCTTTTTTTTTTTTTTTTTTCTAATTCAGAAGTTTCATTGAAGCCATATTGAACATAGATTTTTTTTCTTTTTACCCTCCAAAAAGAAAGGTAATTTGGTGTTTTTTGTGCTAATGCTAGTGTGTTAATCATGTGGATCACTACTATACATGTGTATTACGATTGAAGGTATACCGTTTGAAAACCAAATTCAGCTGGTTTTAGTCATACTACTTTGTATTAAGGTTTATTTTCATTTAAAAATATACTATCGCGATTTGGTAGGTATGATACTTATTGAAGGTATCTAAGGTTTCAACTCCAGTATGAAGTCATCTACATTAGTTTTGATAGCATTTAATTAAAAGTATCCTGTCATTGATTGATTTGCAGGTGTAGTAGCATTAGATAAGTTTATAATTACATTCAGTCAAATTGAATTATCATGAGACTTATAGCAATGTTCTCTTTATCAAGATAGTCCATCATTGATAATTGTTAAGACACCTGCCTGAAGAGCAAGTGAGCTTACCTTGTGGCTCTGCAGCCTTTGTCTGTCGTCTTTTTTATACATTAGTAGATCTTACTCTATTAATGGTTGTGGTCCCTGAGGGACTCCTCCAAAAATGGGAAATGCTTGTTAATCTTTGAAATCTTCCTTGGTCAGTGAAATAATATTAACCTGGTATTAAAGATTCATCAGTCTGATAGGAAATAATGCTGAATAAACAATGGGAAAGAGGAGTAGACTTATGTATGATATAGGATCCCGAGGCAGCCAGGAGACAGGTCACAATTGGAGACTTTTAAATATTTGATAATGAAGGGAAGAGATGGATGATAAATCTATTCTCTTTCTATTTGGATTATGAAATTTAAAAAGTTCATTTAGTATAAAGACTGTCATGACCAAAAGTGACTGTTAAATTGTTAATAATTTCAAAAATAAACTTCTTTCACCAGAAAGAGCAGCTTCAAAAACATTTTTTATGTTTTGTTTTTAAAGTTAAGTCTATCTAAAGGAAGTCTATGAATTAATCGTTTCAAAACATCATGATCTTGGCTCTGATTTCATAAACTTCATGTATCATGCATGAGAGTATAGTTTAGGAAAGGATAAAAAATATATTTATGATCCAATTGTCTATTGAACATATCCAATCTCCCCAGAGAAATTGCGAAAAGTAAGCTAGTATACTTTGGTCAAGTGTGTATTTATGTTTAACATTTGATTAGACGCCAAAGATGGGACTTTATATTATAGCCCAGTCCTGTGTGTTCTTAACTGGTAGATATTTTGTCCATTTTGTATCCTAAATGCTTAGTAAAGAACAGGTGAGCTATTAAGACCCTTGGGTTCCAGGTCATACAGGTCCTGATGACTGATTACATGCCAAACCTGTTATCAGTGGCAATGGAAATCAACAGTGTTAAAAGAGAAAAAAAGACTGGCGTTTGGATTTAATCTTTAAATCATTGAAAAAAACATATTGAAAATTCTAATTCTCATGTTGAAGAATGTAGAAGTACTGGTATTTTGTATTGAAAATGCAAGTTTTTCTGCCTTTTTTTTTTTTAAAAATATGATTATCTGTTATAAGCTTCATAAGAACTACAGTATGATCCTCCTTCAGTAGTTTATTAAAGAAATTGCATGACATCTGTTGATATATTCAGTGATATATACCAACTGTATCATTTATACGTTACAGTTTTTAGTTCATCAAAATTGATATCTACTAAATGTAGGAAAGACGTTTTATGATCAGTTTGTCCTTCTTTCGTTTGCTCTGTTTTTCGCTATTGTTTGTTTCAAATGGGAAAAAAATGAAGAATAAGAAAGAAAAATGCATGGAACATTCTTTCTACAAACCCTGTCAGAAAATCTATTCAATTTATACTGTAATATTTTGTATTCTGTGTAACAAATTTGAACACTGGGGTTAGGGTGTGTATGCCCCCTGTTATAGTGGATTAGACAACCGTTTTCTGCAAGATTTAGTGGTTTTATCAGAAATCTAAATTTCAAAAGTAAAAATTTAAAATTTAACAGCTGATGTAACTATACTCAAAGTCAAATCAGTTACTCCATATATCTAATTTCAAAAAGGCATGCATTCTTTTAGTTCCCAGCTCAATCCTGAAAAAAACATAAATTTTTAATTTCTCTTCTTCTATAATTGAAAGTACTTGAATGAAAGATGGTTCGACAAAAAGTTTTCAAACAATATTTTTTGTGTTCGTGTTTTGTTTGTTGTTCAGGAGATTTACTCGTCATACTATTGTTAGTATTTTTTTCAGTTTATTATTGTTACTATTTTTTTACCCCACCAGAAATAGGCTAACAATTTCAAATTTTTGTTGCCTACTAAAGCAGATTTCATTTCCTTAAGGGGTAAACTCATTATACAATTAAATTAACATATTTCCTGAAGGACCTAACTTATTTAAAAAAGAAAGTTCATAAATTAATAAGGAGTTAATATCATTTCCCAATGAATTTTATCCATTATCTATGGGAATTAACTTATTAACTACCATATAAGGGAGTTGATCAGTCATGTTACAGTATAAATTGAGATTTGTACAGGTGTGGTAATAGTAACCTTTTACAGAGAATAGAAAATGTTAATGAACAGGAATTTCATCACTTTTATCTTCTCCTCTCATGGGTGTTTTCCTGTGTAGAGCTTACAGGCGTTACTTCTACATGAGCAAGAAGAGCAAGCACACACAGTGGGACTACCCAGATGATGAGGATGACGAAGAGGATGAAAATGATGATACCAGCAATGCAAATGCAGAAAAGGAGAGCTCGGACAAGTTCATTCCGAGGCCACCAGACAGGCATCCAGGTCAAGAGGGGGAACTTCCACAATCACCCGAGTCCCACTCTGTGACGTCTGCATCATCTGAACCAACAAGTCTGTCGTCAAGTACAAGAGACATTGATATGGTTACCTCAACAACAGTTGTCAGTGGAGGACCAAGGTTGGAGGTTGGGTCATTAGCCGACACCACTGTTTCATCAAAGTCAGCTGTCATATCTTCTAGCCATCCAAGATATTCAGAGGTAAGGATTCACTATACCATGTTAAAGTTACGTACTGCTGTCCAGGAATTGGGTAATTTCTTCATTATGTAAATATTGAAGTATGGTATCTGATAAAGGTTAAAATGTCTATAACTTCATTAACAGACAAAGATCAGGGGGACACATAAATACACCAAATGGTCACCAGGAAGGTAAAGGTTTAATGTCACTTAGTGAAGGAGACAGTTATAAAGTCTACAGTAACCAGGACTGAAAAATGAAATCTGGTGAAATTTAAAAATCAAACTTCATTTATTTTACAACAATTGCGAAACCAGTTATTCCATCTTAAATTAATCACTCTTGTTGGCCTGAATGGAAGTGTACAAGAAATCTTTCTGTGGAAGGAAACTGAAGTGCGTGGGAATTCCCATGTGGTCAAGCAGATGACCCTATACCTTTCATGTCTGAAATCTTGTATAATGCAGGTCAGATTTCCCTTGACATAGGAGACAATTATAAACACCAGTCACCAGGAACTTAAAAAATGAAACCTGGTAATTTACAATTTCAATTTCATTCATTAGCTCACCTGCCTAAAACATGTGTTGGCCCAGAATACTGATCTTTGACCTGTAGCATGCTGGAATGACAAGTTATAAAGTTTGTTCAAGTGAATGGCCTTGGCCCACTTTTAAGGTCGTATAGGGTTGTGTTTTAAAATTTTGAAATTACCTTTCTCAATAAGGAAAAGGCCCAGGGTACTGCTACTTCCACATTTGACCTTGACCCCACTTTCAAAGTCACTGGGGTCAGTTATGTTGAAATCTTCAAACACTTTTTCATTACACTGTAGTAAAATTATCCTTGACACTTATACTGAGTCTGTAGCATCAGATGAAGGGCTACTAAACCTTAAGTGTTACCAAGGGCTGCAGAACAGGTGAGCAATTCAGGTCCATATGGCCTCTTGTCTCTGTACTTGACTTGGTTTTTTTGTATAGTGGAAATGGTTTTTTCAAAGACCTGTTGAGGATCACAGTTTGGACCAGTTCACACAAATATTTTCTTTCCATTCATTGCATAGTTCATAACTTAAAATACAGTGAACCTGCAAAAATCTGAATGCAATAGTTCACATGGAAATCACAACATGGAAATCACAATCTGGCCAAAGTTGTTAAAAATGGATTTCTGTAACATCCTTTGTACTCACCAGTCCAGTTGTTAAAATTCAAATTTCAGGAAAAGATTTTTGGAATCAAATTGCTGAAAGCTCAGTGAAATTTTCTGATCCCTCATCATGTTTCGTTTGTTTATATTTTCACATTTCTGACTTGTGAATGAAAAAGTCCCATGACTCATTGTCAGAATTATACGCTTTAAAGGGAGGTAAATTCTGTTACAGTTTATATAGGAAATGAACTTTTTTTGGTGTATTTGGTTTTTTATTCAGTGAGAAATAATTCAATCTTGTTTAGAATTGTTGTCATCAGATTAAAGTTTGATGATAAAAAAATGTGGGTCCAACCCCTAAGGCTAGAAGGGCAGGGTTTAAAGGGGAAAATTTGATTATATTTTGAAAAAAAGTTTTTTAGATACAGATCTGTAGATGAAAAAAAACTTTCCATGGATGAAAAGGACCCAATATGCTGTATAAAAATGAGAAATTTGGTGAAACTAGGATCCTCGTTTTCCCATAAGGGAGGGGTGAATGTTACTTTAGTTTCTGTTGAAATATATAGGAATCCTTTAACTAAAAGTAATACTTTGGGTTGTATTTGATTATTTTGGATAAGAAATAATTCTAGCTTCATTACATTGTCATCAAAATGTGTGTAGTCGTAGCGACCACTGCCAGATCATTGCCTTTAGTGTTTACCTATGGGACTGTTGTCCGAAATCTATAAAGGCAAAATTAATTAATTGTTAAGAAAATATCAAAAAGAAATTCTTGGTCTTGTCTTGTTTTAATTTTTTTATTTTTCATTATACAGATTTCATACATGCCCACTTCTATATGTAGAGAAATGTTGTTACATAACTTACATGATTTAAACATTTATGGTTACCAGGATGTAAATGTAAATTAGTCATGATCAGAATAATGACAAATACATATAGTACATATGGAATCTTTAATGAATTTTCATTTCATATAAGATTTTATTAAACAAGACATAGAAGTTTTTATTTTCATTCTTTCTTGCTTATCATATAACCCCTAAAAGTTATATTTTGTTATTTGCTTAACAACCCTGAAATTCTGCAAATAAAACTCTCATTCTGAGGTTGGCCAATATATTTTAACTATAATACAGTGGAAATTGCTAATTCTTATCTGTAATGAGTTTCATGCACTTTTTAAATTAGTTTCCAAAGCACTCCATAATGATACCTGGTATATATTATAGTAACCACTGTATCATTACATGTTAATAGACAGCTTGGTATATGATAATTCATGTAACTTGCAAATTGTTTCTGATGTCAAGTAATTATTGTGTCGCCTGCAGAGCTGGCAGACACTTAGGGATCACTTTGTCCATCGTCACGCATCGGTGGAGTCTGTACAAAAGTTTTCCAGACTTTTTTCGGTTATGCTTTGAGTTACCAAAATGAGATTTAGTATATGGCTTCTTGTTGGAAGGGTACAGATTAAGTTTGATTTCCGACTGTCTGTAATCCTTCTTGGCAGAGTTATGCCCCTTTGAACTTGGAAAATTCTCTGGGAATATTGTTTTCTGGACTTTCTTTGTTTATGCTTTGAGTTATAGAAATGAAATTTAATATATGGATTCTTGTTGGAAGGGTACAGATTAATTGTGTTTCTTGGCTGTCTGTGACCTTATTTTGCAGAGTTATGCCTCTTTGAAAATTCTTCGAGAATATGGTTTTTTGTACTTTTCTTGATTATGCTTAGAGTTTTTGAAATGAAATATGAGAAATAGCTTCATGGTCGAACATTACAGATAAAGTTCGATTCATGGCTTTCTTTGCAGTCATATGTCCTTTTGAACTTGGAAAATTTCTCAGGAATATTGCTTTGCACAGTTTTTCCTTTATGCTCCTAGTTATAGAAATGAAATTTGGTATTACAGCTTTATGGTTGAACGTTGCACATCCAGTTAGATTTCTGGGTGACCGTGACACTTTATGCAGGCGACACATACAGTTCCGTGGAACTCTTGTTTTGTAATAAACTAGTCTTTACTTTATGTTGAATAGGACTTTATTTCTACATTGATGCATTTGCATTTGAATTTTCTTGCAGGCAACACGATCAAAAGAGAACCATCAAGAAAACCAAAGTTGTAAGTATAGAGAAATATACAACAAAAGTGTTTTATCAGTTAAACTAACTTCTCATGATAGTTTCTTTCTTTTAACGATGGGTTCAAATAATTCATCTGTGGATCAGAATAAAAGTATTGGAATACGATGGAATTTTCTCTGCGAAAACATATGAAAGGATTTGAAAATCTTTTATCCAAAATTCTCTCTTCCAATTCTTTCATCAAAAAATCCATAGTAATTTCTATTTCTTAAAGTGCATGTTTAAATCAGCAGTATTATTATTACGTGCTCTTTCATCGCCTGTCCAATCCGTTTCAGAGAGTCTAGTGATTGAATTGAATTGAAAACCTCAGATCACAATCTACAACGCTTTTTCTTGCAGCACACATTGATGAAGGTCTACAGCAGAGAGGAGGAGGTTTTAACTATCTAAGTGGTAATGAAATGAATATCTTTAGAGGGGAGCCTCCGCCACCAGGCACCGACCTAGAGATGTTACTAACAGCTCCACCCCCACCTCCTCCCCCAGATGACCACAGACAAGGATACGGAAATCAGAGTGAAGATGAAGAGGAGGAACAAGAGATGGACAGAGGAAGACATGATATTCAGAATGGTGACAGTGACATGGATGTAGACAGTAACGAGGCACTGCCCTCTAGTGTCCAGACGTACAGTCCTCATTCTGATGGAGTCATTTCATTTAATCAGCCCAACAGGATAGGGGAACAGATGTTTGCTCAAAACATGGACCAATCTAGTAACATTATCACCCGAGGGCCACAGATCTTCTCCTCAGATGCTGTTATTCCTCCCACACAGGGAATGGGAGACGGGTACTACCCAGCCTCCATGGCAGAGGTGGTGGATAGCAGTGGATCATTTGCTGCAGCCTCAAGCACACAGGACTTTGCGGAAGGAGCAACTGAGTGTCTGTCCTCTGGTCACCCATCCTCACCTTACCCTCCTGACAAAGAGAAGAAGAAGAAAAAGAAAGATAAGGTACAATGTTAATGATTGATCAGGTTATTGTTAAAAGATTGTGATTGTTCTCTCTCATTCTGCTTTCATAGGTAGAAACCCTATTTAAATGAAATAAAACGGACGAATATAGATTTATTGGGTGTATATGAAATGCATCTGTTTTAAACAATGAAAACAAGTTAAAAGAATTGAAAAGGTGTCATCAATCTCCGTGTATTCTACGTGTTACCTTTTGATACCTGTTAAATATCCAGTTAGCCTAGCCTTGCATGCCAGGCACCTGCATGAATTTGTTTACATAAGGTAAATATTTGTGTTGGAGTGACGATCTTTGTGGTTTCCTAAATATTGAATGATCAAAATATCAACTGTCGCTCCGCAATAAGCAGTAATTAAAATATATATATATATATGTAGTTATTTTTCAAACCTTACTCAAAAACTTACCTGTGCACTATACCTGCAAATTTACGGTAGCTGTCTTGCTTTTCAATTTTTTTGAAGGTTTCACTGAAAATTTTTTTATCTGATGTGTTTGAGTAGGTTTACTTTTACTGATAAAAATGGTATCATGGTGAACTGTATATTGTTTTATTGCAGTCTATGAGCAGTACAAGTCTGACACTTAAGAAAAAGAATGTATCATCAATGGTTCTGAAGTGGCAGAAGGTGAAGAAGGAGGTGGAGATAGAGGAACGTAACAGGGAGGAACGTGAGATGGCTATACGACAACAACTTGAGGAACTCAAACAGGAGTACAGCTGAATTGTCTCCTTCACCACATGTATGCTGTTTGTTAATTTTGCCATTACAAGTTTTTAAGATATTTAAAAAATTCAATGCAATAACCAATATATCTTAGAGTTATTTGAAAAAAAGTTAACTCAAGTTGGATGCTCATCCTTCAGCCTTTGTTTTCTAATATAATTTCTTAATGTTACAAACATCTGTCATGTGTGACATCTAGAAATAACATATAGTTACTCGATGTTACAAACATCAGCCATGTGTGACATCTAGAAATATCATATAGTTACTTGATTTTACAAATATCTGCCATGTGTGGCATCTAGAAATATCATATAGTTACTTGATGTTACAAACATCAGCCATGTGTGACATCCAGAAAGAACATATTGTTACTCAATGTTACAAACATCTGTCATGTGTGTCATCCAGAAAGAACATATTGTTACTCAATGTTACAAACATCTGTCATGTGTGTCATCCAGAAAGAACATATTATTTGATGAATATAAATTCACTGTATTAATTATTGATATTTATTTTATTTCTAGTTACGGGACATTTGGAGAGCAAAGTCGATGATATTTGCCAAAAGACAATCAGGAATTATGAGAGGAAATAATGAAAATTGTGAAATTTTTCTTTCACTTAAGGAAAATCATTGAAATGAACATTTTCAATTCCTTGTGATTTTACAACCCTGTCTGACTTTGAAGTCCAAATAGTGCTACTGTTTTTGTATTGTTACAGTGAAGCACTTCCTTACTCGCATTACATTCTGAGAGATTCCGAAGCTACAGCCGTGGAAAAAACCTTTGATGTGCTTATTGCCAGGCCTGTCATTGAAGTATGGATGTGCTTAACTTGTATGTGTTTTAAGTTTTGAAGACTTAAAAATTCAACTTCATCAAATATAGAATTGAGTGGTTAATGGAATAGATGTAAATGACTGGCATGGACTTGGAGTGTACAATAAGTTCTTTGTGCTGAGATGTATGAGGATTTAGATTGGGGATGTTGATACATATCCCCGTGTACATGATGTATGTGATGTTCCTGCTATCAGGAATCTGTTTACATTTTATAAATGTATCATATTGCATCTTGACAAAGGAAATATATTTTGAGTTGTGATTGTGATATCTTTGAGATTTATATACAAGATCAATACAGAGAGAGGATTTCTAACTTGGAGAACATATTATCAAGTATTTCTGATTTAAGTAGGTGAATCTTGACAACCAATTTATAATATTTGCCTTGTACATACTGCTGTATAGATGGTATTGTGTAACAGAGTAATTTTCTCATTTAAAATCAGATATACAATCATTTTACTTTATAAATTTGTTTAAAACAAATTCTTGGGTAATTCAGAATTACTGAGGTATATCAGAACAATCTGGTGATGAATTTCATTGATTATTTAATACAGATACAGTTGTATAGAGTGTGTAGATACTTAAGTACTTAAGTGCTTTGTCATGGATGTTATAGAACACGTATGACATCTCTCTTATCAAAGTTAAGAAAACAGATCTTAGTTGAGGGTTAGTGGAAAGGTTCCTATTAACTAGAATTGAATCTTATGTCAAATTCTATAGCTCACTATTAACAAATGTTGGAGATCTAAGCAGTATTTTGACTGTAGATCTAGTTTGTGACAAGGATCTTTCAAAAGGGATGTATGGACTCTGGTATAGGTGTATTGTTACCTTTCAATTATATAATGATGCATTACAATGATTTGCCATATCAATAAAAATAATTGAACAAGTGAAGCTTTTGTGTTAGTTTACTCACATCAGGGTTTGAGTTGAATCTAAAGGTGAAATAAGGAAAGCTTACCCCTTAAGACTTTAAATTGGTGAATTACTGATAAAGAACGTTTGTTATATCAGACTTCAATCCCGACAAATTACTGATAAACAATGTTTGTCACATCAGACTTCAGTCCTGACAATTTATTGATAAAGAATGTTTATCATATCAGACTTCAGTCCCGACAAATTACGGGTAAATCATGTTTAATACCAGACTTCAGTCCTGACAATTTACTGGTAAAGAATGTTGATCATATCAGATTTCAGTCCATGACGAATTACCAATAACCGATGTTTATCACACCAATTTTTAAACCTGACAAATTATCAGTCAAGCATGTTTGTCATATCAGACTTCACGCCTGAAAAAATACCAGTAAGGCCACCCTAATTAAAGTTCAATGGCCTTCATCTGGCATCATGTGGTGTGCATGGTGTGTTGTACATTGTACACCTGTAAACAATTTAATATTTTTGACATCTCAAAAACTCCACATCCGATTTCAATGAAATTTTGTAGAAACCTTTCCTGGCCTAAGATGGACAAAAAAATGTGAATCATTCAGTCCCCAACCCCCAGGGGCCTGAGGGGTGGGGCCAAAAGCGGTCAAATTATCTTAAATTCCAAAAATCTCAACTACCAGATAAGGTAGAATCAAATACTCTAAAATAGATCTTTGAGCATAATTTGTTTAATTTCTATTGGAAATATTTCAAACTTGGCAAGAATTATGAATGAAGGATGATAGCTTGATGGTATGCCCATATTTATCCTTGCTGACCTCCAGGGGCTGATGGGTGGAGCCAAATATTGTCAAATTGACTTCAATTTTAAAAATCTTCTCCACCCAGATATGGTAGAATCAAATACTCTTCATGAATGGAAGCATCTTCAGGTGCTATAATTACCAAAATGAGTCTCACATTTCTTCCTGGGGATGAATTTTTTCGGACTTAACTGTAATTTTCATAAAAAATAGCATTTTTTAGCATGAAGTTGGTTATTTCCTTCTGGAAATAACTTAGTAAGAACTAGAAATTGTTGCTAACAATTTTGCGGGCTTTTCACTTCTTTGGCGACAATCTACCGAAAAACAAAACATTAAATTCATCAGAAGGATGTTCTACATCGATCTGAAGAAGAAAATTTCAAGAAAATTCAAAATTGAAAAAAAATTGTGAAATTTTGAAAACTTTACCCTACAGCGAGCTTTTTTATTTGACATATTTTCTGATAACTTGTCATGACAAACATTTAGATAAGGAAATTTTCTACTAATAATATTATTGCACAAGCTCTGTACAATCAATGGTTTTCGAGATATTGCCGTTTTTAAGTTTTTAACTTATGGCGGCCATATTGGATTTTTGACCTACATAAAAAATCGGCATCGACAACTTCATATACGTATTTACAAATAGGTGAATAGACTGTGTGTCTAGCTTTTACAATTTAAAAGATTACGAACCCACAATACTGGAAGAAGAATAATAAGAATAAGAAACAACAAAAACAATTATTATGAGTATAGGATGACAGTGTTAATGTTATGCATGTATTGACACTGGCTTACTGTATTCAGAGTCACAATTTCTGTTCCATGAAACTTGATAACTATCCTTTAACCTAAATTTGATATTGCTTGTCTGACTTGGTGTCTGTCAAGGCCGCTAGGTATTTAATTTACTCTCTCATATGTGAAAAATATTTCACTTGAAAATGACAACTATCTTTCACTTCAGTCTTTCCATGGTTTTCCAAAGTACTTAACACCAGCTAAATTCAGCTAAGAGTGGAATGGTAAACCAAAACAAAACTTGGTCAAAATTTCCGCAGTGACAAATAACAATAAAAATAAGTTTAGGAATTCTTATCTTAACTTCTGAATTTATTCAAAATCATGTAAGCTAGTGAAAATTTGGATATAAGGTTGATGTATAGAAAATTACAGAACAGATCTGTAGAATCTATACCAAGAACAGACGGACATCGAAAGACAAATACACCATTACGGCCCATATCAGGTGTTCCGAATAAAAGTATTTCTATTTCAAATATGGAGTCTATCCTAATGTCTCTTCCTTAGCTCAAAGTAAATAGCTGTAAACATGGAGATTTTGGAGTGCTTAACTTTTAGCATGCCATGGGTAGTGAACTCAATCTAATACATCAGTACATCGAACCTTTCATAGTGTGATATCATTATATAACAGAATCATGATTCAACTCAGTATTAATCCACAAAAGCAGTAGGATGTCACCAAGATTTCCAGCTTACATTATGCTAGTTGCTTATGACTTTAAACACTATTAACAATCTCTATCTATGACAGACATATATGGAGAACAGATCACAATAACTCAATTTATCACTAACACCCATTGTTGAGTATTTTACATAACAATGTTTAAGAGGTATTTTCCTTATCTCTCATGAATCATCTTTAACCAAAATCTCCAGAAAATAAGAGAATTGAAATCAAATGGCTGACGAGAGGCCATCTTTAATTTTCATTTGGATTTTCCTCATGTTTCACTTGTAGGTACTCCTTGGTCCAAACCGGTCCCTTTGATTTCAGTACATATTAAAAAAACCGATGTCTGATAGACCGTCTTGGATTTGACCGTTAAACCTTATTATCTGTATTTCCACAAAGGAAAACTTTAATATAATAAAGGGCAAAAAACAGAAGAAGGAATAAGGAAAATATCGAACTTTTAAGAACTTATGCAGATCAAACAATGGTGTCAATATCCCTCTGGGATCTTTTGTTCCAAACATGTTCTCAATGAATTGTTCAGAAATTCATCTGTAGGTTCGCTGTGGTCCTTTTAGTTCTGGTGTAGGTGCATTTTTGGCTCATCTGGCCCAAAGGGCAAAGTGAGCAAATGCTGTGGCGCGGCATCTGTCCTTCACAAGTCCATCCGATATCTGGCATCCAGTGTCAACTTTTTCCTTTGAACAACTACTTTTCAATAACCAATGGACCAAAGGTTTTGACGTTTGGTTGGTATGTTCCGATGTTGGTGTGAAGCCAATGAAATTAGTGAAAAAGACTTATATTCAAGGTCAAAAGGCACAGATTTGTTAAAGCATTTGATATGATTCTTCTCATGAACTTAAAAGACTAGAGGCAAAAGATTTGACTGGTATGTTACTAGGATGCAGCCCAACAAAATTGGCGAAAAGACATGACCTAGACTTATATTCAATGTCACAGGGGTCAAATTTTGTGGTATATTTATACCAGGTGAGCACTGCAGACCCATTGGGCCTTTTCTTTTTCTTTTTCTTGTCTGTGATGATAAGACGCGGAAGAAATGGACTATGGTATTGCTTCTACAGTGATGATTTAAGTAGTTTCAACATTTCACTTTAAAATCTTGCGTTTAGATCTGTAGAAGTGTAGGTCCAACTTAAACCAAGCTTGGTCTAAAAGCAGGATAACACTGTGAACACCTTAACATATTTAAACAAACATCTTCCAGATTTTATGGTCTAGCAACTCTGTAATATAAGGATGAGGACGAAGCCTAAGAATATGTCACCGAGTCTTAAATTCACGGCCCATGAAAAAGACAGGAGTCGACAATGAGGCAAAAGAAAACGCCCAAAGGCGGACGTAAAAATGGACGTCTACGTTGGAAGGCGGGGCGTTTCTGAAAACTTGTAGCACCACTGTGTTAATACAGTTCACTCACTGGCCGACAGGGCTATGCGAATATCATTCTGAATTACATTATAAAAAGGTGGTAGTCCTTTATAAGTGATGGTAAACCCCAAGTCCACGGTTAATTGTACCACAGACATAGATATATCGAGTCCGTTGTTGTTTAGTGTGCTTGGCCTATAGTCTATAACATTTCTTTAAAATATCCGTTTTCTATGGTGTCCCTTTCCTTACGACGTCTCGTTTTACTTACCGGTTCTTAAAAGTCGATCGATCAAACGGAATGTTGTAATGTGGTAGGCGTGGGGTTTGTAATAGAACAGCGCCGTGTGAAAGTTGTCGTCTGTACAGAACACATGGACCGTTTCTAAAGAGAGATTTAATGCGTTTTTTTCATTATACGGTTACGCGATTAAATACTTCACTGAAAACCAAATATTTCAGTCGTGTGTTATAACAAATATATATTTACAATATCCTGTGGAATTGAATGAACGTGTCAGTGTTGGTGTGGCAGGGTGACTGGATCAGGACCAATTATTGTTTTTCCGAAAGCTACTAAAGAATTGTTGTTATTTTTTTAACATTTAAAGACGGAAATGGCTAAAATGCTGCGTGATCAATGTACGTTTTCAATTAATGAGCTGTACGTTTACCTAGTACTTCAGCTTATCCTAACACTGCCACCCTACGGAATAGTCTATTCACGTGTCAGGGCAGACTGCCCGTTGATTTTTGAAGTTTTAAGTATGTTTTTATAGAGGATTTTGTGTGATAAGAGAGTTGCACTGGTTTAGCCATGCTCGATGATCTGCGATATACTTGAACGCCCAAACTACTTAAAACATCATTGTTTGATAATCCGTATTTAAAATACACTGTTTCATAAGAGTACGAGTCATAGAAAGTACCGCCTGTCAATTCTACGTCACTGATGACGTAATTCACGAGCCCAAAGTTTTTACAGTTTGCATAATTAGAGTTTCATCGATTGATATAGAACAATCGTTTAATGTATAATATCACACACATTAAGTCATGGATTTAAAAGATTTAGACCCTGGCTGAATGACATGCCATAAATCTTTAAGTGACTGCTATATATAGACTGACTTGTTTGCCTTTGTACTTTCATGGTCAGTGGTCCGACAGGCCATGGTCAAACAGCCTCGTTAATACGAAGTCGTGCAGTGTACCGATTCACATGTTAACAGTGAGTGTTGATTCAGTGTAGAAAGGACAGAAAACTCATGATCCGAGGTTGAGATGGGAAAAAAAGAAA